TAGTAATAAATTATTATTATCAAACCTGTTCATCAAATAAATAATCACAAATCCGTTCACTACTGGCTGTGATATTGCGTGACATACACGAAACCGTACAGCACTTCCCTCTTTTTAAATTGGACCAAAAATCTGTGCACAATTTTTTATTTTCTTTATTTTCTTTTTATATTATTTATGTGTTTCCAGCATAGACTCGACGGAACCAATATGTGCTGGAGTATACATCCACCACGGCAAACGAGCTGTCATGACTTCTGCCACTTGTGTAGACAATTACGTCTCACAAGAACTTCGAGTCGGATTTACGAGGCATCATGGAAACATTCGTGTTGGGAATGATTCATTTATAGTACATGATGATTACAATAGAGGTACCTTTTTCTTATAGTACTCACGACTTACTAGGACTTCGCTCGGGAGTGGTCCTATGTCTTTTTCTATGTACATATCTATACATGTAATGAAATTGTAACCATGCCGAATCTGTACATTAAATATTTTTTGAAAAATCTTATTGATATAGACATTATTATCGATACAGAGGCCGAATCTATAGTTTTTAGAATTTTTGTCTGTCTGTCTGTTGTCACAGAAAAACTACTGGAGGGATTTCGATGAAATTTGGTCTGGTGATAGCTGGTTATCCGGGTCAACATACAGGATATTCCATTTCAAAATGTTCCATTTCTGAGAAAAAATACAAAAACTGCATTGTAAGAGTATACTAATATGTAGAACCTAAGAATTTGGTTTTTGGTCATCTGAACGCGGGTAATGCTAGTAATATTATTATGTTATATCTGTATAATAATAACTCTTTATTGCACCCACAAAAAGAAGACAAAAGCAATACAATAACAGAAAAGCGCACAAGAGGCGGCCTTATCACTAACAGTGGTTTCTTCCAGTCAACCTTTAGGTGTGGGAAATATATATAAATATTTAATAAATATATATATATATATATATATATATATATATATATATATATATATATATATATATATATATATATATATATACACGCATATACAAAAAATACATTAGGAAGGTATGTATATCCTAATAATATAAATAAGTTTATATAAAATAATATCAATAGATGGCACTAGTCTAGATATGTAAATGCAAAAACCAAACGTAACAGGCATGAAATATTTTAATACGAATAAGGATCACTGTCCTTATTAGTATTAAAAATATTTCTTAATTATTTGACAAGTGAATAAATCTTCAAGTGAATAAAGCTTCATTTAGTCTAGATGATAAAATATGCAATAAGTAACAGATCTACCAATATTCAATGTTCTTGATGAAAGCAGCCATCTTAACCGTTTAATTTTCAGAAACTGGTATCAACGATATCGCCATACTTGGCCTCTCCCAAGAGGATGCATTGTCGCCTTGGGCCCATCCAGCCTGCCTGCCAACGTCCAGCCCTCTGTTTGCAACCCCCTGTATCGCTGTGTCAGAACAGGACTATTATGTAAGTATTAAATAACATCTATTGTCACGTTGGTCTAATGGTTATTATACATGGCTTCTAATGATTTTCATTCGAGTCCAGAAAGTTCATAGTGTAAAACCCCGTATTATTTAAGCTTCCGCTCACCGAAGTGGGCCACCTCCTTGTGCATTTCTTAGCTTCGCGCCCGGCTGGATTGAAGGGCACTACTGAGCCCCCAACAAGCTGAACGCACGGTGCGGGGCGGAGGGAGGGGGGGGAGGGTTATAATCGAGTTCATACCTAATCATATTTACCTAAAATATTGTCGACTGGCACCGACTTCGAAAATATTTGATTAGGTATCTATTCTGAATGAAAACTCCCATTTAGTTATTTTTTTACATTTGAGTGTCTGGAAGTCGTTTTTTTTTAGTTTTTATTTTACCATTTTTAGTATAGACGTAAAAAGCAGGTAATTTGTAATTGTTTTTTTAACCCACGACGCAAAAAGAGGGGTGTTATAAGTTTGACGTCGATGTCTGTCTGTCTGTGGCATCATAGCTCTCAAACAGATGGACCGATTTCGATGCGGTTTTTTTTTCATTTGAAAGCCAGTTTCAGGCGGTTCCTGCCGGTTCAGATGTCTTCGAGTAATCGGTGAACATACATAAAAAAAGGTTCCGACGAATTGAGAACCTCCTCCATTTTGGAAGTCGTTTAAAAAAGACGATTTCCCATATTACATTTAATATAAAATTAATCAATTTAATATATTTTTCCTTTTGTTTTTATTTCAGCTCAACGCTGTTATACCTAGACAAAGTAATTGTGTGATCGGCGGCAAGCCGCTAGAAGAGACGAGGCTATGCGCAGTTTCGCCCAAAAACGACTACATCCCAGAAGTGGGTGGGGGGCTGTTTTGTGAACAAGAGACTGTACGTATATCTTATATATCAATAGCTTGTTTGTATTGGAACTAATGTATATTTAACTTTTATTTTAATAAATTAAAATATATACGCAGTGGTAGCGCAATGCGCGCTCGCTTGGGAAACCACGAAAACCTTACGTTGAAGGAAAACATCGTGATTATAATAAAATTTCATTAAATGTGTTCATAACGAAAAATGACTCATTTAACGGTCTGAATAACAGGCCAAGGTTAATGCATATCCTCAGGAACATGGTGTATATACAGGGCCGGATTATCCATAAGGCAGTTTAGGTAATTGCATATGGGCCCTGCATCGGCTAGGAGCCCCACGCACGGAGAAAAAAACACGTAACGTTAATATATATATATATATATATATATATATATATATATATATACACCATGTTCCTGAGGATATGCTATATATACAAGAATTGCTCATTTACTATTAATAAAATAATAATTTTTTTATTCTTTTATTTTTGTTTCCAGTCAATGAATAATATCAATTATGTCGTGAATGGCATCTATCTCTCTAAGCACAACAGTCTATCTGTCTACACCAACATCTCACACTATATCAAATGGATAGACGAAACAATTGAAGATTTAAAAATATAGTACACAAAAACAATAAAATATTTAAGAAACTGTTATTTTATTTTTTTCTATGTACCATTACCATCTTGGACGTGTGTAGTACATTAATATTGCCTGCCTTATAGGTCTAGAGGAGTTTCAAGTAAAGCGGACAACGAAAAAAGTTAGGTTTCAAAATAGTCAAAATTTTCTTTCAAATAATTACTTCCGGTTAAACACTATAAAAAGCCTTTTTTGGAATCTGAAAATCTTTTTTATTAAATCATAAAGAACAGTACATTTATTATCTATATCTATCTATAGGTACATATAATAAAATTGTAACTAAGCCGAATCTGTACATTAAATATTTTTTGGAAAATGTTATTGAAATAACATTATTATTGATACAGACGCCGAATCTATAGTTTTTAGAATTTTTGTCTGTATGTCTGTCTGTCTGTCTGTCTGTTACCGCATCACAGAAAAACCACTGGAGGGATTTTGATGAAATTTAGTATGGTGACAGCTGGTTATCTGGGTCAACATATAAGATACATTTTACCCTGGGAAAAAATCTCATTTCTAAAAAAAAATACAAAAACTACAATGTAAGAGTATACTAATATGTAAAACCTAAGAATTTAATTTTTTGGTCATCTGAACGCGGGCGGAGCCGCGGGGGGAGCCGCGGGCAATGCTAGTATATGATAAAATTCTAACTCATTGTGAGTCTAATCTGTACATTAAATATTTTTTGGAAAATCTTATTGAAATAGTTATTATTATCGATACAAAGGCCGAATCTATACCTTAGAATTTTTATCTGTCCGTCTGGGATTGCATCACGAGAAAATTACTGGACAAATTTTGATGAAATTTGATATAATGATAGCTGGTTATCTGGGTCAATCAATATATAGAATATTTTTTACTGCGGGAAAATATCTCATCACTGAGAAAGCTATACTAGATGTTAAAACGTCCCCCCCAACATGCGTTCACCTTGTCGTGGTGAGGGGGCTCAGTAGTGCCCGGCAATCCAACCGGGCGCGAAGCTAAGAAACGCACAGGGAGGTTGCCCACTTCGGTGGGCAGTGGGAGGTGGCCCTTTTCGGAGGGCGGTGTACCATGCGGGTTGCTCCTGGTACTTCTCTGATAGCAGAGTGGACCTTGGAGCAACCCCATGGTTGTGGTGGTCTGCTTCGGCAGACCTGCCGTCGGGGCGTCGTAGTTGAATGCGTAAGCGGTCCTGCGACGCCCCATTAAGACGGGGGAAGGTTTTGTTGGGTTTTAGTGGGTAGTACTGGCTGTATTACGCCGGTGAGTCCCACACGTCGTGCGTTTACGCATTTCCCAACGTTAAAAAAAAAAGGATGATAAAACGTAACTAGATTCTAATATAATCTTAGTTCGAATCCCGAGTAGGGCTAAGTATAATACGTTTTCCGTGCATAAATGTTCCATCAAATTTTAAGATTCTAAAGAAATAAAGAGATTAGATTTCACTTGCATTTATGTTTTACACCTATCTTTTGTGCATAGTTATAGCCTCTTTGAGGCAGGCCACAGGACGAATCCCCCCCAACGTGCGTTCACCTTGTCGTGGTGGGGGGGCTCAGTAGTAGTACGAAGCTAAGAAACGCACAGGGAGGTTGCCCACTTCGGTGGGCGGTGGGAGGTGTCCCTTTTCGGGGGGCGGTGTACCATGCGGGCTGCTCCTGGTACTTCTCTGATAGCAGAATGGACCTTGGAGCAACCTCATGGTTGTGGTGGTCTGCTTCGGCAGACCTGCCGTCGGGGCGTCGTAGTTGAATGCGTAAGCGATCCTGCGACGCCCCATTAAGGCGGGGGATTGTTTTGTTGGGTTTTAGTGGGTATTACTGGCTGTATTACGCCGGTGAGTCCCACACGTCGTGCGTAAATGCATTTCCCAACGTTAAAAAAAAAAAAAGGCCACAGGACGAATCGACAAAAAAAATTCAGTACTAGAGACTTTACACATGCACACAGATTACAATCCTGTCAAACAAATGAATGACCGTTAAAGGAGGAAAGAAGTCAAAACAAGAAAATACTTCAAACATTTACGACGGTAATATACGTAAGCTTTATACAGATTACAGACGAACTGACCAAAAAAAGTCACTTAGATAACCTATAATAAATCTTTATCAAACGTTTTTTCCAATGAGATAGGACCTTTCACGTATACAATTATATTACAAGTAAAGTTATCATAATGGAATACCTAATTTAATATTGTCACGCATAAGTTTGAATTAATAGTATTTTTATGTTTTTAATGTACATTGTTTTAATATTTTTGAATGTTGGTAAATTCAATTACGCATGTGGGACTCACTGGCCAGAAAAGCCAGTACTATCCTCCTACTAACTACTACCAAGACCCAACGATACATCCCCTGTCATAATGTGACGTCACAGGGTCACTTACACACACACCCCCTACGTCAGATCACGAGAACCATGGGGTTACTCCCACGGTACGCTCTGATACTGCTCTCAGAGAAGTCCTAAGAGCAACCCGTATAGTACCTACATCACCCTCTGAAGCGGGCCACCTCCCAATGTGCCTCTTGGGTTCACACTCTGCTGCATGGAGGATAATACGATAATGAGACACCCTTTCCCCTCCCCCTCCCACAACCCCCTCCCCCTCCCACAACCCCCTCCCCCTACCACAACCCCCTCCCCCTTTCCCACCCCTCCCACGACAAGAAGAACACATATCGGGGGATATCTACATTAAATACCTCGAGTAAGTAACATATTCAATGGTAAGGGATAAATGCTATAGTGATTATATTATATGTTTGTCCGTGGCAATGAGTTTTTCTGCGATAAAGTAGCTTATTTCACACTCCAGCTCTTCAACTCTGTCAAATGTCCAGCAAGACGGACTATAGCCTGATCCCTAGGCATTAAAAAGGGCAGATTAAATAGCTACCATATATGTATGTACATAGATAAAAATAGTTATTGCGAGTGTACCTCAGGATATAGATGTATGCTGTTGCAGATTTTTCTGTAGGTCTTTTTAAGACCTAACATTTTCTAGTACAATGATTCTAATCTATACTAATATTATAAAGAGGTAAAGTTTGTGAGTTTGTGATACTGTAGGGGGTAATCTCTGGATCTACTGAATGGATTTAGATGAAATTTGGCAAGATAGTTTAAGACCCTGGAAAGGATATAGGGTACTTTTTGTCCCGGAAATCATCCATTAGAGACCCCCCCAACGTGCGTTCACCTTGTCGTGGTGGGGGAGGGCTCAGTAGTTCCCGGCAATACAGCCGGGCGCGAAGCCAAGAAACGCATAGGGAGGTGGCCCGCTTCGGTGGGCGGTGGGAGGCGGCGATCTTCGGAGGGCGGTGTACCCCCGCGGTTGTTGTGGTCTGCTTCGGCAGACCTGCCGTCGGGGCGTCGTAGTTGAATGCGTAAGCGATCCTGCGTCGCCCCATTAAGACGGGGGAAGGTTTTGTTGGGTTTCAGTGGGTAGTACTGACTTCGTCGGTGTGTCCCACACTTCGTGCGTAAATGCATTTCCCAACGTTAAAAAAAAGGGGGGTGAAATTGGGGATGAAAGTTTGTATGGGGATCAAATCAGAGACTAACCCGAGCGAAGCGAGGGTGAGTCGCTAGTGAGTATATAAAGAGATCGGACGACAAACTAGTGCTCAGTGACTTCAACTTGTCAGCTGCAGTATAGTCAACTCTAGGTTTTACATGGAAATAAATTTTTATGAAGGAAATGGTCTTATAATTGCTCCTTACAATTTCCTCAATTTTACTGATTTTAGAAAATTTGATTTAATTTATAGATTAGGCCTCCGTATCGATAATAATGTTTATTTCAATAAAATTTTCCAAAAAATATTTAATGTACAGATTCGGCTTAGTTACAATTTTATTATATAGATTTACATATAACAATAACTACCTAAAGATATCATATATATGGTTCATTACAGGCGAACCCTGCAATATAGACACATTTGTAGGAACATGCAAGCCGATTATGGAATGTTCAATTGCTATAAAAGTAGTAAGCGAGGATATAGAACATCCACCGGTAAATTGCACACTTATTTTTAATTCATTTCATTCTTCCAGCCATTTTAACATTTAACTGCTTTCACCAATAATGCCAGCATCTCACACCAAGATGACCCGACAGCGCCGGAGATATTATAGTGTACGCGCAGACACAAGTGTGCTCTCTATTCCTGTCACTCTCATACTCTGGTGGGACGAGAGTGACAGGAATAGATATCAGTTTAAAATAATGTATATATTATTATAATATATATATATATATATATATATATATATATATATATATATATATATATATTAAAACTTTAGGAATTAGTCCTGGGCCTCACGGACCTAGGTGTAAATCCACCGTTGTGCGGACGATACAATAGCTCTTTTCATAGCTGATTGTTAGTTTCGACAGATTTTTCGGAACCTCCTTTTCAATAAACCTTGTATTCATTAAAATCTTTTTTCATATTGTTGGCCATGTCTGTTTTGTTAATGCACTTAATTTGATTGTAGACATGCTTCTGGCAAGAGAAGACTCCTATAGTCTGCTGTCCACCAACCAACGTAGATATCATAAGCGGTCCAAAACCAATCAGAGCGCTATTTAGAAGTGGCCGTGTGAAGAAGACAAATGATATGGTAATTTGTGACTTACACTCTTGACTTAGGGACTATTTAAGGCGGACGCTGTTATATTTAACAGCGTCAAAAACATAAATCAATTTTTTATTATTATTATGGGATATTTTTTTTTTGATGATTGATGATTGGGCTTCTGAAAATAAGATTCTTCATAATATGAGTAGAATCTATTATATGAGTTTCGGCAATATAAGTTAAAAGTTAGAAATTTAATTCGATTTATTTTTTATGCCAACGCATTACAAAACTTCTAAAGATTACAGGGTAAGGTTAGATAACCTATAACCTCGAAACCAGTAGTTGCCCAAATTAATTCTTGCAAACAAAAAAAAACTATCTATACGTATAATAAAATTGGAACTAAGCAGAATCTGTACATTAAATATTTTTTGGAAAATCTTATTGAAATAGAAATTATTATCGAAACAAAGGCCGCATCGTTTTTAAAAAATTTGTCTGCCTGTCTGTCTCTCTGTTACTGGACTGGACACTGGACAGATTTTGATGAAATTTGGTATGATGGTAGCTGATTATTCGCTTCAACATATGGGATACTTTTGTTTGCGGGAAAATATCTCATTTCTGAAAAAAATACAAAAACTGCATTGTAAGAGTATACTAATATATAAAACCTAAGAATTTGGTTTTTGTTCATCTGAACGCGGGCGGAGCCGCGGGCAATGGTAGTCAATAATAAAAATACAATCCAAAAGATAAATTATTATTAACCAGTGACTTGCCCTAACCTAGCTACGATGCTTCTATTATAAATAAGTTAAATACACACAAGCAGCTATTATAAAATATGTACATATGTAAGTCTCCGACTGGCTGATATTATGTTGTATTGTATGTCTACTTGTTTTCATCTTTTTAGTTCTCTTTTTACGCAGTCGGTTCTTTTATTTTTGTAAATATTTGTTTTATTTATTGTTTTTTAGCATTTCTCATTCCAAATTACGTTTAAACATATAACTTGTGTGTATTTTTGTAAGTCATTTATAAAACTGTTTATTTTGATACCCAACTCTTTAGGTTTTGAGGAAAAAAAATTGATGTCATACAATCGATAATATGGCGCTAAAAATCGACCAATCTAATTTTTATAATTTTGATATACCCAGTATCACAATTAAGACGAATCTGACGACACCTCTCAAGCTAATAACATAACCCTCCCTCTGGCGCAGTTGGGTAAAAAACGTTATTTTGAACTTACTTTACAAGATAGACATGTGCTATCGCGCACTTTTCTGTAGGCCTTTTTAAATTATACAATTTTTTACTAAATGATGGTTTGATGTATCTTAAGAGATACATCAAACCCATTTTTTATATATCAAAACAATGTACAAGAAAATTAAAGATCTTAGTTTAACCCAGGTTCTCCTCAGGTTTCCTCACGATTACTAGTTTATTTACTTAAATCTTAAGTCAGGGCGCGCCCGAGTGAAGCGAGGGTAAGTGGATCTGGATAATATGTAAAAATTAGTAATAATCTGTACGCATATTTTTTTATCTGTAAATAAGCAGATTTTTTTATGTACAAAAAATATACATATGTAAGTCAGGATTTGGAAAAAATATTTTTTATTCCCAATCCTGCTTTTCGAATCCAGCTTTATTATTATTACATGACTACTAAAAGGCATAATCTTTGCCCAGATCTGTCGGTATGAGGACCGAGAGCCGTTTTTATGCTGTGGAATTTCAAAATATCAAGTTACACCAGAACCAAAAGGATGTCCGCCTCTACCGAGCCCTAAACTGAACACTCCTGTGGAACATCCCGCCTGGACAAGTACGTGCGTGTTTTGAACTATTATTATAAATGCAAAAGTTAAGTGTGCGTGTGCGTGTGTGTGTATGTTTATTATCACTAATAACCTATAACAGATCACATAAGCTACTCTTACTCATCTAAGGAAACACTCAGGCGTAATGAGGGTCGCTAGTATGAATATAAAATCAATTTGTATTACCTATAAGGTTTTAAACTAAATATTGTTATGATATCATCATGATCTGACTGCCCATTTCCCAAATTACTTGGGGTCGGCGCAGTACGTCCGTACTGCTTGTTGGTTTTGGCATAAAAAAATCCGACCGGCCGCCTGCCTGACGTCAACCCTCTTTGGGAATGCTGTCGTTTGCCCGTTATCAAGCAAGGGACTTAAGGACCTGTCGCTAGGTCCTTTAGTCGTATTCTACGACACCTAAAGAAGGAGATGAAGTAGCCATATTCTAAGCCGGGCGCCACGGTTAATAATTTTAAATATTCCGTCTTACATCATAATATTATTATGAATTATGATGTATGACGGAATATTTACAATATTTAGGCAATCACTTACTTTTGAGAGCTTCCAATATTTCGGCACTGTTGTGCATATTCGCCATGGTCACGGGTATACCGATGGTTTTGCGAATGAATGTTAAACGTTTTATTGACTACGGACAAAACGGAAATAACTTGTAATGCAAGGCAAAACTTACACAGAATAAAAGAATTGAATTGAATTAAATTGAAAACCTTTTTTGTAGACTAGCTAATTAAAAAAAACAACCTACATTTTTATTATCTTTTCAGAATGTGTTAGCTACCAGCGGTATTATAACGTATGTGTAGCAAAATCGGAAGACAATAAACGTTTCATTAGAAAAAATACTTGTCCAAAAACAAAAATGGGACTAAGAATAATAGATGGAACACCATCCGAGCTCAGGCAGTTTCCACATATGGTACGTATAGGGTAAAAGCCGGATAGTTGCCCTACTTTTTGAAAAACTCCAATTACATAAATATTAAGAATCTACTTACAACATGCCCCGTGTATAATGCAACGTTGGTCTTTAATCTTTCATTGTGACCTATTTTTTTAAACACAATCAATATTGTTTTTCAGTAAATCCTTTATTTGACCTCTACAAAAGGGGGTAGTTGCCTTCTGTGGCGGATAGTTGCCTTAAAAATAAAAATGCTTTGGGGGATACTTGTCTCATGTGGGGATAGAAATTGTTGCAATTTTTTTGAATTAAAACAAATTTATGTAAAATTAATCAACCATTATTAATTATCAACATCAATTTATTAAGTGGGTACTAATCGAAATCAATACAACTTTTAAAATATAAATAAAATCTCCAAAATTTTAAGTTACAAATAATAATTAACTTTGAAGATAAAAACAATATAGTAATCAACTTTGACACAAATATTAAAATTAGTGGGTAGGCGGATATCACCAAAAATGTTTAAAAAGCATCATCAATTATGAAGCCATAACTTTTAATTTTCCACATCTCCACAATATTCTTTGAATTTAAACTTAAAACTTTGAAATTGAACTTGTTCATAGTTTCCTGGAAATACAATCCAGTACGATTTGGAATTAGTATTATTGTCATTTTCAAAACAATTAAAATAATCATCAACAGAAACTTTATCATTCGCATTTTCTATTTTTGTATTAATGCTAATAACTTTTAGTGTCTTTTCAATCTCTCTTGTCATGTTTAATTTCTTACTACTTTTTTTGTATTCCTTTTGTAGCTTTTTCTTTGGCTATTTTTGTATTTATAAAGTTTTTTTCATTTTCACTCTCGGAACTATAAGTTTGTTATTTGTCATCCTTAAAGCTCTTTCTCCGTTCAGTTTAATTAAATCTATGTTTTCAAATTCTGTTTCACTGCGAGAGAAATCGACATATTTTTTGATCTTTTACTTTCATTTCGACCTCTTTTCTTCATAATTATCATCTCGTTATCAACGGGTTTATTTTCTACTGTCTTAAAATCTTTTTATTTCGTTGTCTAAATTCTAGTTCTTTTTGTAATGTTTTTTCCTTCTTCTTTATGCTTTTTTTTTAACAATTTTTTCGTTCGAATTTAAAACACCTGCAGATTGTTTATCCCTTTTAGACATGCTAAGCTCTTGCTCATATTTGCGAGGCATTTCGCCTACTTACAACACTAATTGTCCTTAGGGCGACTATCCGCAAAATTATATAGGGCGACTATCCTTTTCGGTACGGATACCCAGTCATGGGTGTTTATATTTATAATATGTATGTATTTCAAGTTAGATATATGTAGTGCATCAACTATCTAGTATCCATAACACAAGCCTCGTAGCTTACCATGGAACTAGATGGTGCTGTGTTTTAATGTCCCAACGTATTTATTATTTATAAAAGAATATAGAGTACACTTGAGCATTATAATGTCATAGTGGCAAGTTTCAATGAGGTTGGCCGCTGAACTAAAACTGTTTTTAAGGATATTAAATATACATATATTATTGTTTTCAGGCTGTTATAGGTTGCGCAGCCGTCGCACGAAGCACAGATGATATTGATATCTCATGGATAGGAGGAGGGTCTCTGATAAGCGACAAGTTTATATTGACAGCTGCTCACGTTATCTTACAAACTAAGGCGTAAGTATAGATTAAACAAAGTGTTATGTTAGTTAATATATTCTCAATTGATTAATTGTAGGTAACTACATCATGAATAACTAAAAGAAGTTAATTTACTTTGAAATTCAAGTAATTGTTAATAATCCTCAATATGGTCTTATTTTAGATTAAATATTTTTGTTATTTTCTTTATCGTGTGGATACCCCAAAATGAAGGTTTTTAAGAAGCCATTAATTAAAAAAATTATAAAAATTAAAAAAAAAAAATTATATATTCAGCCCTTTTTAACTTCCCACTACTGGGCACGGGGCTACCTTCAGTACGAAAGGGATTAGGCCATAGCCCAAGTTGGCCAAGTGCTGGTTGGCGGACTACACATGTCTTTCGAAAATTTACTAAGTTCTCTCAGACATTCAGGTTTCCTCGCGACGTTTTCCTTCATGTTCCGCGATGTTTGTTCATGGCAAGTGGTAGTCATGTTGGAAATGATTCGCACATGAAACTTGTATTTGAACCCACTTCTCAGTTTCCGGCCACTACTGCCTAAAATTATATAAATATCTAAAAATAACTCAAGTTAACAAATTGTTAAATGCAATTAAACACCTCTAACTAAGCAAAACTAAAAAATGATATATAAAAAAAACCGAGAGCATAAAATGTGAACTAAATATATTATAAAAATTAAAAACCCGACTGAATTAAAAGCTAACTAAAAAGATCAAAACAAGTTGACGAAGGAATAAAGTATTATGCAATCGGAGACAATTTATTAGTTTTTGTATACATAATATAATAATAATATTTCCTGTGTTGCGGTAACAGACAGACAGACAGACAGACAGACAGAAATTCTAAAAAAGATAGATTCGGACTCTGTATCGATAATAATGTCTATTTCATAAGATTTTCCAAAAAATATTTAATTTACAGATTTGACTTAGTTAGAATTTTATTATATGTATAGATATAGATTTTTTTATTTAATTGTTGAATAAGTTTTGAATTTTGATATGATATGAACCTCGAATCTTCCTATAACATCTGGTTTGCTTCCAGTATAATATGCACTTGCCAGCTCCTTGAAAATTTTGGTTTTGTTAAAAGATGGTTATAATGACGTCCTACATATTAAGTATTTTGACAACACGTTTGGCTCAGTTTGTAGTGACCCTTCTTGTTGTACCAGCGGTCGCGGGTTCGAGTCCCGCTGGGGGCATTCATTTGTGTGATGAGCACGAATGTTTGTACACCTGTCATGGGTATTTATATTTATAATATGTATGTATATAAAGTTATATGTGTAGTGTATCAACTATCTGGTATCCATAACACAAGCCTCGTAGCTTACCATGGAACTAGATGGTGCTGTGTATTAATGTCCCAACATATGTATTTATTTGTTTGTAAGTATATAGCCCGACGAGAGTTGTTATTACATCATTATATGTATATAAAGATACCAAAAATTGTATACTTTTGTAAAAAAAATTAAAATCATTGTGTTATCCTGTGTAACAACTATATACCTTTAAGATGCCGAAAACCTCAGTTTCTCCCGTGACTATGATTATTGTAAACTTTACAATGTAAAGCATTCGAAACATCGGGTACCAAAAATTAAAATAAATTTCGAAAAATTTCGAGTTTTTTTTAATGTCAAATATTCTCGTAAAAAAACTAAAAAAAAAATAATTTTTTCAGGGGTGTTCCACGATATGCCTTACTAGGGACTTTGGATAAAACAAAAGTACAAGACGGAATGTTGTACAACATAATAAACAGAATACCACACAAAGAATACGCTTATATGGCAGACGTCAAGAAACATGATATTGCACTAGTAGAGCTGCATGAAAGGTATGATAAAATATTAAACACTAGCATTTCCCGCGGCTCCGCCCGCGTTCAGGTGACCAAAAAGCAAATTCTTAGGTTTTACATATTAGTATACTCTTACATTGCAGCTTTTGTACTTTTTCTCAGAAATGAGACATTTTCCCGCGGTAAAAATTATCCTATATGTTGATCCGGATAATCAGCTATCACCCTACCAAATTTCATCAAAATCCCTCCAGTGGTTTTTCTGTGATGCGGTAACAGACAGACAGAGAAAAATTCTAAAAACTATAGATTCGGCCTCTGTATCGATAATAATGTCTATTTCAATAAGATTTTACAAAAAATATTTAATGTGCAGATTCGGCTTAGTTACAATTTTATTATATGTATAGATTAGGTTAAGTTAGCTTGGGTTAATCTCAGAAACCTCTATGCTCTCTGTCGCGAGAATGTGGCTGTCTTGCGGCAGTCGCAACGAGTTATGGCGACGAGAGCTATAAGGGGTTACCGGACCATCTCGGCAGATGTGGCGTGCGTGCTGGCCGGAGTAACACCCTGGGACCAGGATGCGCTTTCCTTGGCGTCGATCTATTGTCGGCGTCGAGGCCTTGCGTCCGGGGACCTCAGCCTAGCACAGCACGAGAACGAAGAGCGGGATGCCGCAATCGAAGAGTGGCTCGCAAGGTTGGAGCACGCATCGGCTGGCCGGAGAACTATCGACGCAGTTTGCCCCGTCCTCAGGCAGTGGCTGGCGAGACGTCACGGCGTCCTCACCTTTCGGCTGACGCAGGTCCTCACGGGGCACGGGTGCTTCGGCGGATACCTGTGCCGCGTCGCCGGAAGGGAGCCGGATCCACGCTGCCACCACTGCCACGGCTGCGTTGACGAGTCGGCCCAGCACGTACTCGAAGAGTGCCCAGCCTGGGAATCGGAGCGTGAGGAGCTCCGAAGTGTTGTGGGGGCTGACCTGACGTTGCCGGCTGTGGTCTCGGCCATGGTTGGTAGCGAAAGGTCATGGGCTGCCGTCCTATCCTTCTGCGAGGACGTGATGTCGCGGAAGGAGGCGGCGGAGAGAGAAAGGGAGGCGACTTCCGACCTCGCTATCCGCCGCAAAAGGACCGGGCGCCGGAGAGCGGCCCACGATCACCGCCTCCCCCCCTAACACCAGCCAGAGGGCGGTAGACTTGGGGAAGTCTGCCGCCTAATCACCTGGCCCGAGTAGGCGCGCGCGGTGTCCCCCGCGCGCTACTCCAGACGTCGTCGTTGAGGGCGCTGCTCCCGCCCTCCGACACCGAGACGTGCCGAAAGGCAATCGCCGTCAGGGTTCGCGGATGATTCTTTAGTTCCCGTGGCCCCGACCAGGAGGCGAATGAGGCGGACACAGTCAGGTTTTAGTGGGTAGGCTGCCGTGCGTTTACCACCTTTTGCGCGGCAGGAGCCCCACATAACCCGTCGTTCTTCCCCAGGCGGCGGGTACCCGGCAACAGGGTTTCCTGACTGAAACCTCTGTACGGATTTTCATACAGATTTCACCAATAGATAGATGGATTATTTAGGAAGCTTATAGGCTGAATTTATAACCATTCTTCAAAAATATAATCTACCGGTATGACGATAGGTACCTGTGGTGATCATGTTGAAAATGATTCGCACTGTAGTAGTGTAAGTAAGTATTAAGGCATGACGTATATATTATTCAGTATATAATCGAGTATTTGATATAATAAAGAGTAGTCTTGATTCAAACTTCGTTCGTTTCACTTATCCCACTACTCCCACCGTACATGGCGACCCTGCCAAAGGAATTCGCTCGGTAACGCGATGCGCCTCCCATATTTGGAGTGGAACTTTTATGTGGCTATTTCTTTACCTAAATAATTATGGACTTAAATTATTTTTATTCGCGCCAGCATATACTCGTCTTCTTGCATTCTCGAAAAAATGGGCAAGCAACAGTCAAAGGAGGATACTATAATTGTCCAAAATGCAGCAGCCGGCAATAATCAATCACAGTTGGAGGAATTTAGGGTGCATCTTTCCACCATCAATATATTATTAGGTGTGATTGTGCTGGTCATATGTGTGGGAGCGATATATTGCGGTTATCACACGTATAAGCGGTGCCTCATGAAGTGGATATCATCGGAGATAACCCGGAATACGGTGCGAAGGTCTTTATTCCGTCAGTTCCAGCAGCCCGTTCTTCCCATGGCCGCACCAGACGAGGCCTATCAGCCAGGCCAAGCCCTATTCTCCAAGGCGAAAGTGTGAGTGTAGTGCGAAAATATTAAATAAATACGTATCGCGGAGTGTAGTGTTACATATATTATGATACGTCTCGGAATAATAGGTATATGGATGTATGATGAGACAGTAATTTAACTATTGACTGTAATGTATAATTGTAAGTTATTTTATGTATTAATATATGGTATTACATTATTCGCTTAAAATGTTTACTCTTGAAATATTTATGTGCGTATTAATTTTAAATAATCTACATGTTGGTGGTAAGTTATGGCTCTTGTTTTAAATCAATTATATGAAGAATTAAAGAAAGTAAAATCATATTTAATTAAAATTGGACCAAGTAGGCGACAAGGAAATATATTACAAATTAAGTTAAGTGAAGCTAATGTTATTTTTAATAAATATTCGAGTTGGTTAGTAAATTTTAAAAAAGAGATAAGTGAGGGAAAATTGAAAAGTGAGCATATATCTCTTTATGAGAATTCTTGTAAGAAGTTTGATTTGTTATATAAGGATATTTTAGATTTGTGTTCTGATTGTGTTGAAAGCATAAGTTGTATCGAAATGGATACTTTCGATTTAAAAACGGCTTTGACCTTGATGCCTGTTATGACAAACGATGAAACGAGTATAAAGCAATTAGTAGATAATATTAAATATTATGATTCCTTGCTTAAATACCCTGATTGTAAAAATAACTTAATAAGATTTGTATTAAAAAGCAGACTATCACAATCTGCTAAGTTACGTCTCCAAGATATTTAATCTTGCGTTGAAGCGTTAGTTAGCGATATGAAAAAACAGTTATTACCAAGTAAAGGTGCAACGGCTATTCAAAAAAAGTTACATAATATAAAACAAAATGACATGTCTATTTCAGATTTCGGAGAAGAAATAACGGAATTGTTTGTGAACCTTACGATTGCGCTAGCCGATGGTAAAACAGAAAACTACAATGTTTTTAAGCCCATTAATGAAAACCAAGCAATTAAACAGTTTTCCGATGGCTTACGAAATCGTAGGCTCAGTACTTTAATAGCGGCTAGAAATTTCAGCTCGCTGAAGGATGCGATACAAGCAGCCAAAGATGAGGAAACTTCGCCCCCCTCCTTTTCAGGTGAAGTAATGGGTATGTTTAAACGAAACTATATATCTAAAAATTTTAATAACAGCCTTAGGTATCGAGCATCTAATCGCCAAACGTCTTCACATAGAGGACGCTCGTTCCGAGGGAGATCGCAGCGCGGTTGGAACTCTCCTGCATCGCGAGGCCAAGGCCAGCGCGGAACTTACAATCGAGGTATGTACAATAGACCATACCAGGGAAGTAGAGGGATGAAAAGAAATTTTATAAATATTATTAATGAACATGAAAAGCCCACTTCAGAATTAGAACCAAAATTAGATCAGTTTTTTCGTGAATAAACAGTATCATTCTATTTTAGCTAGTAATAGCGATAGTTTTGTTCATATATCTATAGCTTCGTACAATAAAACTTATTCATTTTTAATCGATACGGGTGCCTCATTATCGGCTATATCATATAAACATGTGTGTCATTTGAATATCCCATTTCACAAAGATATCGTTACTATAAATGGACTCGGGGGCAAAGTACAAACTATCGGATATGTTTACATTCCAATGTCTTTAAAAGGACAAGTAATTGATCACAAGTTCTTTGTATTTGACTCGTTACCAATTTTATCTAATGGAATTATTGGACGTGATTTTTTAAAACGATTTAGGGCACACTTAGACTTCAATAAAAATATTTTATCTTTGAATTTTGGGTTGAAACAAAATGTTATTTTACCTATTAACAATAGTTGTACATTTAGTAATTTTTATATACCATCTCGCAGTGAGTCGGTGCATTTTATTCAAATTCAATTTAAAACTGACTGTGTTATTTGTTCAGAGGAATTACAGGACGGTCTTTATCTTGCTAGTTCAATTGCAAGTCCGGTAAATGGCATGGTTCCAGTAAAAATTTTGAATACCACTGATAAAAATATTACATTGTCGAATATTACTCCTAAAGTACATAAACTTAGTGATTATAATATTTGTTCTTTTGATAAATCAGAGAATAGTTCAGATAGAGTAAAAACTTTATTTTCTTTATTAAAATTATCTGATCTCAATAGTGAAGAGTCAGAGAGTATAAAAAATATTTGTGCGAAATATGCCAACAATTTTTTACTTACCAGGAGATAAATTAACTGTTACGGATATTTATACACAAAATATTTCATTAAAGCCGAATGTGGCTCCAGTTTTTGCAAAACCTTACAGATTACCTAAAATTCAGAAAGATGAAATTAAGCAACAACTTGGTCAAATGTTAAAAGAAGGTATTATTGAACCTAGTAGAAGCAACTGGTCGAGTTCCGTATTGTTAGTGCCTAAAAAATGTGATTCAACTGGACAGAAAAAATGGCGTTTAGTCGTCGATTATCGAAAGTTAAATAATTGCATAGAAGATGATAAATATCCGCTTCCTGACATAACAGAAAAATTAGAGTCATTATCTGGAAGTGTCTACTTCTCACATTTAGACTTACATCAGGGTTACTATAATATTGAATTAGATAAAATGAGTAGAAAATATACAGCTTTTTGTTCGGGTCAATACCAAATGTGTCGGATTGGATGCCTATGGGTTTAAAAACTAGCCCTAGTTCATTCTCCAGACTGATGAATTTAGCAATGTCAGGTTTGAACAATGAAAAATGCTTGATTTATATGGATGATTTGATAGTTTTTGGTCGAAATTTGGAATGTCATAATAAAAATTTACAGGATGTATTCGAAAGGTTACAAAAAGTAAAGTTAAAGTTAAACCCTTCTAAGTGTACTTTTCTGAAGAAGCAAATTTTGTATCTAGGTCACTTGATATCAAATGAAGGTATTTTACCCGACCCAGAAAAAGTTGTTACAGTAAAAAATTATCCCTGTCCGCAGAATATAGATGAAGTAAAGAGATTTGTTGCATTCACAAACTATTACAGGAAGTTTATACCTAAGTTTTCCGAAATTGCATATCCCCTGAATAATCTTTGTAAGAAAAATGTTAATTTTATTTGGGATAAAAAATGTCAAGATGCTTTCGAAACACTAAAACAACACCTCCTATTTTAGATTATCCGGATTTTTCACAGCAAAATTATTTTATATTACAAACTGATGCTTCTAATAAGGCAATAGGAGCAATTTTGTCAAATAAAAATGAACGTCCCGTAGCTTTTACTAGTAGAACTTTGAATAAAGCCGAATCAAATTACCCGGTCATTGAGAAAGAACTATTAGCTATAGTTTGGGCTGTCAAACATTTTCGCCCTTACCTATATGGTCAATATTTCAAAATAAGAACAGACCATAAGCCATTGATTTACTTATTTGGGATGAAAGATCCATCGAGTAGGCTAATGAAATTTCGGTTAGTATTGGAAGAGTATAATTTTGAAGTAGAGTATGTCAAAGGAGCGGATAATGCAGCTGCAGATGCATTGTCTAGAATCTGTTTAACATCGAAAGAATTGAAGGATATGTGTTACGATATTAATGTATTACACGTAATGTAGTACACGAGCTCAATCAAGAAAAATTAACATTCCAGATTCTTCTTCGTTGGATATGGTACACACTGACCCGAGGCTTGATCAACCAAAGGTAGTGAGTACTCATGTTAAACCGGTAGAATCAGTAGAAATGTGTATGATAAATGCCAATGATTTAAGAAAATTGAGAAAGTTAGGACATATATGTCACGAAAATAAAACGTTTTGTTATGATTCAAAGAAAGATATTATTTATATAAAATATCTTAGCTCAGACTCACAGATAACGCGACGCGAATTTATGAATGAACTAGATAAATTTTGTGACAATATTAAAGTAAACGAAGTATGCATAATAAAGAAGGACGGTAATGAAGAATTTATTAAGAAATTAATTAAAGAAATAAAATAGGACAGGCCCACGCGTTTGTATAATAAATAATGTAAAAACGATTTATAACAAAGATGATAGGAAGGTAATTTAAACGATTTCCATCTCCTGCCTAGCAGTGGCCATGCTGGCATGAGAAGGATGATCAATAATATTAAAAGATATTATTATTGGCCTGGATTAGATAATGAAGTTAGACAATATGTTAAACGTTGTGACAAATGTCAGCGTCAAAAACATTTCTTACCAATAAGGGAACCCATGAATATAACAACAACTGCCAATACAGCATTTGAAAAGGTATTTCTAGATTTGGTAGGTCCATTTGAGGTTGATAATAATAATTACTCATACATTTTAACTATTCAATGTGAACTAACTAAGTATGTTGAGGCATATCCTTTGGTTTCTAAAAAAGCACAGGAAGTAGCAAAAAGTTTTGTTAACAATTTTATTCTTAGGTATGGAGTACCGAAAGTAATAGCTACAGACAGAGGGAAGGAGTTTATCGCAGCTACGTTTAAAGAGGTATGTAGTTTATTACAAATAAAACAGTTAAACTCTACATCATATCATCATCAATCATTAGGTGCATTGGAAGTGTCTCATAAAAATTTAAATTCATTTCTTAGAATCCAAACTGATAATCACCCTGAGACATGGAGTAGTTGGCTTCCATTCTGGTCATTTGCTTTTAATACAACAGTTCACTCAGAAACTAAGTTTACCCCATATGAATTAGTATTTGGAAAGAAATGTTCACTACCCAGTAATTTAACCGCACATCTAGAACCATTGTATAACCTTGATAACTACCCTTGTGAACTTAAATATCGTATACAGATGACACAAAAGGATGCTAGAAATAATTTGTTAAAATGTAAACAAAATAAAAAATTAAGTTATGATAAATATACTAATCCAATTACTTACCAGCCTGATGATATGATTTTGGTTAAAAATGAACAGGTAACAAATTGTGTTCATTATTCTCAGGTCCATTTAAAGTAATTAAGGATAAACCACCAAATGTAAAAATATTTAAAAATGGAAAAGTAGAAATAGTACATAAAAATCGTACAAAGTTATATGTACAATGATTAGAATATCAAGAATTAATACCAATGTATGTCTATGTATTGTTTAATCTTAGTTTAAAGAAATGTATCTTTTGTAATCTTTATATCTTTATATTTTATTGTAATGGGTTTTGTTTTACTTAATTTTATACAAAAAAAAATGTAACTAATATTATGTAATCATTTTTTTTTTCTTTTGGATGGATGGTGTAGTAGTTTAAGTAAGTATTAAGGCATGACGTATATATTATTCAGTATATAATCGATTCAAACTTCGTTCGTTTCACTTATCCCACTACTCTCACCGTACAATATCGTGCCATATTTTTTTTTACTCCTTTATTATTGCTATAATTTTAAAACGCAACACTTTCAACATATTTTCCAAAAATAATTTAAACTTTTAACAACTAGTTACGTAGGTCAAATCAACAAAATATATGAATAATACATAGTAAAACCACAAGGGCTTTATGTAAGTAATTAAGGAAATAACACGATATTGTGAATCAGATGATTTCGTTCAACACTAGCAACACTTGAAATATAGAAAAGAAAAAAGATCTATTTTTTTTGCCTCTGGCAACAAACCAGAACAATATCATAATGCATGTCTTGATATGTATAAAGAGGAAAAAAGCAGTTTTTGTTTGTTTCGAAATTTGTTGCGACTAAAAAAACTTTTCATATAAATATGATAAAATTATAACTGAGTCGAATTAACATTAAATATTTTTTGGAAAATTTTATTGAAATAGTCATTATTATCGATATAGAGGCCGAATCTATAGTTTTTAGAATTTTTGTCTGTCTGTCTTTGACTGCATGACGAGAAAATCAATGGACAGATTTTGATGAAATTTCAGTATGGTGATAGCTTTGAGATGATAGGATACTTTTGATTGCAGGAAAATATAAGCTGTGTTATCAAAAAGTAAAGTTTTTTTAATCTGGGGGTGCCTGTTATACAATTACATGTAAAATTAAAAGAGAAATTTGAACAGCTCACACAAAATACAAAATCTACTAATTCAGTAGTTAATCTAATACAGACTGAAGTGTTTTTATTGGTAGTGGTGATATTTTTATATTTCAGGCTCTCTTAGGTTATGGCAAAACAGAAAGCTCTAGCCAATGGCTTTGTGGTGGAACCATTATAAGTGAAAGATATATTCTGACAGCAGGACACTGTACGTCGAGTCGAGATTTGTAAGTCATCTATACATATAATAAAATTCTAACTGAGTCGAATCTGTATATTAAATATTTTTTGAAAAATCTTATTGAAAGAGTCAATATTATCGATAAAGCGTTCGAATCTACAGTTTTTAGAAATTTTCATCATAAGAAAACTGGACAGATTTGATGAAATTTGGTTATTAACATATAGGATAATTTTTATTGAGGGAAAATATATCATCTCTGAGAAATATATACTAACCGTTAAAACATATCTAGGGGCGAACCCGAGCGGGGCGAGGGTGAGTCGCTTGATTTGTAAAATAAACTACTTTTTAATTATAATAATTTTAATATTTTCTTATATTTAGACGAATATTTGATATTTTAAATAAAGCCTAAATGTTTTTTTTATTTCGAATGTTTTCGTTTCGTTTTGATTTTTTGGTTTTTGGGAGAGATCAACCTCTTGAGGCTAAAGCCGCTAAGAAATCTCTAAGCTATGAAAGCTGGAGAAGAGAATTCTCGTCCTCTCTATCTTCAAAATATATCTTGTTGTAGTGTACATAGTTTTATAATTCTTCAAATATTCAATTCAATTCAATTATCTTGTTATTGGCATCAAAGCGTGCCAGTTTAGCATAGTTTATCTCACCAATGTCACGTATAATGGAGAAGGCACGAGAGAGATTTGTCGAATTCTTTAAATATTATTTGATTTTAAAGTGTGTGTGTGTTTTATGTTTCAGCGGTAATGTCACTTACGCCCGCACAGCTCTACAACGCCGTACAGAACCAATAAACAGCCTTCGTACATATAAGATAAAAAATATTATCAAGCACCCTGAATATAATCCCCCTCATAGATACAACGATATCGCATTACTGGAGGTAGATAGAGAGTAAGTTTTACTTAATACTTTCTTAGATTTACGCAAATAATTGACATTTATACTTAATATTATAAAGAGGATAGATTTTTTTGTTTGTTTGTTTGTACTGTATAAGCTCCGAAACTACTGGATCGATTGAGATGAAATTTGATGAGAAGATAGTTTGAGACCTTGGAAAGGATATAGAATACTTTTTATTCCGGAAATCATCCATTAAGGGGGTAAAAATATGTTTGAAAATTTGTATTGGGAAGTAAGCTAGGGACGAACTTGAGTGAAGCGAGGGTGATTCGCTAGTCTATTATCATATAATAAAATTCTAATTGAGTACAATCTGTACATTAAATAGTTTTTGGAAAATCTTATTGAAATAGTCACTATTATCGATACAGAGTCCGAATCTATAGTTTTTAGAAATTTTGTCTCTCTGTCTGTCTGTCTGTCTATCAGTAAAACCACTGGATTGATTTTGATAAAATTTGGTATGATGATAGCTGGTTATCCGCGTCAACCTATCGTATCTCTGAGAAATCTATACTAAACGTTAATGCATACGAAGTCAAGACTTGAGTCAAGATGGTTTACAGTAAAATTGTCGTTCTATTTCAGTATGCAACTCGACCAGTTCGCTGTACCCGCGTGTCTAGATCTAGGGAGTCCTAACACGTATGACCGTGCGCTAGCCTCTGGATGGGGAGCGACCAAGAATCGAGGATCTAATGCTGATGAGTTACAGAAGGTAGTTTCTTTAATATTTCTTCTAAGGCAGTGGTGGCAGAGTGGTAACGCGTTTAGAAAACCAAGTGAAGTGGGTTCAAACTATGGGTCTTCCACCTCTGATATAATCTTCTTTAAATGTCTTACGGCGAAGAAAAACATCGTGAGGAAATCTTCTGTCTCTTGAGAAAACCTAGCAAGTTTTTGGAGGACGTGCTCAGTCCGTCCGCACTTGGCCAGCGTGGTTGGCTATGGCCAGTTGCCCCGAGTTTTGATGGAAGGCCCACCCCCAACAGTTGGAGCTTTAAAAGATGATTACTAATACTAAAAAAATATTTTTTACAGGTGGTTCTAGAGAAGTTTTCGACTGGGGAGTGTAGTGAATTGTTCCCATCGATGCGACTGATGGTCAACGGTTTCGATGAAAAGACTCAAATATGCTATGGAGATAAGAACATGTCCAAAGATACTTGTCAGGTAAAGATATTAGTACTTTTCGTAATAAATATTATTCATAATAGATTGTTTTTTCATTGTTTTATTTATTTTTCTATTTTACTGTTGAAATTTACTTTTATTTTTTGTCATTATGTGTGATTTTTTTATTTGAAGTAAAACTTGTTTAGGTGAGACTGAGGGGTAAGTTAATACATTGGAAAAATGGGTGTCGCTGAAGTAAGAGTCAAATTTATTATTAACTAACATTGGCCGCGGCTCCGCCCGCGTTCAGATGACCAAAAACTAAATTCTTAGGTTTTACATATTAGTATTATCTTACAATGCAGTTCCACAGCGCCAAAGAAGTTTTACTTCAACCGCGCGTAAAGGTTTCAATGGGCATAATAACTCACGATATCCTATCTTATCCTTACATTATAAACGTGAAAGTTAATGAGGATGAATGGGTGGATGGAATTTTGTTGCTCTTCCACTCAAAAACTACTGAACGGATTTTGATGAAACTTTAAGTAACTAAGGTGCAAAGCTGCGTGAATATACTAGTTTAAACGAGGTAATCTATAAATAAATGTTCATTTCCAGGGCGACAGCGGTGGACCTCTTCAGTTAAAACATAAGCAAATTAACTGCATGTACACGGTCATTGGGGTGACTTCCTTTGGCCGAGCCTGCGGGTATATAGGCGAGCCGGGTATATATACGCGGGTAGCTGCATACGTACCCTGGATTGAAAGCGTTGTATGGCCATAGCTGTTACACAAGGAGAAAAATAAAATTGAAAATATACAAATATTTGTTTTTTTATTTTTTATTCTATACTAGAGATTTACCCTCGCTTCGTTCGGTTACGGCCCTAGATGCGTTTTATATATATATATATATATATTTAAAAATAATTATTGCGAGTGTACCTTAAGAGATAGACTATAGACATACATACACTATTGCGTACTTTTCTGTAGGTCTCTTTAAGACTTACAAAATAGTCCATCGTTTTGTTCTACAGCGTTAGCCATATCTAAAGATGATTCAACAGAACCAGTTCTTGTATTTTTAGACCAATGTAATCCGTTTATTTTTAAGAGAAATAAATATATTGAAAACCTGAAGTTTTACGGTTTTAAAAGTTTTTTTAAATGTAAACGATTTTTTTTAAATGTAAACGTGCACTTGAAGTTGGGGGTGAATTCAGCCCCTTGATACCATAAAACACTAATGATATGTATTATATAAAATACTTTTCTCGGAAATGGCTATTTCAATTTTAATTTTTTTTAATTTATTATATGTATTTTGAAGATCAAATTCCCTTAGTTTCATGAAAATAAAAAAAATATTCTAGAAATCAAGAAAAAATTTAAAAACCGAGTTTTCTGCTAATATCTCGAAAACTTTGAGGTTGTTGTAAAACATTTTATTTATAAAAGTTGTAGATTTTTACTAGACCTACAACTTTTGTAGAAAATATTTTTCGATAGAGCGTTACAGTAAGCTGAAAATTGAAAAAAATTTTTTTCAATGCTTTGCGTCCCCCCATTTCTCGGGGGTACTGGGCATGTGGGCATTTTACGAATTTCTATTCCTTATATACCTGCTAACATTTTAAGATCATAAAACTTTAAGTTTTCAATATTTTGTTCCCAAACTGGATTCCGCTTGAACTATTTCTCGTGGCAATAAAAGATTTTCCTTAGTAAAAGGTATCCTAAATGTTGAGCCGAGTAATAAGTTATCACTACACAAAATTTTGTTAAAATCGGTTCAGTACTTTTTGCGTGCAACGCACATAGATACAGAGTCAAACGGACATATAGACAAACATTTCAGTAACTATTGTTTTGGAGTTTGAATACGAATGAATTTAATTGATAGCGTTTATGTCTGTACATAATACGTTATAGTCATTGTTTTTTTTTAAAGTTCATGTGCAAATTAAGCTTTGTTACAACTTATACAGGGTCATTTTGGATTTACTGAAGACCTACTTTTGGTTTCGGAGCGTTTCGAAAACTTAAAATTAAATTAATAAAAGAAATAAAACTAAAAGAGACACATGTAGCCGATTTGAGGCTCCTTTATTGTCTGATTAGTGATTACATACTCGGCCGGCGGATGCCGGGTGGGCCGAACAGACGCTGAGTTTGCGTCTCTCTTATTCTATGAAAATCTTAATCTAGAGCGGATGGACGAGGTGTAACCATAACTACCTTTTGGGAATATACTATTTACATCATAACAACAACATCTTTAAAAAGAAAATAATATTTCTTAAATTTTTATTTTCATATAAAAATAAAAATATTTTTATTGCACCTTCTAAACGGTAAACTAGCATCTGACCAAATTTAAATGAGTAAACACCGCCTCCTGCACCCCTCCAACCCTCCCCCTCCACCGGCTACGCGCATTCTTTTGCTAATGCTGGACTATTACCGTTTAGAAGGTGCAATAAAAATATTGTTATTTTTGTAAAATTTAAGAAATAATTTTGTTTTCTTACAGATCAACTGCCTCGGTGGTGTAATGGCTAGTGTACGGCTGCACACCCGGAGGTCCTGGGTTCGAGTCCCGGGTCGGGCCAAGTTTAGTTATTGAGTCTTCCTGTATAGTAAGTCTCAGTAACAGCCCGGAGTTGGGAATTTGGCGGTGTTTCACCCCGGTGAGAGCCGAGAGCACGTAAAGCCGTCGGTCCTGCGCCTTAACTCTCACTGGTTGTGTCGAGCAGTCGTCCCACCGGAATATGAGAGTGACAGGAATAGAGAGTGCACTGGTGTCTGCGCGTACACTTGTGCACTATAATATCTCCTGCGCAGTTGGCTAGTCTCAATGAGATTGGCCGCCGTGGCAACATTTCTTTGTTGGAAAACAAATGTTGATTTAAGTATATTAAAAACTGAATTTTGTTGACTTTTTAAATATTTATGTTATTTTTATTTGTCAATAAATGATGGTTACGCAAGGTAGTGCTTGTTTCATAGTATTCACATACTATGTATTTCTTAGTATAAAGTTTTTTTTATTTTTTTAAATAATTGTAAATCTTAACATAATACTATTAAAATATTCGGCAATTATTCGGCATTTTAACCGAATATTCGGCCGAATACGAACACAAAATAAGCGCCGAATATACCGAATACGAATATTCGGCCAAACATTCGGCGCATCTCTAATATAGATATATCTAGTTACAAAGTCGAATCTAACGCTGTATGAATTATTAAAATTGATTTAGCCGTTTAGTAATTACGAGGGAACATGGGATCGGACATACCTACATACATATGTACATACATACGTACAGCTTAAACACGACCCTCCTTTCAGCTTCGCCGCAGTCGGGTAATTAGTCTAGCAATTTCGAAGATTAGCCAGGACAAACAAACATACATAGCTGGTTAAGCATTCTATTAGGATTTAAGTTATATTTTAAAATCATAAACAAATAATAAACGAGATAAAATTTGCAATACTTGCATTAGAAGTAATAATTAATATGACGTTATCTTGCATCTAAGGTTATCTTCTATGCTTATTTATTGCTTCGAAGAGTCCGGACGTGTTTTAATGATGAAAACTAAAATATTAATATTTATAATTTTCCATAATTATATTGGAAAATTTTTTTGTTATACAAAAATAGGTAAGTCTATGTTATTTGATAAAAAAAACCATGGGATTGGTGGCTGTTTGCCGATGTGTTTGCTGATCGAGATTGGTGGTGGGATTTGCAAGGAATGAATTGTGTTGAGTTTTTATTAAGACCCACTCAGACCTTTCTTAAGATACTATATTTTACTTGTAATGTACAACTTTAGGCAAAAATTTTAATTGACTATCGGATTGGTTTAAACAAAATAATTATAAGATTTAGACAGATTTTTTGCAAAAAAGTGAGCCATAATCCAATGAAATAATCCATACTAATATTATAAATTTGAAAGTGTGTGTTTGTTCTTGTGGCTTGGTCGTATCGTCACTACAAGAATTAATGTGTAACAGAAGAGTAATGAACAGTGAATAAATTTTTCACTTTACAACCCATGTAACGGTAGCGAAACGACCAAGCTACATATTTTGACTAAGGTATATGGTTTGTGAAGTTAGGGCGTGTAGAACTAGAAGCTTGGCTCTATATGAGATCTGATAACTTTTTGACAGTGCAAGCCATATGGTCTCGTCATGAACGAATTAACCACTGGACTAGACATATAAGCGGACGTACCTTTATCGGTCTTCTCAGTAACCAGGAGATTTTAGGCTTGGTCGTTTGTTTTTTGCGTCAGTCTCAAGCACTTATTTGTCAACAAAACATCTCCCAAAAATGACTAAATGTTCTGTTAAATGATGTAAAAACTATAACGGCGGAAGCAGCAGTATTTCTTTTCACTTGTAAATACATTATTTTATTACATTTATTGTTATTTATCACACAATTTAATTAAATGTAAAATAAAATGTCATATTATCCAACTATGTTAAATATAGTCGATATTTCTATGTATTGTTGACATCTGACAACCATCATAAAATCCCTGGATTATACCATTCAGAACAAATGACTAAACTGTCGAGTGAGTCCATTTGACATCGACTAGTGCTTGACAATGTCGAAAAATATATCGATATTTGACGAAATTACTAAACGAATTGTGTTATTTGTACAGTACAATAACATAAAATACTTTTACCACAGTATCCTACAATCTGATGACAATAAATTTATAAAAATATTTTCTAAATCAAATAAAAATATAAATGCAAAAATTATAATTAGTATGTGTACTTAATTTTTTATTTTATTCCACATTTATATACTTTGAAATATTATTCCATTGTAATAATAATAAAGATCATTTTATTTCAACACATAAATTACACAAAATCAAACAATAATGTTTTAGCACTAAACGTCTGAGTTGGCGATTTGTAATAAAACACTTTACCACTTGCACTAATTATTTTACTTTCACGACCCAACACTCACTTTAATTTGCAATCACTTTTTCTTTTTCCTAATTTCACAAATGCTTATTAAGAACTGAGCAATATTAGGACAGTGTCACATTTTTATAACTACCCGAGATAATCAATTGCCAATTAAAATAGTTCAATAACAGAATCAACCAAATCACTTTATTTAATTAAATTAGCTTAATATTTTTTTAATCTTTACAAAATAATATTTATTATATATTAATGGAATATATACCCGATATTCATTTGTTCATTAACATTATTATAGGCCAACAGAATGTTGCCATCAATGCCATCGTATTTATATAAATCAAATTAAAAAATAATTATTATTTGACACATTATTATTGCCTCTTTAATTCATTTATTTTAATTTATTAAAATTAAAAGAAGAAGAATAAATTATAAGATGTAAAATATGATGACTATGCTAACTAATGTCTAAAATGTCATTCATTGGTTCATCGATATATGTATTTTATCGATTACGTTAAGCACTAGAAATATTGTATTGTGTATCAGTGTTTATAATAATGTAATAAAATCTTTGTGTGCGTTATGCGTCACTTGGTTGAACTAGTTTTCATACATTTGTATTTTATGTCAGGTCCAGTCTCTAATTCGTCCATGGGTCTCGTCTTGACAACATTTTCCATGAAAATGTTTTTGGTAGGATAATTAAAACTGCTTGTTGCAAAATTCACGTATAAATAAGAACAACTTAAAAGTAAGATGTTCAGAATAAGAGAAACATAAATGTTTATGATACATTTTTTGTTCGAGCTGAAATTGTTTTGTTTTGTTGAATTATCTTATCCAGGCCATCAGTAAAAAATATTGTAAATATTTTATTTTACTTTTATGTTAAAACAACATAAATATGCCTACATAAACCTCGGTGTGCGAATCAGACTCGTATTTGTCCTATTTTTATTTCTAGCAGTATGTATTCTTACATCTATTCTGATTGCCTAGCCCACCTGAGAGCTAAATTTCATCATAATTACTTGAGGTATTGTGATGCTACGAGGTCACAGGCTAACATACTTTTTGAATATTTACATATAACAATAACTACCTAAAGATATCATATATATGGTTCATTACAGGTGAGCCCTGCAATATAGACACATTTGTAGGAACATGCAAGCCGATTATGAAATGTCCAATTGCTATAAAGATAGTAAGCCAGGATATAGAACATCCACCGGTAAATTGCACACTTATTTTTAATTCATTTCATTCCTCCAGCCATTTTAACATTTAACTGCTTTCACCAATAATGCCAGTCTCACACCAAGATCACCCGAGAGCGAAGAGAGATGAAGAGGCAAACGAAGTTTGCATCCTGCACTAAAAATGCCAGCATCCCACACAAAGAAGTTCTGAGAGTGCATTGCCAACTTTCAGCACAACTGCTCTAAATGCTACGAAAAATTTGCTATCAGCTAGCCTGAATTAACAATTTCAAAGACGCGAAATTATATTCCTTTTCTAATCTTTAATCCTTTAATAATAATAACCTTTCCAAAATTTAAAAACAAAAAAGAAATACTGAGTGTCTGCGTTGGCTGTTTTGGGAGGATTTTCCAACATCGCCATCCAAGCGGGTTGGCGATTACAGTTAAATGTGTGTGCGTTCGAAAAATGCTGTTGCCGTCCTCCGCTGTTTTTTACCTAAAAAAATATAAAAAACATTAAGTTTGCAGATATAAAATTTTTTTTTTTTACATAAAATTATTTGGTATTTCTCAATAACTTTAATAAGTAAAATATATTTAATTAATATTAGATTTCAGATAAGAACTTTTTAAAATTATTTGCCTGATGATTTGACAAATTGAAGATGGAAAGAAGTATTTACTTTTAAAATACCTTTTATAAGCAAAAAAACGTTTTGATAGTTAACTAATACCTTCGATTAACAATACTATTCCAAGTTTCAAAATTACCGCTCAATCTAATTTGTGTCTAAAACAAAAAAAAAACTATTGTTGATCGAAGACTAAACCAAATATATACTTAATATATAAGCATTCAGCTTATTTTATTTTAAACTGAAAACAAATTTAGAAATTAATCCGCGAAAAGGTGCTTTATGTTAAGTGAAAATTATTATCTTTTTGCTTTTGAAATTTTAGCAGTCTGTTCTGTGGGTGCCTTTTTACGTGACGACGTGTGTACCTACAAACTAATGAATTCATTAAAATCTTTTTTAATATTGTTGACCAACTCTGTTTTGTTAATGCACTTAATATTATTTTAGACATGCTTTTGGCAAGAGAAGACTCCTATAGTCTGCTGTCCACCAACCAACGTAGATGTCATAACCGGTCCAAGCCAAATCAGGGGACTCTTTAGAAGTGGCCGTGTAAAGAAGGCAAACGATATGGTAATTTGTGACTTTTTTTGGACATAGTCTATTTGAGGTGGACTCTGTTTAATTAGAATATAAATCAATTAGTGTATTATTATTAAAAGAGACAAAAAAACAACAAAAAAAGATTTTTTTATGCCAACGCATTACTAAATTTCTAAAGATCGTGGGGTAAAACTAGGTAACCTATAACCTAGTTATATAAAAACAATGTACTAGATTATTAAATTATGATGATGATGATGTTCTCCTGACCGATTCCGGTCACGGCGGCCAATCTCATTGAGACTAGCCAACTGCGTAGGAATTATTATAGTGCACAAGTGTACGCGCAGATACAACGTGCACTCTCTATTCCTGTCACTCTTATACTCCGGTGGGACGACCATTCGACACGACCAGTAAGAGTTAAGGCACAGGACCGACGGCTTTACGTGCTCTCCGAGGCACGGGGGTGAAACACCGCCAACTTCCCAACTCCGGGCGGCTGTTACTGAGGCTTACTATACAGAAAGACTCAATAACTTAACTTGGCCCGACCCGGGACTCGAACCCAGGACCTCCGGGTGTGCAGCCGTACATGCTAGCCACTACACCACCGAGGCAGTTATATTATAATACCTATAGGTCTTAGGAAGACCCACAGAAATGTTAACGAGGGCATGTGTTTAAAGTTTCCTCAAGATTACTAGTAGTATTGTTGATCGAAGACTTAAACCTTACCTCAGAACACACCCGAGCGTAACTCAATAGTACTCGTAGGAAGGTCAAAATTAAATAAGTAATAATAATAGGAGATACGTAAAACTTAAATAATGTATTTACGCACAGCTTTTTTAACTGTAAATAGGCAGATTTTTTGATGTACTAAAAATATACATATTATTTCGAATCCTGCTGTTCCAATTCCAGCTTTATTATTAATACACGACCAATAAAAGGAAAAATCTTTACCCAGATCTGTCGGTATGAGGACCGAGAGCCGTTTTTATGCTGTGGAATTTCAAAATATCAAGTTACACCAGAACCAAGAGGATGTCCGCCTCTACCGAGCCCTAAACTGAACACTCCTGTGGAACATCCCGCCTGGACAAGTACGTGCGTGTTTCAAAATATTATTATAAATGCGTGCGCGTGCGTGCGCGTGCGTGTGCGCGGTGTGCGTGTGCGCTGTGTGCGTGTGCGCGGTGTGCGTGTGTGTGCATGTTTATTACTACTTTCTGCTGAAACGACGGGACTTAGATTAAATTTAATACACTATAAACTATGACCAATCACATAGGCTACTTTTACACATCTAGGGAAACACTCGGCGTAGTGAGGGTAAGTTGCTAGTCTATACTAATATTATAAAAACTTAACAAAAAATCGACTTCCAGGCACTAGAATGTAAAAAATAACTAAACGGGGGTTTTCATTTAGAACAGATACCTAATCGGATATTTTCGAAATCGGTGCCAGCCGATGCAAAGCAAATCTAATATATTTCGATACGTAAAATACATATTTACATATTAGATATTCATATCTTAAAATATTATCGGCTTAAATATATAAGTTTGGAAAAATTTATGAGAGTGATTTTTTACGATGCAACAGATTTACACTACAATATGAAGTTAGTCGTCATTGGCTACAGCGTGAAGTTAGTCATTAAAAACTCCCTCCTACTACACTCTACTCCTATATATACAACACGTGTTTTTATTGGTAAAATTAAAAATTATTAGGTACATGGTTTTATTTAGTTTCACCTGTCACGGTGTATGTCTGTAATCAAATCTTGTAAGTTTATGACCCACTTTCAGTGTCCCGATTGAGCTGAAATTAGGCACGCACGTTTGGTTCTCGTGACTGCATGATTGCCTAAATGCCGCCATTTTTAATCTAAAATGGCGGAGGTTACAAAATGGCGATTAATCATCATTTCCACAGCGACCCTTATGATATGGGCATTAATTGAAAGGGCTTGATGAGCGAAACACAATAAGCAGATTGACATCATTGTAAATCCAATATGGCGAACTATGTTTTTTTATGCATCCCCATGATATGGATATAAAATTATAGGGTTTGCTGAGACGAATGCGAATAAAATAAAAACTAAACGAACAAAATAATAAAAGAAAATAAAAAAAACGCGTGTTTGTACTTATGTACTCACGTAAATTCTTTGGCGTAACAGAACAAAAATAGCTAAAGATTTAGCTAAGATCCCGTATGTCACAACTCTGTAAAAGGAATCCCATCAAAAACATACTGTAAAAATATTGCAAGTCTCGCAACGCATTTCTTCTACCGCAAAAAGCTATGAGATAAAATGTAAAACCAAGTCGGTTAATTTATTCATTATCTATCTATGGAAGCATCTATCGGACAACTTTGTCATAAATCGTTACCGAATTAGTTAAGTTACAACATTTTATAGTGACCGTATTAATATTAGGTATATTTATTTCTCTAAATAATAGAATGACTTGGCCATCGCACGCAAACATAATCACATAAGAATCTACTACTTTAAATAGTCCTAATTAAAAATACCATGACCAAGGTGGACGGACGACTTGGTCAAAGTCGCTGGAGCCCACTGGATGCGGATGGCACAAGACTGGTTGTCGTGGAAATTTTTGGGGGAGACCTATGTCCAGCTGTGGACGTGTTTGGGCTGAAATGAACGGAACATAGCACTAGCGGGTCAAATTTATGCATACACTAACATAAATAATGCATTCAGAATTAGGTAAATTTTGTTATTTGTAGGTTCTGTTATCATGTGCGATGGCCAAGTCATTCTATTATTTAAAGAAATAAATATATCTAATATTAATACGGTCACTATAAAATGTTGTAACTTAACTAATTCGGTAACGATTTATGACAAAGTTGTCCGATAGATGCTTCCATAGATAGATAATGAATAAATTAACCGACTTGGTTTTACATTTTATCTCATAGCTTTTTGCGGTAGAAGAAATGCGTTGCGAGACTTGCAATATTTTTAAAAAATCTAAGTCTATTGTATTCGGAAATTGCGGATTCCTGGGCTTCAATAGTACTATCTTATGCATTAAGTATAAATATGTATAATTAATTTAATGGATATTTTAATTACATTGTTGACCCTAAATAACCCCGATACTGATATTCAACTTACGTAAGTTTAATAACACGTGTAGATTTATGTGTCTATCTGCAGCATCGTAGGTAAATCCCGAAGGTTGTTATACTTCATTATTATTGCTTGTTCAGTCAATTTTGATGCAATTTAATAGAAAACTGAGGTAGCCAACTGACTTCATTCACTGGTTCCATTGGCCATTTTAAAAGTAATTTTCGAGGAGATTGATATTTCATGACCTCTATATTCCATGTTCTATTAGGTGGATACAGTTACGAGCAATGAAATGTTAACAAGTTTTCTAATTCATATCAACATCATACTTTGTAATGTGTTCATACTAAAAGAAAATATACGAGCTTTGTTTCAAAATTAAGTAATCGTCAAGTTTTGTCGTAATTAGGTATATATTTTATTTTAATAAATTCATTATAAATAACAGGTAATCGAATATTAGTAGGTATACACTATACACGCTTCACGTTGTATTTATGTACCCATTTGTATATGCATAAAAATAATAGTTTTCTAATACATGTATACAATAGTTGCAATATCAACATTAATAAATAAACGAATCGTGATTAGGTTAATAATTACGAGGAAACATAGGATCGAACATACAAACATACATACAGGTTAAACACTAACCTAACCTCCTTTTACATTGCAACTATTGTATAAATAATTAAATTACTATTAAATTAATCGTTTATTTATGGTAAAATTTATTAGAACATATGAATGAGGTGAAAAAACTAAAAGTAAGATATCGGTTATTGAAAATATTATTTAATTTTAATAGTAAAAGGAAACATTATATAATTAAAATATTTTATGATTTTTGAACGAAATTATATTTGACATCAACGACACAAAATAAGGAAAGCTATGATTTTTATTTGTCATCCATGGCTATGATGTTTATTTATGTCAAAATATTTAAATTAGGTCTATTTTATTGTTAACTATTATTTTAAAGCATAAAAACAACACCATTAAATAAAAAAATACCTACTTAAACTTTCAATACTTATTATTAGTGATGGCAAACGGGACCCTGAGAAACAAATACTATAAGTTGGATGTGGCTCGCAGTGCATAGTAAAAACTTTCTTGTTCATCTGATATAATTATGCACTTATAAATTCAGTGTTCTTAATTCATTTATTGCTATAGCATCGATTATATTACTTTATAAATAATTAATAAAATAAAACATGATTTATTTGTGTATTCTCTTTTTAACATGACTAAACTAATACATATTTGTATTAGTAAAGCAGAAGTCGAAGTCACGCTCCGAGGGCTCTGTACTACCACAACAATATTTATTATGTATATCAATTATGTTAATATAATTTTATGTAATAACCTGTAAGGAAATATTTAAAGATTTAATTTAATTTAAGCGTATGAATAATAATAGTTTTGACTGAACCTCGTGAGTAAGGCATTCTAAGCTGTGAATTGCATATCCTCATATAAGATTTTTATGCAAAAAAACCTAATATAGATAGGTATACAAAAGATAGACCACGTATAGATACATAGTAAATGGCTAAATTTGGCTTTAGAGAATTTATTTAATAGCTATCTATATTTATCCTATACAAAATATTCTCGATGACGATACGAATATTTTTTGGAAGCGTTCGTGCTGGTTTGTATTGTACAACGAATTCTCTTACTTCTATGATTTGGTCGATAAGTGTAAGAGATCTGAGTTTGATCCTATCTAAACTAGCCATTGATTAGTTAGTGAGGTGAATGCTGATGAAATGGCCTCGATTCTATCGTAGAACGATTTGAACGTAGGTACCAGTTTGTGTAGCTCCAGGAAGTCAGGGACTCCCGGGAGACTCCACATGACTGCTGGTGCTGGTGTTTGCGCATATACTTTTTTTATATTTGAAATCCATATACACAACTGAGAACGGCCCTCGCTACGGTTTCGGCCCGAGGTGATGGATACAGAACGATTCTCGCTACGAAAACACCCGAGTCTTCGATTACTCATATTTTTTAAGCTATTGCATAGCTTCTATCGCGGGCCTTGAGCGTGGGGACCGAATCCAGAAATTCCGTAACAAAAAAAACCTGACACCCCCCACTCCAACCGGCACAGCGGTGATACTTCCGTCTATCGATAAATACCAGAACTTTTAATGACTTTTTGAAATATCACGCTTGTCTCTTTAGTTCAGCAACCCGCCTTTAGGTGGCATTGGTTGTATTGGAAAAGTACCGTAATCAGCTGTTTGTGAGAAAGTATATAGGTGTATAGGTATTTATCATCTATGTACAACAGTGAATATCTGTACTCGTATAATTTGTGTACAAAGTGTTTTAAATATGAATAAACAAAGTGCATTTATTAATGAAGAAAGTCAAGGAAAAAAATACTGCATTAATAAAATAAATAAATAATTATAATTGCATAAGTTGATAAAAAATGCTATGCAATAGCTTTACCGCGGCAGTCTCCGAGTGCCACATTTAATTTTTTTATATTTGAGATCATATATATATATATATATATATATATATATATATATATATATATATAAATATATATAATATATATATAAATATATATATATATTAATTTATATATTAAACTAGCGACTCACCCTCGCTCCGCTCGGGTTCGTCCCTGGGATGGGGTCTGGTAGGACCACCCTTATCCTTATCACTTAGGGGTATGGAAAATAGATAGTAGCCGATTCTCAGACCTACTGAATACGCATATAAAATTTGGTAAAAATCGGTAAAGCCATTTCGGAGGAGTACGGTAACAAACATTATTACATGGAAATTTTATATATAAGATATATTTTTCCTTAAAACTATTTACAATATTTATAATAACATTTTAGTTGTCACTAATACACAGTATATCCACTATTCACCTAGCTATTCATTTGGGTAGTTTAGGTGACGACAATTATATGTATGAACTGCAAAAATAACTTTGTAATCCCACATATCGCATATCTATTTGTATAGGATTACAAAGTTACTTATGCAGTTTGTTGTATATCTCGAAAACAGAATTGAAATTGCGTGATGTTTGAGTTTTTCCTTGGGTTATAGGGTAAACACTAATTGTGTTCAAAATTTGAAGCTCCTATGTCTGCTAGAAGTACCTTAGAATTTTGATGATCGGTGAGTGAGTGTCGATATTAACGAATTTTGATCTGCAACAGTTCATAAACTATAGGTTCAAATTGAATGTAACTTGAAAATGTACCTAGTTTTATTATGTTCTCTTAGTCACTCAAAATTCAAGCTTTATCCATAACGAAGTTATGAGGGGGGGGGGGGGGGCAATGCTCTGAATCGCTTCGAGAAAAGGATGGTACTGCCGTGCCCTTTTTTGCGTGACTTGTTTGCTCGACTTGGCGGGGACACTGCCGTGCCCCCGATGATACATTAATAAAATAATTAAATAATGCATATTAGGCATATTACAATTGTTTACGCCGTTTCGCCCTCTAAGCTATGACCGACACACATAGGCATTGCGATCCCCCGCCACCGGACGCAGTTCCTACATACTAATTGACATTCACCTTTTATCTCACGCGCGAGCTTCATGTCGGTCCAAAATTCTAATTGTAATATACTATACTCTTCTCTAAATTGCAAATTAAACGAGTATTTGATTAATGTGCATTATTTTAACCCGTCCACTTACATATTCTTCCGAACAACAATCGTAATAATATTTATAGAACATCATTTAAGGAAAGAACGTAATATTATATATCATTTGTCAGACAATAACAACGGTTACCATGGCAAGTAACAGTTACCAGCTAACTTCATCATGTCGCTTTTTGGCTGTCGATGTGCGCGCGCGTCCTAAAGATTTTACCCTCATATTTTTTTTTAAACACCCCAAAAGAAGTATGACTTCAAAAAGAAAACAAAACAGATTTTAATTAAATGCTTTAAAAAAAAAAATAAGTATAATTTCTTACTTGCGAACATAAGTTCACACACATTTCTTTTATTTTGTTTCAGAATGTGTTGAATATCAGCGATATTTTAACATATGTGCAGCAATATCGGATGACAATCAACATTTCAAGAGAAGAAGTACTTGTCTAAAAATAAACGCACGAAAAATAGTACATGGTGAACGCGCTAGGCGTGAGCAGTTTCCTCATATGGTATGTACATAATATTCTGTAAAGTAAGTTTTAGTATTATATTCACGAAATGCGAATTCCTTAAATTATTTTTGTTATTTATTCAGAAGATATCTTTTTTGAGCACAGTCGTATGGCCGTTGCTGGGCATCGGTACGTCGCGTCATCTATACAATATAATAAAATTCTAAGCTAAATCTGTACATTAAATATTTTTTGGAAAATATTATTGAAATATATTATTGAAATAGTTATTATTATCGATATAGTGGCCGAGTCTATAGTTTTTAGAACTTTTGTCTGTCTGTCTATCTGTCCGTCCGTCCGTCCGTCCGTTCGTCTGTCTGTCTGTTACCGCATCACGGAAAAACCACTGGAGAGACTTTGATGAAATTTGGTATGATGATAGCTAATTATCCGGATCAACATATAGGAGACTTTTTACCGCGAGAAAATGTCTCATTTCTGAGAAAAAATACAAAAACTGCATTGTAAGAGTATACAAATATGTAAAACCTAAGAATTTGGTTTTTGGTCATCTGAACGCGGGCGGATCCGCGGGCAATGCTAGTCGATAATATAATCGGACGAATAAGATTTATTCATCCGATAATATTTATCGGTCGTCTTTGGTCGTCTTGTCGTGAACATATTACTCTTTTTAATATATTGTTCTAAAAAAGAAAATAAACTTAGCCAACTAAACTAAAAAATTTTTTTAGATCCCAGTCTATCGAGTTTAAAGCTTGTTTAGGTCCAAGAGGTCTTATGTGTAAAAAAAAGAAATGTCCAATACCGTATGAAACTAAAATCGTTTTTAAGACGTTTCTGCGTCATAATAAAACAAGACAATTCAAATCGACCCGACTATAAGAAAATTTAATTTTATTTATTCGTATATGGGTCATTCCATTATCGCGGGTGCAACATTTAGACGCATGCAATGTTTCTTAATAATAAAATAAACAACATTTTTAATAAAAATAATCTTGGAAGAACTACATTTCCACCTGTTCAATTTATATTCGTTTACAAGAATTTTAATGTAATATTTAAATAGCCAGGAGGAAGGTTCAAAGAGCTATCGCGGGTGCCACAAAGTTGGCCCAACCTTTCCGGGTCATAAGAAAACAACACATAAGTCTGTTAATTTTGTAACATTTATTGTGTTATGCCTTGATATTTCGTAAGGTGTTAAATTAATCAAGTACAAAATTAAAGAAGTTTAAAGAAAACAAAGATAAACAATGAATTATTCACTGTTAAAGCAATCGCGGGTGCAACATCAAATTATCGCGGGTGCAATTCGCCTACTTTTAGTGAATATAAATATCAATAAAAACATTTATAGGACCAAAATAAAAATATCAAACAATGTTTATTACTAATCAATACACTTCTTTGACACTTCCGTTAGTTATTTCTTTTCAAATACGTCAATATTGTCCAAATATTCAAACACAGAAATTCAAAAACAAAGACAGATATTTCGGGATAAGTTTCTTTAAAAATTTGATAGGCTTCTCCATTGTTTATGATCATTGTCCTCTTGTGGATTCGTTATTTCGTTCCCGTATTGCACTTAAGTGTTTAACTTGTTCTTCTTTACGACGTTTTCTAGTTGCCTGCATTCTTTATTTTGATCTGATTCTAGCCAGTGTTTTCAAATATTCATCTGTCTCCATTTTCTTTTTCATTATTTCTCTCCGTTTTAAATCACGAGCCGTTTCTCGACGGAGATGATCTGCATGTACTTCAGGATTTTCTTTTAACTTTCACCAATATTTATGTGAAGCAGACTGTTTCTGTAACTTCTCTGTCATTTTTATCGATGTTTCTATAAAAAAGTAGAATTTATAATACAAACACACATATTAAATATATATCATCAATCATACATAGTATATATTATTATTCAAGGTATATCAACACAATAAAATACATAATAAATCCACAATAAGGTTAGTTTTCAAAGAGTTGCACCCGCGATTCTGATTACGATCGCGGGTGCAACCAATTTATGTTAATGTTTATTTTAATTCAACTAACATTACACTCTTAAAAACGATTAATTTTAGTTTACTTATGAATTCTTCTAACTTTTACAAAGATTCAAAACTGTAGCACTTTATTTCTGTGTAAAACACAAACTTTTATATCTTTTGTATCGCGGGTGCAACAAACTAACAGTGCTATCTTCTTATAATCAATGGTGCTAAAGTATAACAAGTACTTACATTTTTGGCGTACATATATAAAGATATTAATGTTATCACTTCACATTTAGCTAGTAAAACATAATTTCAAACGGTCGGCAATAGCTGTTTCCCGTCCCGTGTTGCTTGGTGTGATTTTGCAGTTTCAACTAATTCTTCGAATGGTGATTTTTGCAAGTGCGCCAAAAATTTAAATATAAAGTAAAATGGAATGTTATTTTTCTTTGAATATTAAATTTCAACTTTTTTCTTTACACTGATATTGTAAAAAGTAACAAATAATGTAATTTAAAAATTAAAGTCGAAAATCCTCTCTCTATAGCGGAATCGCCCATATGTATTCGGAACCTAATATTTTGACTATCGATATTCTTCAAAATCTTTACAACCCGATACGTTAGGATAGTTTTTTAACCCTCGACGCAAAAAGAGGGGTGCAATAAGTTTGACGTCGATGTCTGTCTGTGTGTGTGTGTGTCTGTCTGTGGCATCGTAGCTCTCAAACGGATGGACCGATTTCGATGCGGTGTTTTATATTTCAAAGCCAGTTTCCTTGCGGTGGCTCTTACCTTTATTTGGTTAATATCGGTCCAGCCGTGTAAGAGTATCAGCTCTTTTCCAAAATGATGTAAGGCATTGTGGCGTATGTTTACTCGATTAAGTGCTTCACGCGTGCCAGTGTAATTATTAAATGACAATTAATTTGCGTAGGGGATTTTTTTTGTTTGATTCATTTGAAAGCCAAAGAATTTTGATTTTTTTAATTAAAAAATCAAAAAATTAATCTAAATATACATATATATTATTGTTTTCAGGCTGTTATAGGTTGTGCAGCCGACGCACGAAGCACAGATGATATTGATATCTCATGGATAGGAGGAGGGTCTCTGATAAGCGACAAGTTTATATTGACAGCTGCTCACGTTATCTTACAAACTAAGGCGTAAGTATAGATTAAACAAAGTGTTATCTTAGTTAAGATATTTAGGTTAAAATGTCAGCTACGTCATAAATAACTAAAAGAAGTAATAATTTCTTAGATTCACGCGAATATTTGAAATTTTATATAAAACTATCTTTACGGATCATTTCGCGGATTTTTATTTTTATTTTTTAGACAAAATTTTTAATTTCTATTTTTTTATGATACAACATACAAAAATACATACAATACTCAATTTTCACCCTTATACGATCAACCCTTATTTTTTAATAGCCATTTTAGTAATTTAATCATTTGTCTACACTAGAAATTACTAGGAAATTATTTATATGGCAAAACAACGTTTGCCGGGTCAGCTAGTGTAATATAAAGGAAGTTAAAATATTAAGCAACACTATTGCTACCTTTACAGACAAAAAATATTAAATAGAATTACTGTTATTATTGCGAACACAGTATGAACTAACTACATCTAATGGTCTGTTATATTTGTTTTTGTTCTTAGATTTTATTATGTTTATTACAGAATCCCAAGATTATGGTAGTACCCAACCGTCTTCCCTATTAAAGTTTGGATATTTTTTAATTTCAATTGAAAATTTAATTTAAGTGAAATTAAAAAAAATTCTCAGATATAAGATATGTTCCCGCACTAAAATGTATCCTATATGTTGAACCAGCTCTCATCATACTAAATTTCATCAAAATCTGTCCAGTGGTTTTGTTGTGACGCGTTCCCAGACAAACAGTCAGACTAAAATTCTAAAAACTATAGATTCGGCTTTATAATATATAGTTATTATTATCGATACAGATAATAATGACCGTTTCATTGAGATTTTCCACAAAATATTTAATGTATAGATTCGACTCAATTAGAATTTTATTATATGTGTAGATGTCAAATATTTGGGTAAATCTAAGAAAGTATTAATCATAATAATATATTTTTTAGAGGTGTTCCACGATATGCCTTACTAGGGGTTTTGGATAAAACAAAAGTACAAGACGGAATGTTGTACAACATAATAAACAGAATACCACACAAAAATTACTCTTTTCTGGACGACAGCAAGAAACATGACATTGCATTAGTGGAGCTGCATGAAAGGTATTTTAATTTTTAATATAATAATAATAATTTTATTATGCAAAATTAAAAATTTTATTATACAAAAAAGTTAAATATAAATATGTCAGGACATTAACACACAACGCTATCTAGTTCCATGGTAAGCTACGACGGTTTGTGTTATGGATACCAGATAGTTGATACATTATACATATATAACTTTAAATACATACATATTATAAATATAAACACCCATGACTGGAGTACAAACATTCGTGCTCATCACACAAACATTCGTTTGTGTGATGAGCAGATGTGCCCCCAGCGGGACTCGAACCCGCGACCGCTGGCGCAGCAAGTAGGGTCACTACAAACTGAGCCAAACGTGTCGTCAATGTCGTTGTACAAAATAATTTAGCCAAATAAACAATATGGTTATAAGGTGAATCAAGCATCTGTAGCTGAACTAGGAACCAGAATTCCAGCTAGCAGCGCCAAATCCCTCCAGATAAATACATTGCTTGACATTCCAAAGTAATATTTAAAACAAAAAAATAAAATGCAAACAAAAGAGATAAAAAAGAACAAACAGATTCTGCGTAAACATTATGATAAAATAATGAACATAAATAACTACCTCGGTGGTCTAGTGGCTAGCCAGTAGCCTGTTAGACTGCAGATCTAGAGGTCATTGGTTCGAGTCCCGTGTCAGGCCAAGTTTAGTCAAGATAAAATATCATATTTAATATATGGGACTATAAACCCACTACAGTCTGAGCATAGACGTAGAGAATAGACTGAACAATACTCTCATGAAATTGACAAAGAGAGAAAGCGAACGTGCGGCCAATACCTGTCCTTTATTCAATTTTGAATTTATGAATGGAATTCATAAAAGTCATAATATTATTGAAAATTATAATATTATAATGTAATGTAAAATGGTTATGAATATCTATCTTCATTAATCGTATTTCAAATGCAGAAGACTTTAGGCCGCACATTCGTTTTGTCTCTGTCGCGTCGCCATTTTTAATTGACGGCTGGCAAAGAAATAGTACTTTCTCTATGTCTGATTGACTAACCATTTTGCACCACAAAATATAAAGATACATAATATATACATATGCCTCTATTGTTTAAGTTCTATCTGTATACAATCTTTACATTTCTGTTTTCGTTAACTCGTGTTTTTGATGTAAATAAATCTTTCTTCTTTCTTTCAGTCCATCCAAATACATAGTATTGGTATCTTTAACCCCCGACGTAAAAAGAGGGGTGTTATAAGTTTGGCGTCGATGTCTGTCTGTCTGTGTGTGTGTCTGTCTGTGGCGTCATCGCTCTCAAACGGATGGACCGATTTCGATTCGGTGTTTTTCATTTCAAAGCCAGTTTCCTTGCGGTGGCTCTTACCTTTATTTGGTTAATATCGGTCCAGCCGTGTAAGAGTACCAGCTCTTTTCCAAAATGATGTAAGCCATTATGGCGTATGATTACTCGATTAAGTGCTTCACGCGTGCCAGTGTAATTGTTAAATGACAATTAATTTGCGTAGGGGTTTTTTTTAATTTTTAATTTATAATTATAAGCTGCATCTTTGAATTTGCCTAAATGACGACATCAATATTTTTATTTATTATAAATTAGTTTGCTTGGGCTATTACTAGGATCCACTGTACGGATTTTGATACAGGTTTCACCAATAGATAGATGGATTATTTAGGAAGGTTATTGACTGAACTTATAATCATTGTGCAAAAATATAATCTACCGGTATGATGATATTCGTGAATGAAATCGAAAATAGGGGCACCCGAGCGGAGCGTGTGTGAGCTAGTACAAATAATCGAAGTCGTTTTTAACCACCGACGCAAAAACAACGGAGTTATAAGTTTGACATGTCTGTCTGTGGCATCGTAGCTTCGAACGGATGAACCGATTTTGAGTTTGTTTTTTTTTATTTGTAAGGTGAATTAGTCGGGAGTATTCTTAGCTATGTTTGATGAAAATCTGTCCAAGATGGCCGGTGTTTTTTTAACACCTCCAGGTAAACTAAGAAATCTATTGTTAACTGTAACGCTGGCATGTCTGCGGTCGTGGAGGGATTAATCTTTAATTTATTACTTGTGATTGTCGTTAACTACTACTGGTGAGGATACCTACATATATGTTTGTCAATTGAAAACGTGTCGAAAGACAAATTGACCAATATTCCAGGTAGCAATAGCACAATCGCTTATGGTCTAACTGCTGTTCATTAATCGAGGGAAGAATGGTTTTAGCTTGCCATGCTAGCACCTGAGCGTTAATGGACTATGAAAATTTTCGATTTGTCAAGTTGACTGAGACACGCTGGTCTTCACGATGTATTTTACGTATGTCCGTGTCAGCAAGTGGTGATCATGTTGGAAATGATTCACACACAAAAATCTACGAGGTGCGAGATTCGGCGCATGGAATATAGCAACTATAGAGCATTGATTGATTCTCGTGGGACATTGAAATGTTCAAATCGAATTATTTACATTTAGGGCGTTTATCTTCTAGGCCAAATAAATTTTAATTAAAATAATGCTCAAAAATATAATAATTAATATTGATGTGGCTATTATGTATAGATTGTGATATTTGTATATAGTTTTTAAATAGAAATGTAAAATATATTGTTTTCAGAGTGATTTTCAACAAATATATTCGTCCAGCCTGTTTGCCGGTGCCGGAAGCGGCGGTTAATGACAAATATATCGTCGCTGGTTGGGGGCAGACAGAAACTGGAAAAGATTCCTCGATTCTGCTACACGTAAGTCACGAAATAGTATCTAATGTTTTAGAAGAAACAAAATAGAAAGGCTTTAATTTTTAAATAAATAAGTAAATAATAAAACAAAAACGTGATAAAAATTAAGTAATAAAAAATGAAATAAAATTACCACCGCCCCCCCGCCCGCCTGACGCCCTGATGGCTGCCTGCCGAGGGAGACCATAAGAACCATAGGGTTGCTCCCACCGTCCATTCTGCTCTTTGAGAAGTACCAATGTGTGTTGAAGATGCGGGAATCGCATGCAACGTCCCCAACGTTCAACGTCGATTTTCAGTGATCAACGCTATAAAAGCTGTTGACTGCATTTATAGCGATGTGATCAAATTCTGAAGTCCACAATGACTTACTTCTCACATATTAGTGATTTTAAATATTTAAATTTGTGAAAATAGTAATTGAAAATTTTTATAAGCAAAGTTCATATGTGCAATCTCAATTGTAGGAGGCCATTGTAAAAATTCTGTGTGTGAGCTTCTACTCCATACGCATTCTTTTGTAGAAATTGATTATCATCAAAAGGGAAATGACTAATAAACGAGCTAGGTTTGTTTCTCTAAATAATCTATATTAATATTATAAAGAGACAGAGTTTGTTTGTTAGTTCGTTCGTTTGTTTCAACGCGCTAATCTCAGGAACTACTAATCCGATTTGAAACATTATTTTTCCATTAGATAACAAATTTATTAAGGAAGGCTATAGGCTATATATGACCATGATACTACCTAAGGGAGTGCAGCAGTAATCATAAATGTCAACAATTCGAGCAGTCTTCCATACATTATTACTACGAGTAGTAGCATAAAATTTATTAATAGCCAAAAAGGTTTTTGTTATAGTTTTAGCGCGAGCGAAGCCGTGGGTTCTCAATAGCATTCCCAAGGAGGGTTGACGTCAGGCAGGCAGCCGGTCGTAAAACTTTTGCCAAATACTATCAGCAGTATAGAAGATGTACTGCGCCGACCCCAAGTGATTGGGAAATGGGCAGGGAGAAGAAGAAGAAGCCGTGGGTACTGCTAGTCATTTATATAGCAAATTAACATTATTATATGTTGTTGTCTAACCAGTTATACTTCCAAAGAAGTTTTCTTTAACACTGTCATGGATATTTTTCTAAGAAATTCTTTGTAATATTTCATCATTTCAGACACAAGTTGCAGAAAACGAAATAAAATGTAAGAATTTCGATATATTCGATCCAGAATATATGATTTGTGCGGAAGGGAAATTTCAAAAATCAGCAGATTCTTGTCAGGTAACTCTTGAGGGGACGATTATGTGTGTATTCAGCCCTTTTTAACGTCCCACTGCTGGGCACGGACCTCCCTTTAATACGAGGGGGATCAGGCCATAGTCCACCACGCTTGCCAAGTGCGGGTTGGCGGACTTCACATGTCTTTTGAAAACTTGCTAGGTTCTCTCAGACATGCAGGTTTCCTCACGATGTTTTCCTTCACCGTAAGGCAAGTGGTAATCATGTTAGAAATGATTCGCACATGAAAATATCAGAGGTGCGAGACCCGGGATTTGAACCCGCTTCACTCGGTTTCCCAAGCAAGCGCGTTACCACTGGGCTACCACTGCCTAATGGGCTACCACTGCCTGACGATGACGATTATGTATCTTGTTGTATTTTTAATCTATACATGTAATAAAATTTTAACTAAGCCGAATCTGTACATTTAATATTTTTTGGAAAATCTTATTGAAATAAACATTATTATTGATACAGAGACCGAATCTATAGTTTTTAGAATTTTTGTCTGTCTGTCTGTTACCGCGTCACAGAAAAACCACTGAAGGGATTTTGATGAAATTTGGTATGGTGATAGCTGGTTATCCTGGTCAACATATAGGATACTTTTTACCGCAGAAAAATATCTCATTTCCGAGAAAAAATACAAAAACTGCAATATAAGAGTATACTAATATGTAAAACCTAAGAATTTGGTTTTTAGTCATTTGAACGCGGGTGGAGCCGCGGGCAATGCTAGTTATGTATAATGTTTGACTGCAGAATAATTTCTAAAGTCTTTGATTGGTCAGAGTGACTTAATTTAGTTTTCAATTTACAGGGTGATAGCGGAGGTCCCTTAATGGCGATGGTTTCTGACTTGAAATGTACATATTCAGTCGAAGGAGTAGTTTCTTACGGACCATCCTGTAAAGGGACAGGGGTCTACACCAGAGTCAATAAATATATGGATTTTATAATGAAAACCGTATGGCCAGAGGAATGGGAGGCTTACAAACGCGAAATAAACCGCAGTAATGAAGTTGTTAGTGGGAAGGAATAAATTTTCTTTATTTATACAATACTTTTTCTTTATAAATAAATACTTTCGATATTATAAATGTTAATATATACATAAGTGCATGTGCTCAGCTCTTTTTTAACGTCTCGGGGACCACCACTAAAACCCAATGAAACCTCCCTGAGACGTCGCAGGAGCGCTTACCACCGCCGACCATAGGGTTACTCCCACGGTCCACTCTGCTCTCAGAGAAGTACCAAGAGAAACCCGCATGGTACAACTATGCTCCACCAAAGTGGGCGATATACTATGCAGGCATCTCCCAGTGTGTCTTGGTTTCAAGTCCTTGGCTGGATTGCCGGACGCCAATGAGTCCACCAACTTACACTTGGTCAGCATGATGGACTAGGCCTGATCCCCGAGACGTTAAAGACATCGGCTCACGGCTCAATACATACATACATTGGGATTTATGATATCAATACAATTCTGTATAATAATATAAAAGGGTTTGCCCTGACTGATATATCAACAAAAAATAAGAGAATCTAAGAAAATATATTTATTACATTCTTTCAAAATTCATCCCTTACAAGGGGTAAAAGGGGGTGGTGAAGTTTATATAGGCAAAATATTATTTACGATCAGAATTACTTGAAACTTGGCAGTAATGATCTTCCATTCAATTAAGTAAACACGTGTTTAAGCATTCTTCGGGATGAAAATTGTCCGTTGTCGGGTAATTGGTTCAAAAATTTCGAAGACTAGCCAGGACAAACAAACATACATAGCTGGTTGAACTTTTTATATATTTTTTTATATACTTTTTATATAAGTTATGTTAAAATCATAAACAAACATACAATGAGAGGGAGATCAATAAAAAATTGGTCAAGTGTGAGTCGAATTCGCACACGAAGGGTTTCGTACCGTCGTACATGTACTTTTTTAATATGACTTATGATAACTATATGTATGTACTATGTAGTATATTAAATAAAATAAATATAAATATGTTGAGGCATTCACACAGCACCATCTAGTTCCATGGTAAGCTACGAAGCTTGTGTTATGGATAACAGATAGTTGATACATTACACATGTATAACTTAAAATACATACATATTATAAATATATACACCCATGACTGGAGTACAAACATTCGTGCTCATCACACAAATGAATGCCCCCAGCGGGACTCGAACCGGCGACCGCTGGAACAGCAAGAACACTACAAACTGAGCTAAACGTGTTGTCAAATATTAACTTCGATGATCGAATACGAACGTTAAAAAAATGTTTCTTGTATTTTTATTTTATTTATTTTTATTATTTGTTGTTATAGCAGCAATAGAAATACTCTGTGAAAATTTCATTTCTCTACCTATTACGGCTTATGAGTTACAGCCCTTTGATAGACGGACGGATGGACGAACGGACGGACAGCAGAGGCGTAGTACTAGGGTTTCATTGTTACCCTTCGGGTACGGAATGCTACAAACGTACAATACATACACTTGAAGTAATAAATATAACATCTTCATTTAAAGTTATCTATCATACTTTAGTTATTTTTATTACTTCGAAGAGTGCAGACGTGCTTTTAATGATGAAAATTAAAATATTAATATTTATAATTTTATACGATTATTTTAATAAATGTTCGTGCTATTCGAAAATAGGTAAGTCTATATATTTTGTTTAATGTTTTTTATTCTCAATTTTGGGAATTGATGGCTGTCCCTATATAGATACCTTGCCATTTACAACGAATGAACTGTGTTGAGTTTTTATTAAGGTCCATTCAGACCTTTTTCACGACTTCAGTCGTCGACTTCAAAAAAGGAGAGGAGGTTCTCAATTCGTCAGAATCTTTTTTTTATGTATGTTCACCGATTACTCGAAAACGTCTGATTTTTTTTTATTTTTTTGTTTCAAGGAATACTTCCCAGGTCACATTTAAATTTTATCGAAATTATGTCTACACTAAAAACGGAAAAATAAAAACTTAAAAAAAAATAAAAACCAACTTCTAGACACTAAAAAGTAAAAAAAATAACTAAACGGGGGTTTTCATTTAGAATAGATACCTAATCAGATATTTTCGAAGTCCAAAAAGTTTTTTTTTCTTTTTAGTGCCTGGAAGTCGGTTGCTTTTTTAAGTTTTTTTTAAATACTATATTTTACTAGTAAAATACAACTTTAAGCAATATTTATTATTCCGATGTATCTAAAGAAAATAATAATAATGTCCTCCAATCTAATGTGAAAATCTTCATCAGATCTTCGCCAATTTTTTATGAGACCAACTTAAAGTTAATACTATTTAAATAAAAAGGAACCATCGAAATTGGATCTCATACGGCGGAGTTATCGAGTAGCCATTTTGGCCCCTTTTTGGAGGAAGCATCCTTCCAATCGAAAATCCCCGACGACAAAAAAAATCTATAAAATCGTAAAACCTATATACGAGCAAGTTTTCTTCAGATCACTTGTTAAATGTGACCTGCAGAGTACCAACTGACAGAGAAAAGTAATTTTTGCTAGACTTGAAGCAGAGACTGACTGGCTGAAGCAGTTCGGTCAAATAGGTAAAGACAATACAGTGAAGTCAGTTCATTTCTCTCCTCTGTTTGTCAACTATGACAACACGTTTGGCTCAGTTGGTAGTGACCCTACTTGCTGTTCCAGCGGTCGCGGGTTCGAGTCCCGCTGGGGACATTCATTTGTGTGATAAATACGGATGTTTGTACTCCAGTAATGGGTGTTTATATTTATAATATGTATTCAGCCCTTTTTAACGTCCCATTGCTGGGCATGGGCTTCCCTTCAGCACGAGGGGAATCAGGCCATAGTCCACCACGCTGGCCAAGTGCGGGTTGGCGAATATGTATATATTTAAAGTTATATATGTGTAGTGTACCAATTACTTGGTATCTATAACACGCGCCTCGCAGCTTACCATGGAACTAGATGGCGCTGTGTGTTAATGTCCCAACATCATTTATTTACTGGTTTCCTTTTTTTTGTTATCAATATAATATTGATTATAGTCAAACTTTGACCGCTGGGTTAATATAACTTATAGGTTTTGCCCTTCGCTAGGAACGCACAGATGACAAACACACATATAAATGTAATATTTTAATGTATTAAACATTCATATACCTACTTAATTATTATTGAAAATTAAAGTCCCCCGTCGCACTGAGTTTGTGATTGTTCAGTCTTATCTCGGAAACTACTGTACGTATTTTTATACGGTTTTTCCCAACAGTTTTATACGAATATGATTGTAACGAAGATCTTAGACTATAATTTATAAACATTATAAGAAGATAAGCTATCGGTTGGGTGTTTGTGATTTAAGTCGGAAAAATTGTCCTTTTTAACACGTTCGCTGCATTACGAGATCTATCAGATCTCTTGCAGGACTTTTGTACTGTGCGTTGACTATAATCGTGTTGTTTCACTCCTTGCAGGAGGCTCTAACGTGTAAAGTTCTTTAAGTATGAGTAAGACAAATATACATATTTGCTTCCTACTTAAAGGTGAATTCGAGGACATAAAATAAATAAATAGAGATGGATTAGGTCCCTAACGCACAGTAGTATAATTATTTTTATTCCTTGCGTTAGGAGACATGTCGATACTCGTGGAATCGTACGCCTCGTAGACGCAAGAAAGGGAGGTTGGGGCGCGCGGGCGCTGTGTGAATCGATTTAGTGTTGTCCTAGTGTCGACGTGGGAGGTTGCGCGCACGTTTCGAAAAAGTGTAAAAAAAATTTTATTTAATTTATTTTATTTAATTATTTAATAAAATTGTTTTATTTTGGTGAGATTTCTAAGAATGAAAAATCAACGCTGGATTATAGTGCTGCATCGTCCAGTATAATTACAATTTTGGAAAATATAATGCTTTTTATTACAGAATTCCCCGAAGGAAGATGTACAGATCATGTTTTCCAACGTGGCGACAAAAAAAGACGTTGTGTGGGTTTGTTATGAAAAATTACGAACCACATTAAACAGCACTGACGCTTCTAAAAAAAGCTGAAAAAATACCATTTGCGCGCAATTGCAAATAATCAATGTGCTTACTATGTTTTAATGAAAAACACTTTGCATAGTTTATAAATAAACTTCTTTAATAAAACTTTTTCAATCGACAACTGAGATATTATTTTATTCCCATCACTACTTACTACACATATTGAACTATCTTTGGTTGCGGTACGAGATACAATCGATATCTAATTTTTTTTTGGTATTTGTAGCTTATTCTAATGTCATAACTGCGTGCGAACCTAGCAAAATGTAGAGCAATAGGCTCTCTTGACCCACAAAAACTTTAAAATATATGTCATTAGTTTTTTGGAAGATATAAATTATTTTCAAAACTGTATTTTTAGGAGACTGATTAGGTCTCTAACGCACCAAAGGGTAGGCTAGTTTCGAGATCTTTTAGGTCTCCAAAGCACCAGCTGAAAGTTCTTTCAAAATGATGACGCAGTGAACGTGTTAAGAGCTTCCGGTATATTATAAATGCGAAGGGCATATGGGGATCATCTGAAATACGTAGTAAGCTTCGTTAGTTTATATGGAACTACGACATAAAATTATGGACGTTGGATATTGAGGAATAAGCTTCTGTTTACTATACCGACTAGCTTTTCCCGCGGCTCCGCTCGCGTAATATATACGTGTAAAACAAAAAAAATCAATAAAGTCGCAACGTGATGTTAGTTGGCCTATAATAACCTTCTTCAAAGATTGCGATATTAAATGCAAATAAAACGAACTAAAAATAAGAGAACAAGTTAACGAAGGGACATAGTAGGTATTATGCAGTCGGAGACATACATATGTACCTACTCGAATAGCTTAGAATGGCTGCGTGTTTGTATTCGTACATGTCTCCGACTGAATATTACTATATTCCTTCGTCAACTTGTTCTCTTCTTTTTAGTTCACTTTTTACTCAGTCGAGTTTTATTTATTTACAGCTTTTTAGTGCTGGTCAGTTAGTTAGACATATTTAGTTTTATTTTACAATTTCTTATCTTAAATTACTTTTATATATTATATTATAGCATTGCCCGCGGATCCGCCCGCGCTCAGATGACCAAAAACAAAATTCTTAGATTTTACATATTAGTATACTCTTAAATTGCATTTTTTTGTATTTTTTCTAGATGAGATATTTTCCCGCGGTGAAAAGTATCCTATACGTTAACCCGGATAACCGGCTATCATCATACCAGATTTCATCAAAATCCTTCCTGTGGTTTTTCTGTGATGCGGTAACAGACAAACAGACAGGCAGACAGACAAAAATTCTATAAACTATAGATTCGGCCTCTGTATCGATAATAATGTTTATTTCGATAAGATTTTCCAAAAAAAATGTCTAATGCACAGATTCGGCTTAGTTACAATTTTATTATATTATAGAAGTTGTATATATGTATATTTGCAATCGTCTTTTAAAAACCTGTATTTTGATACCGCACTCGATTGATTCCAATGAACTTTTTTTTCAAGACATAAATTAGTGTCTTGGATCCGCCATTTTGACTTTTAATGATATCCATATACCCTATAACACTCGCTTTATCAAGGCAAATCAAACGACGTATGAAACATCAAAATTGATTTAGCCAATTAGTAATTACGATGGAACATAGGAATTAGGATCAGACATTGTAGGTATATGTACAGACTCCATTGGGCTTAGTTAAAAAGATAAGCGCGTTCAAAGAAAAAACAAATGAACTCTTCAGTTTGTTTGTAATAGAATAGATTGGAAATCTCATCGGGCTCGGTACATGTTGATAAGTGCTTTATTGTATACAAAAAAGAATATGGCTGTCGATTTTTTTTAATCCAGGTCAGACCAAGATAATATTAGTGTCACGCTGGGGTTAAGATATTGGCATAGACAAGGCATAATATGTGTATTTTATTTACACAAACAAAAACAAGACTATCCCACGGGAACCGTACATTTTTCCGATAGAAATGTAGCTTATTTGTTATTTTGATGTATGAACTATATCATTTTAAAGTTTCATTAAAATCCAATCAGTAGTTTTTGTGTACTAAGCTGTATAAGTTACTATAGTTTTTTAACTATCCCACGGGAGCTCTTTAATTTTCCGGAAGAAAAAGTATCTAAAATGTTGACCGGGGACATAAGGTACCAACATGCAAAGTTTCATTTAAATCGATCCAACAGTTTCGGAGATTTGCCCGTACAAACACACAAACAGACAGAAAAAAATAAAAAATCTGGATTTGTTCCATTTCTCTTCTTACATCCCCCTGACTCGGTTTATAGTATTTTTCTAAGTTAATTCGACTTCTACAGTTTTATTATACGTTTAGATAAGTACGCAGAAGGATGATTCTAATTACATACGTCCTCGTGAAGTAAAAACGTATGTGTGTAAGTAAATTGATATTTGAGTGCATATATTGCAGTAAAAATTGCTGAAACATTTACAAATACAATATGTTGTTAGAAAAAAATACATAATATACACTATAGTCACTGATTTCACCAACGTCACCTAAGTTTAAGGGATCCCCTAAGCATGGTTAGGGGGCTGTTAGTGGACAGTTTCTGTCCCACCGACAGTTAGGGGTCATCTAAATGTTAAAATGCCACCTAAATATAGGTACTAGAAATACGGGCTCTGACGATGGTAAAACGAAATTTAATTTAGCGGCTAGTTTAGGAGAACTTTTAAGCTAGGGATCCCATACGTAGGTGGTACCTTATGGGTTGTTGGTGAAAACGGCATGACTTTCGTTTGTCCTATTTCCCTTTTATGTTACTCGTAGGCCGTAGTAGTATGTATCTATACATATCATAAAATTGTAACAAAGCCTATACATGAAATATTTTTTGGAAAATCTTATTGAAATAGACATGATTATCGATGCAGAGGCCGAATCTATAGTTTTTAGAATTTTTGTCTGTCTATCTCTCTGACTGTTACCGCATCACAGAAAAACCGCTATATGGATTTTGATGAAATTTGGTATGGTGATAGCTGGTTATCCGGATCAACATATAGGATACTTTTTCAATTCTGAGAAAAAATACAAAAACTGCATTGTAAGAGTCGAGAGAGTGAAGTAAGGAGGGTCTCTCCCGTGACCATGGATGCTGTAAAGCATTCGAAACGTCGGGAACCAAACATCAAAATAAATCCGCGAAATAATCCGAAAAGATAGTTTTATTTAATAATGTCAAACATTCGTGTAAATCTAAGAAAGTATTATGGTTCATTACAGGTGAATCCTGCCAAATAGAAACCATTGTAGGAACATGCAAGCCGCTTACAGACTGCCCGTATCCTATACGATTAGTAAACGAGGATAAGGAACTTCCACCGGTAATTTGTACACTTATTATTAATTCATTTCATTCCTCCAGCCATTATAATATTTCACCAATAATGCCAGCATCTCACACCAAGATGACCCGAGAGCGCAGAGAGATGAAGAGGCAAACGGAAATTGCACTAAAAATGCCAGCATCCCTCACAAAGAAGATCTGAGAGCGCATTACCAACTTGCAGCACAACTGCTCTCAATGCTCCGAAAAATTTGCCATGAGTGCCGTGAATTAATCAAAGTCGCTTGACTGAAAGAAAAGAAATGCTGAGTGTCTGCGATGGCTATTTTGGAGGGATTTCCTAACATCGCCACGCTTAGCAAGCGCGTTGGCGATTACACTTGTGTGTGCGCTCGAAAAATGCTGCTAGCCCTCTTAGCCGTTGCCTTAGTTGCATTTTACGACGCCCTCGTCTAGAAAAATGTTAATAATTTTATAAAAATGGTTAAGATTGCAGTGCTTAAATATAGCTTAGAACTTTTTATACCTTAAATTATTTAGAATATTAAATATCTCAATAACTTTAATGAGTAAAATATATTTATTTAATAGTCAATCGTAAATCGTAAATCGATTTCAAATAAGATTTTTTCTCTATGTATAGTGATTTTTTTTTCGCTTTCGTAATTTTAGAAGTCTAAATATTTTGTCATAGTAGGCGTGGGCCTCACGGGTGTGTAGACGTAATTCCACCACTGTGCGGAGGATAGCAATAGCTCTTTTCAGATGTGACTGTTACTGCTTCAACGGGCTTCAACAATGTTCTTCAAAACCACCTTTTGCTTAAAACTTTTCAAGTGACGTCGTATGTACCTACAAACTAATCATAAAGATCTTTTTAATATTATTGGCTATGTCTGTTTTGTGAATTCACAGCTTAATTTGATTTTAGACATGCTTCTGGCAAGGGAACTATGTTATAGTTTGTTGTCCAGAAAGCCACAAAGATCTCATCTTACCCGGTACACTGGAAATCAGTCGGCTATTTAGAAGTAGCCGTGTAAAGAAGACAAATGATATGGTAACGGATCTATTCAATAAAAACATTAATCAATTTTTATGTTACTAGCGACTCACCGCCGCTTCGCTCGGGTTCGTCCCTAGCTTGCTTCCCAATACAAACTTTCATCTTATACTTAAGGGATGATTTCTGGAATAATAAATATTTTATATCCTTCCAAGGGTTTCAAACTATCTTCTTACCAAATTTCATCTAAATCGGTTCTGTAGATCCAGAGATTACCCCCTACAACGTCACAAACTCACAAACTTTACCTATTTATAATATTAGTATAGATGGATTAAAATTATGGCTTCGGCAAATTTGATTCTTCATAGTAGAGTCGAATCTGCTATATGAGTTTCGACGTTTTTTTTTAAATATAATTTAGCTTAGATTCTATAAAATCATTTCATTTATAAAGACATTGACGTTTTACAAAATAAATAAGACATAATATCCGTTTAAGCAATATTGAAAACTGCATTTTTTCATAACTTGGCCATTGCAAATACAATTAAGACTTTAATGGGGAAAAAAATATAAAGAAAAAAAAATAGTTTTTTTATATATACGTATTTGGTTCCTAGTAATCAGAGCCCGAAAATAGGTTTCTCCTTTGATAATATCCTTGAAATGAAATTAAAAAAAAGCCTTTTGTGAGATCGTGCATTTACATTATATATACATGTATATATATTTAGTACTATATATATTTAGTTTACACGAAACACCTACACACACGCGCTAACAAACACACACATACACACACACACACACACACACACACACACACACACACACACACACACACACACACACACACACACACACACACACACACACACACACACACACACACACACACACACACACACACACACACACACACACACACATACACATACACGCACACGCGCACACACGCACTTATTTTAAATGTTTTTTAATTTAATTTTGTTTTTGCACTACCCAGGATCACGGGTTAACAACTATTTGTAATGCGTACTCTGTGAGTCAACAAATATTTATTCATTTTTTCATTTTTCATTTTCATGACGAGTAATAGGAGACAGTGGAAGAGGAAGACTGCGCCGATCTCAAGTAACTTGGGAAATGGAGGAGAAGAAGAGTTTGAACTCGGACGGTTACTGTTAGCATATTTATAATAAAAGCAAATTGTATATATATAAAGAAAATTTATTCTTTCCCACTAACAACTTTATTCCTGCGCTTTTTGTAATTCTCGTTTGTAAGCCGCCCATTCCTCCGGCCAAACGTTTTCCATAATAAAATCCATATATATATCGACTCTGGTGTAGACTCCTGCCGTTTTACCGCAGGATGGTCCGTACGAAACTACTCCTTCGACTGAATATGTACAGTTTAAGTCAGAAACGACCGCCATAAGGGGACCTCCGCTATCACCCTGTAAAATTATTTAAAATTTTAATTACTTATTTAAATAAAATTTTAATTACTTAATTAATTAAAATAAGTCATTCTAACTGACAAAGACTTCAGAAATTATTCTGAAGTCAAGCATTATACACAACTAGCATTGCCCGCGGCTCCGCCTGCGTTCAAATGACCAAAAACCAAATTCTTAGGTTATACATATTACTCGTAGTATACTCTTACATTGCAGTTTTTGTATTTTTTCTCAGAAATGAGACATTTTCTAGCGGTAAAAAGTATTCGATATGTTGTCCCAGATAACCAGCTATCACCATACCAAATTTCATCAAAATCCATCCAGTGGTTTTTCCGTGATGCGGCCACAGACAGACAGACAAAAATTCTAAGAAATATAGATTCGGCCTCTGTATCGATAATAATGTCTGTTTGAATAAGATTTTACTAAAAATATTTAATGTACAGATTCGGCTTAGTTAGAATTTTATTATATGTACCTATAGATTAAAAAAAGCACAACAAGTAAATGAACTAAATCAACCCAAAGGACACATAATCGTCCCCTCAAGAGTTACCTGGCAAGAATCTGCTGATTTTTGAAGTTTCCCTTCCGCACAAATCATATATCCTGGGACGAATACATCAAAATTCTCACATTTTATTTCGTTTTCTGTAACATGTGTCTGAAATGATGAAATATTATAATGAATTCGTCAGAAAAATACCCATGAAACTTTAAAAAAAATCTTCTTTTTCGGTAGTATAACTTAAAACTACAACAGATAATGGTGCAAATTCGCTATGCAAATGATTATTATTTACAGAAACAATTGAATTATTGCCTGCCTTGTTTATAAGTTACTTTTCACACACACGTTTTAACGTTTAGATTTCACAGAAATGAGAAATTTTCCTGCAGTAAAAAGTATCCTATATGTTGTCCCTTATAACCAGCTATCATTATACTAAATTTTATCAAAATCTGTCCAGTGATTTTCTCGTAATGCGATCATAGACAGACAGACAGACAAAAATTCAAAAATATATATTTCAATAATATATATTTCAATAATATTTACCAAAAAATATTTAATGTATAGATTCGGATCAGATTTTTTTTCGTATACTCTTACATTACAGTTTTTGTATTTTTTCTCAGAAATGAGATATTTTCCCGCGGTAAAAAGTATCCTATATATTAACCCGGATAACCAGCTATCACCATAGTAAATTTCTTCAAAATCCTTCCGGTATTTTTCTTGTGATGCGGTAACACACAGACACACAGACAGACAAAAATTCTAAAAACTATAGATTCAGCCTCTGTATCGATAATAATGTTTATTTCAATAAGATTTTCCAAAAAATATATAATTTACAGATTTGACTCAGTTACAATTTTATTATATGTATAGAATATAAATATATATAGATATAGATTTCCATTTCTACAAAAGAATGCGAATATGGTAGAAGCTGACACAGAATTTTACATCGGACTCCCACAGTTGAGATTGCACATAATCGCACACCTATAAAAAGTAACACAACTCAAAATATCACTTTTTTCAGGAATAGAAAAAAACATTTCACTCGTTTCGTGTTGCGTGTGTGTGTGTGTGCGTGCGTGCGTGCGTGCGTGCGTGTGTGCGTGCGTGCGTGCGTGCGTGCGTGCGTGCGTGTGTGCGTGCGTGCGTGCGTGCGTGCGTGCGTGCGAGCGTGTGTTCGTGCGTGCGTGCGTGCGTGTGTATGGTCGCTAATTTCGTATGCTTGGGCATAAGCATCGTGGTCAAGCGGTCAAGGTTGATTACCATAGATGTCCAGGTTCGAATCCCAGGCATATACAAAGTTTTTATTTATTTTTTTATTTATTCAAGCCTTTAGTTAAAAAAAAAAGAAAATTGTACTTTTGGCCAAAAACTCCGAGCGAAACTCTGTAGCCCAGGCACTGTGTTCTTATATATATAATGTTACGATGATATTTTTTTGATCAATGGCTTGTCATCAAATAGCAGTATCACTTGTAAGCAACTCAATATCAAACTCTTGAAGATATTTATTTGGAGCACCAACTAACTAACTACATATTAAACACCAACAATTCCAAAAATAGTTTTATTTTTTCGTGTTAAATTAGTCATTATGACAAAATCATTTGGAGTTTATGTCGTTTGTCGCAGATTCCTCTAATAGTAATAACTAACTTGGAGTTTTTTGGAGTTGTGCTAGTCTTTATGTATATAGGTGTGCGAATTATGAATTTTATTCATAAAAATTTTCATATATATATATTATGCTCATATTAATTAAGCTTTTGTTTTTTCTTTTTTTAATGCACTTATTGTAAATGCAAAATCGAACAAGCAATACTTTTATTTTTATAGTTTTTACATATCTCTTTGTCATAATAATAACTTTTACTAGCATTTTTAACCGAGCAACAATATTTTATTTGTCAATCAAATTGTGATACTCACGATACAGGCTTTGCCTAGTGTGAGTTACCCTCAGGTATAAAATATATTGTAAACTAAACTTTTTGGACAATAAAGATTATTATTATTATAATTAATTACTATTTTCACAAATTTAAATATTTCAAATCACTAATATGAGAGAAGTAAGTTAGAATGACTTAAGGGATTTGATTGCTTAACTATAAATGCAGTCAACAGCAGCAGGTACAATAGTTAATACTAAAGCCAAAGACTAAGGTGATCACTGAAAATCAGCGTTGAACGTTGGTCGTTGCATGCGATCCCTGCATCATCAACACACCCAACTTGACCTTTCTCTCTGCAAGCACACTGCTGTGCGTGCTTATATAGTTAAGTTTATTTTTTTTATTTGTTTATTATTTCATTTATTATCATTTTGATTTATTGTTTTATATTTTTTACTCTATCCTCCTAAAACATTAGATACTATATCGTGACTTACGTGTTGCAGAGTCAAGGAATCCTTTCCAGTTTCTGTCAGGCCCCAACCAGCGATGATATATTTGTCTTTAACCGCAGCGCCCGGCACCGGCAAACAGGCTGGACGAATAAATTCGTTGAACATCACTCTGAAAACACAGGAGATTTCACATATCTATTTAAAAACTACGTACAAATATCTCAATCTTTTCATAATTATTGTCATCACGCATATATTTTTACGTTTTGAATATAATATTAATTGAATTTTATTTCGCGTAGAAGACAAACGCACTAAATGCAAATTGTAATTCAATTTGCACATTTCAATGTCCCACGAGAACCAATCTATGCTATATTTGCCAAGCTCCATGCTCCATGTCTCGCATCTCGTAGATTTTAATGTGCGAATCATTTTCAACATGATCACCACAGGTACCTATCGTCATACCGGTAGATTATATTTTTGAAGAATGGTTATAAATTCAGCCTATAAGCTTCCTAAATAATCCATCTATCTATTGGTGAAACCTGTATGAAAATCCGTAAAGAGGTTTCTGAGATTAACCCAAGCTAACTTAATCTAATCTATACATATAATAAAATTGTAACCAAGCCGAATCTGCACATTAAATATTTTTTTGTAAAATCTTATTGAAATAGACATTATTATCGATACAGAGGCCGAATCTATAGTTTTTAGAATTTTTGTCTGTCTGTCTGTTACCGCATCACAGAAAAACCACTGGAGGGATTTTGATGAAATTTGGTAGGGTGATAGCTGATTATCCAGATCAACATAAAGGATACTTTTTACCGCGGGAAAATGTCTCATTTCTGAGAAAAAGTACAAAAGCTGCAATGTAAGAGTATACTAATATGTAAAACCTAAGAATTTGCTTTTTGGTCACCTGAACGCGGGCGGAGCCGCGGGAAATGCTAGTGTTTAATATTTTATCATACCTTTCATGCAGCTCTACTAGTGCAATATCATGTTTCTTGACGTCTGCCTTATAAGCGTATTCTTTGTGTGGTATTCTGTTTATTATGTTGTACAACATTCCGTCTTGTACTTTTGTTTTATCCAAAGCTCCTAGTAAGGCATATCGTGGAACACCCCTGAAAAAAATTAATACTTTTTTAGTTTTTTTACGCGAATATTTGACGTTTTAAAAAAAACTCGAAATTTTTCGAAATTTATTTTAATTTTTGGTATCCGATGTTTCGAATGCTTTACATTGTAAAGTTTACAATAATCATAGTCACGGGAGAGACTGAGGTTTTCGGCATCTTAAAGGTATATAGTTGTTACATAGGATAACACAATGATTTTAAATTTTTTTTACAAAAGTTTACAATTCTTGGTATCTTTATATACATATAATGGTGTAATGACAACTCTAGTCTGGCTATATACTTATAAATAAATAAATAAATGATGTTGGGACATTAACACACAGCACCATCTAGTTTCATGGTAAGCTACGAGGCTTGTGTTATGGATACCAGATAGTTGATACACTACACATATAACTTTATATAAATACATATTATAAATATAAATACCCATGACTGGAGTACAAACATTCGTGCTCATCACACAAATGAATGCCCCCAGCGGGACTCGAACCCGCGACCGCTGATACAACAAGAAGGGTCACTACAAACTGAGCCAAACGTGTTGTCAAAATACTTAATATGTAGGACGTCATTATAACCATCTTTTAACAAAACCAAAATTTTCAAGGAGCTGGCAAGTGCATATTATACTGGAAGCAAACCAGATATTATAGGAAGATTCGAGGTTCATATCATATCAAAATTCAAAACTTATTCAACAATTAAATAAAAAAATCTATATCTAAACATATAATAAAATTCTAAGTCAAATCTGTACATTTAATTAATTTAAATATTTTTTGGGAAATCTAATTGAAATAGACATTGATGATGATGATGTTCTCCTAGCCGATTCCGGCCATGGCGGCCAATCTCAAAGAGATTAGCCAACTGCGCAGGAGATATTATAGTGCTCAAGTGTACGCGCAGACACAAGTGCACTCTCTATTCCTATCACTCTCATACTCCGGTGGGACGACCACTCGACACGACCGGTGAGAGTTAAGGCGCAGGACCGACGGCTTTACGTGCTCTCCGAGGCACGGGGGTGAAACACCGCCAACTTCCCAACTCCGGGCTGTTACTGAGACTTACTATACACGAAGACTCAATAACTAAACTTGGCCCGACCCGGGACTCGAACCCAGGACCTCCGGGTGTGCAGCCGTACATGCTAGCCACTACACCACCGAGGCAGTTACATATACATTATTATCATTACATACATTCAGACATTATTATCGATACAGAGTCCGAATCTATACTTTTTAGAATTTTTGTCTGTCTGTCTTTCTGTCTGTCTATTTGTCTGTTACTGCATCACGAGAAAACCACTGGACAGATTTTGATGAAATTTGGTATGATGATAGCTGGTTATCCGGGTCAACATATAGGATACTTTTTACCGCGGGAAAATATCTTATTTCTGAGAAAAAATACAAAAACACAAAAACTGCATTGTAAGATTATACTAATATGTGAAACCTAAGAATTCGGTTTTTGGTCATCTGAACGCGGGCGGAGCCGCGGGCAATGCTAGTCAGCAATAAGAATACAAAAAATGCCTGCGTAAAAAGCTAGTTTAAAAGATAGGAGTAAACTGACACAGGAACAAACTAACTGAACATAGTATTATGCAGTCATCAAAATTCCTCCAGTGGTTTTCCTGTGATGCGGTAACAGACAGACAGACAGACAGAGAGACAGACAAAAATTCTTAAAACTATAGATTCGGCCTCTGTATCGATAATAATGTCTATTTCAATAAGATTTTCCAAAACATATTTAATGTACAGATTCGATTCAGAATTTTATTATATTATGTACTTATACATTAAATAATAAATTGTCTCCGATTGCATAATACTTTATTCCTTCGTCAACTTGTTTTGATCTTTTTAGTTAGCTTTTAATTCAGTCGGGTTTTTAATTTTTATAATATATTTAGTGCGCATTTTATGCTCTCGGTTTTTTTATATATCATTTTTTAGTTTTGCTTAGTTAGAGGTGTTTAATTGCATTTAACAATTTGTTAACTTGAGTTATTTTTAGATATTTATATAATTTTAGGCAGTAGTGGCCGGAAACTGAGAAGTGGGTTCAAATACAAGTTTCATGTGCGAATCATTTCCAACATGACTACCACTTGCCATGAACAAACATCGCGGAAAAAGAAGGGAAACATCGCGAGGAAACCGGAATGTCTGAGAGAACTTAGTAAATTTTTGAAAGACATGTGTAGTCCGCCAACCAGCACTTGGCCAACTTGGGCTATGGCCTAATCCCCCTCGTACTGAAGGTAGCCCCGTGCCCAGTAGTGGGAAGTTAAAAAGGGCTGAATATATAATTTTTTTTTTTTTAATTTTTATAAATTTTTTAATTAATGGCTTCTTAAAAACCTTCATTTTGGGGTAAAGTAAATTAACAAAAATATTTAATCTAAAATAAGACCATATTGAGGATTATTAACAATTACTTGAATTTCAAAGTAAATTAACTTCTTTTAGTTATTCATGATGTAGGTAACATTTTAATCAATTGAGAATATATTAACTAACATAACACTTTGTTTAATCTATACTTACGCCTTAGTTTGTAAGATAACGTGAGCAGCTGTCAATATAAACTTGTCGCTTATCAGAGACCCTCCTCCTATCCATGAGATATCAATATCATCTGTGCTTCGTGCGACGGCTGCGCAACCTATAACAGCCTGAAAACAATAATATATGTATATTTAATATCCTTAAAACAGTTTTAGTTCAGCGGCCAACCTCATTGAGACTTGCCACTATGACATTATAATGCTCAAGTGTACTCTATATTCTTTTATAAATAATAAATACGTTGGGACATTAACACACAGCACCATCTAGTTCCATGGTAAGCTACGAGGCTTGTGTTATGGATACTAGATAGTTGATGCACTACATATATCTAACTTGAAATACATACATATTATAAATATAAACACCCATGACTGGGTATCCGTACCGAAAAGGATAGTCGCCCTATATAATTTTGCGGATAGTCGCCCTAAGGACAATTAGTGTTGTAAGTAGGCGAAATGCCTCGCAAATATGAGCAAGAGCTTAGCATGTCTAAAAGGGATAAACAATCTGCAGGTGTTTTAAATTCGAACGAAAAAATTGTCAAAAAAAAGCATAAAGAAGAAGGAAAAAACATTACAAAAAGAACTAGAATTTAGACAACGAAATAAAAAGATTTTAAGACAGTAGAAAATAAACCCGTTGATAACGAGATGATAATTATGAAGAAAAGAGGTCGAAATGAAAGTAAAAGATCAAAAAATATGTCGATTTCTCTCGCAGTGAAACAGAATTTGAAAACATAGATTTAATTAAACTGAACGGAGAAAGAGCTTTAAGGATGACAAATAACAAACTTATAGTTCCGAGAGTGAAAATGAAAAAAACTTTATAAATACAAAAATAGCCAAAGAAAAAGCTACAAAAGGAATACAAAAAAAGTAGTAAGAAATTAAACATGATAAGAGAGATTGAAAAGACACTAAAAGTTATTAGCATTAATACAAAAATAGAAAATGCGAATGATAAAGTTTCTGTTGATGATTATTTCAATTGTTTTGAAAATGACAATAATACTAATTCCAAATCATACTGGATTGTATTTCCAGGAAACTATGAACAAGTTCAATTTCAAAGTTTTAAGTTTAAATTCAAAGAATATTGTGGAGATGTGGAAAATTAAAAGTTATGGCTTCATAATTGATGATGCTTTTTAAACATTTTTGGTGATATCCGCCTACCCACTAATTTTAATATTTGTGTCAAAGTTGATTACTATATTGTTTTTATCTTCAAAGTTAATTATTATTTGTAACTTAAAATTTTGGAGATTTTATTTATATTTTAAAAGTTGTATTGATTTCGATTAGTACCCACTTAATAAATTGATGTTGATAATTAATAATGGTTGATTAATTTTACATAAATTTGTTTTAATTCAAAAAAATTGCAACAATTTCTATCCCCACATGAGACAAGTATCCCCCAAAGCATTTTTATTTTTAAGGCAACTATCCGCCACAGAAGGCAACTACCCCCTTTTGTAGAGGTCAAATAAAGGATTTACTGAAAAACAATATTGATTGTGTTTAAAAAAATAGGTCACAATGAAAGATTAAAGACCAACGTTGCATTATACACGGGGCATGTTGTAAGTAGATTCTTAATATTTATGTAATTGGAGTTTTTCAAAAAGTAGGGCAACTATCCGGCTTTTACCCTATACGTACCATATGTGGAAACTGCCTGAGCTCGGATGGTGTTCCATCTATTATTCTTAGTCCCATTTTTGTTTTTGGACAAGTATTTTTTCTAATGAAACGTTTATTGTCTTCCGATTTTGCTACACATACGTTATAATACCGCTGGTAGCTAACACATTCTGAAAAGATAATGAAAATGTAGGTTGTTTTTTTTAATTAGCTAGTCTACAAAAAAGGTTTTCAATTTAATTCAATTCAATTCTTTTATTCTGTGTAAGTTTTGCCTTGCATTACAAGTTATTTCCGTTTTGTCCGTAGTCAATAAAACGTTTAACATTCACTCGCAAAACCATCGGTATACCCGTGACCATGGCGGATATGCACAACAGTGCCGAAATATTGGAAGCTCTCAAAAGTAAGTGATTGCCTAAATATTGTAAATATTCCGTCATACATCATAATTCATAATAATATTATGATGTAAGACGGAATATTTAAAATTATTAACCGTGGCGCCCGGCTTAGAATATGGCTACTTCATCTCCTTCTTTAGGTGTCGTAGAATACGACTAAAGGACCTAGGGACAGGTCCTTAAGTCCCTTGCTTGATAACGGGCAAACGACAGCATTCCCAAAGAGGGTTGACGTCAGGCAGGCGGCCAGTCGGATTTTTTTTTGCCAAAACCAACAAGCAGTACGGACGTACTGCGCCGACCCCAAGTAATTTGGGAAATGGGCAGTCAGATCATGATGATATCATAACAATATTTAGTTTAAAACCTTATAGGTAATACAAATTGACTTTATATTCATACAAGCGACCCTTTTTATGCCTGAGTGTTTCCTTAAATGTGTAAGAGTAGCTTATGTGATCTGTTATAGGTTTTTAGTGATAAACATACACACACACGCACACGCACACTTAACTTTTGCATTTATAATAATAGTTCAAAACACGCACGTACTTGTCCAGGCGGGATGTTCCACAGGAGTGTTCAGTTTAGGGCTCGGTAGAGGCGGACATCCTTTTGGTTCTGGTGTAACTTGATATTTTGAAATTCCACAGCATAAAAACGGCTCTCGGTCCTCATACCGACAGATCTGGGCAAAGATTATGCCTTTTAGTAGTCATGTAATAATAATAAAGCTGGATTCGAAAAGCAGGATTGGGAATAAAAAATATTTTTTCCAAATCCTGACTTACACATGTATATTTTTTGTACATAAAAAAATCTGCTTATTTACAGATAAAAAAATATGCGTACAGATTATTACTAATTTTTACATATTATCCAGATCCACTTACCCTCGCTTCACTCGGGCGCGCCCTGACTTAAGATTTAAGTAAATAAACTAGTAATCGTGAGGAAACCTGAGGAGAACCTGGGTTAAACTAAGATCTTTAATTTTCTTGTACATTGTTTTGATATATAAAAAATGGGTTTGATGTATCTCTTAAGATACATCAAACCATCATTTAGTAAAAAATTGTATAATTTAAAAAGGCCTACAGAAAAGTGCGCGATAGCACATGTCTATCTTGTAAAGTAAGTTCAAAATAACGTTTTTTACCCAACTGCGCCAGAGAGAGGGTTATGTTATTAGCTTGAGAGGTGTCGTCAGATTCGTCTTAATTGTGATACTGGGTATATCAAAATTATAAAAATTAGATTGGTCGATTTTTAGCGCCATATTATCGATTGTATGACATCAATTTTTTTTCCTCAAAACCTAAAGAGTTGGGTATCAAAATAAACAGTTTTATAAATGACTTACAAAAATATACACAAGTTATATGTTTAAACGTAATTTGGAATGAGAAATGCTAAAAAACAATAAATAAAACAAATATTTACAAAAATAAAAGAACCGACTGCGTAAAAAGAGAACTAAAAAGATGAAAACAAGTAGACATACAATACAACATAATATCAGCCAGTCGGAGACTTACATATGTACATATTTTATAATAGCTGCTTGTGTGTATTTAACTTATTTATAATAGAAGCATCGTAGCTAGGTTAGGGCAAGTTACTGGTTAATAATAATTTATCTTTTGGATTGTATTTTTATTATTGACTACCATTGCCCGCGGCTCCGCCCGCGTTCAGATGACCAAAAACCAAATTCTTAGGTTTTATATATTAGTATACTCTTACAATGCAGTTTTTGTATTTTTTTCAGAAATGAGATATTTTCCCGCAAACAAAAGTATCCCATATGTTGAAGCGAATAATCAGCTACCATCATACCAAATTTCATCAAAATCTGTCCAGTGTCCAGTCCAGTAACAGAGAGACAGACAGGCAGACACATTTTTTAAAAACGATGCGGCCTTTGTTTCGATAATAATTTCTATTTCAATAAGATTTTCCAAAAAATATTTAATGTACAGATTCTGCTTATTTCCAATTTTATTATACGTATAGATAGTTTTTTTTTGTTTGCAAGAATTAATTTGGGCAACTACTGGTTTCGAGGTTATATATAGGTTATCTAACCTTACCCTGTAATCTTTAGAAGTTTTGTAATGCGTTGGCATAAAAAATATAACGAATTAAATTTCTAACTTTTAACTTATATTGCCGAAACTCATATAACAGATTCTACTCATATTATGAAGAATCGAATTTTCAGAAGCCCAATCATCAATCATCAAAAAAAAAATGAATCCTATAATAATAATAAAAAATATTTATGTTTTTGACGCTGTTAAATATAACAGCGTCCGCCTTAAATAGACCCTAAGTCAAGAGTGTAAGTCACAATTACCATATCATTTGTCTTCTTCACACGGCCACTTCTAAATAGCGTTCTGATTTGTTTTGGACCGCTTATGACATCTACGTTGGTTGGTGGACAGCAGACTATAGGAGTCTCCTCTTGCCAGAAGCATGTCTAAAATCAAATTAAGTGCATTAACAAAACAGACATGGCCAACAATATGAAAAAAGATTTTAATGAATACAAGGTTTATTGAAAAGGAGGTTCCGAAAAATCTGTCGAAACTAACAATCAGCTATGAAAAGAGCTATTGTATCGTCCGCACAACGGTGGATTTACACCTAGGTCCGTGAGGCCCAGGACTAATTCCTAAAGTTTTCAGTTTAAAATAATGTATATATATATATATATATATATATATATATATATGTATAATATATATATATATATGTATAATATATATATACATTATTTTAAACTGATATCTATTCCTGTCACTCTCGTCCCACCAGAGTATGAGAGTGACAGGAATAGAGAGCACACTTGTGTCTGCGCGTACACTATAATATCTCCTGCGCTGTCGGGTCATCTTGGTGTGAGATGCTGGCATTATTGGTGAAAGCAGTTAAATGTTAAAATGGCTGGAAGAATGAAATGAATTAAAAATAAGTGTGCAATTTACCGGTGGATGTTCTATATCCTCGCTTACTACTTTTATAGCAAGTGAACATTCCATAATCGGCTTGCATGTTCCTACAAATGTGTCTATATTGCAGGGTTCGCCTGTAATGAACCATATATATGATATCTTTAGGTAGTTATTGTTATATGTAAATCTATATAATAAAATTGTAACTAAGCCGAATCTGTACATTAAATATTTTTTGGAAAATCCTATTGAAATAAACATTATTATCGATACGGAGGCCTAATCTATAGTTTTAGAATTTTTGTCTGTCTATCTGTCGGTTACCGCATCACAGAAAAACCACTAGAGGGATTTTGATGAAATTTGATATGATGATAGCTGGTTATCCGGGTCAACATATAGGATACTTTTTACCCTGGGAAAATATTTGTTTCTGAGAAAAAATACAAAAACTGCAATATAACAGTATACTAATATGTAAAACCTAAGAATTTGGTTTTTGGTCATCTGAACGCGGGCCTGTGACCTCATAGCATCACAATACCTTTTTTTGTTGAAAGAGAGAAAGCCTTATTTATGATACATACAGCTAACATAAAAGGGAAATAGGACAAACACCAACAACCCATAAGCTTACACCTACCCTGGGATCCATAGCTTAAAAGTTCCCCTAAACTAGCCCCTAAATTAAATTTCGTTTTACCATCGTCTTTAAGCCCATATTTCTAGCACCTATATTTAGGGGGCCTTTTAACATTTAGGTGACCCCTAACTGTCAGTGAAACAGAAACTGTCCCCTAACAGCCCCCTAACCATGCTTAGGGGATCCCTTAAATTTACGTGACGTTGGTAAAATCGGCCATCAGACTCGTTAATTATGCAGTGACTATGGTTTATATTATGTATTTTATTTCTAACAACATATTGTATTTTAACTTACTGCAATGTATGCACTGAAATATCAATTTATTCACACACATACATTATTTAATTAATTATGTAATTAGAATCATCCTGCTGAGTACATATAATAAAACTGTAGAGGTCGAATGTCCGTACGTAGAAAAAAATGCTAAAACCCGAGCAGGGGATGTAAAAAGAGTAATAGAAAAAATCCAGATTTTTTCAAATTTTTTTGTTTCTCTGGCTGTTTGTCTGTTTGTCTGTGTGTACGGGCTAATCTCCAAAAGGGTTTCACCGATTTAAATGAAATTTTGTATGGTGGTACCTTCTATCCTCGGTCAACATTTTAGATACTTTTCATCCCAGAAAATTAAAGAGCTCCCGTGTGATAGTTAAAAAACTACAATAACTAATACAGCTTAGTACACAAAAACTACTGATATATAGTTCATATATCAGAAAAACAAATAGGCTACTTTTTATCCCTAAAAATTGTACGGTTACCGTGGGATAGTTTTGTTTTTGTTTGTCTAGAGGCGAACACGAGCCAAGCGAGGGTGAGTCCCTAGTTTGCTTAAATATAAAAACTTTTTAACAAAAAAATAAAAACCGACTTCAAACAAAAGCACTAAAAAGTAACAAATAACTGATTGGTAGTTTTCATTTACTATACATACCTAATCAAATATTTTCGAAGTCGGTGTGCTTAGCTTTGTATGGGCTGGCACCGATTTCGAAAATATTTGATTAGGTATGTATTTAATAGGTAGGCTTTAATTACTTAGCCAAAGCACACCGACTTCGAAAATATTTGATTAGGTATGTATAGTAAATGAAAACTACCAATCAGTTATTTGTTACTTTTTAGTGCTTTTGTTTGAAGTCGGTTTTTATTTTTTTGTTAAAAAGTTTTTATTTTTCCCTTTTTAGTGTAGACAGTAGTAGCAAAGTAAGGATTCTAACGTGTTAGGCTTGTCAAATCAAACAAAATAAGCCCAAACTCAAAGTATCTACTATTAGCCGTTGAAGAGTTCCACCTATCCACCTTCTGGCCTTGCCATCAGATCAGGTCAACAACACCGAACCACTGTACTATCAACGGAAATAGAAATACTTGCAAAGTTTCAAGTCAATATGACAATTAGAAGTAGGTTAAATTCATCATTAGTTGTTTTTCCACCCTTAGGGGTGGTATTTTTTTTTTGAAATTTAAATGGTACCAATCTGGAAGTACACCCTTTCAAACAAAACAAAAATTGTCCAAATCGGTTAATAAATGACGGAGTTCTGAGGTAACAAACATAAAAAAAAAAAAAAACATACAGTCGAATTGAGAACCTCCTCCTTTTTGAAGTCGGTTGAAAATACACAGTTGTATGCCTTGTACTGCCAATATCTCAACTGCAGTATGACACTGATATTATCTGAACCCGGGTTAAAATAATTTCGAAAGCCATACTCTTTTTTGTATACAAATAAAGTACTTATCTACATGTACCGAACCCGATGAGATTTCCAATCTATTCTAACATAAACAAACTGATGAGTTCATTTGTTTTTTCTTTAAACGCGCTTATCTCTTGAACTACAAGTCTGAGAACGTAAAGCCGTAGGTCCTGCTACTTTTTTTTTTTTTTTAATGTTGGGAAATGCATTTACGCACGACGTGTGGGACTCACCGGCGTAATACAGCCAGTACTACCCACTAAAACCCAACAAAACCTTCCCCCGTCTTAATGGGGCGTCGCAGGATCGCTTACGCATTCAACTACGACGCCCCGACGGCAGGTCTGCCGAAGCAGACCACAACAACCACGGGGTTGCTCCACAGTCCACTCTGCTATCAGAGAAGTACCAGGAGCAACCCGCATGGTACACTGCCCTCCGAAGAGGGCCGCCTCCCACCGCCCACCGAAGTGGGCCAACTCCCTGTGCGTTTCTTGGCTTCGCGCCCGGTTGGGTTGCCGGGCACTACTGAGCCCCCCCACCACGACAAGGTGAACGCACGTTGGGGGGGGGGAGGTCCTGCGCCTGATCTCTCACTAGCCGACTCGAATTAGTTCCACCGGAGTATGAGAGTGACATTAATAGAGAGTGCAATTATATTTGTGCGAATACTTTTGCACTATTGTATCATCTACGCTGATGTAAGTCTGATTCAGCCGTAGCCGGAATCGATCGGGAGGCTATTATTATTATTTAGTTCAGATCAATCGTTATAAAAAATATTGCTTAAAGTTGTATATTACTAGGAAAATATAGTATTTAAAAAAACTTAAAAAAACTGACTTCTAGGCACTAAAAAACAATAAATATGTTACTAAACGGAGGTTTTCATTTAGAATAGATATTTTCGAAGTCGGTGCCAGCCGATGCAAAGCAAATCTATACTAATACTAATCTGTACTAATATAATAAAGAGGTAAAGTTTGTGAATTGTGAGTTTGTGACGTTGTAGGAGGTAATTTCTGGATCTACTCAACCGATTTATAAGAAATTTGGTAAGAAGATAGCTTGAGATCCTGGTAAGGACATAGGATACTTTTTATTCCGGAAATAATCCTTTAAGGGGGTGAAAATCGGATGAAATTTTGTGTCTATATCGCTAGTCTAATTTATTTCGATATGTAAAATACATCACAAATTGATGTACCTATAATATTTTAACTATAATTAGAGTTCATACCTTATCATATTTACCTATTAGATATTCATATCTTAAAATATTGTATACAGTCTGGCACCGACTTCGAAACTATGTGATTTAGGTATCTATTCTAAATGAAAACCCCCTTTTAGTTATTTTTTACATTTTAGTGCCTGGAAGTCGGTTTTTTTAAGTTTTTATTTTTCCATTGTTAGTGTAGACGTAATAAGCAGATGATTTGTAAGAAGAAAGTTTTTTTTAATAACATATTCGATTAAGCCATTTATTAAAAATAATTTATTGTTGATTTTTTTTTTAAATCGCTCAACCGATTTCGATAAAATTTAAAGTAATCGGTAAAGTAATCGGAGAACATACATAAAAAAAAGATTCCGACGAATTGAGAACCTCTTCCTTTTTTGAAGTCGGTTAAAAACGTCTGAGTGGGCCTTAATAAAAACTCAGCACAATTCATTCGTTGCAAATGGCAGATATCTAGATAGGGACAGACAGCCATTAATTACCAAAATTGAACATAAAAAACATTACACAAAATACATAGACTTACCTATTTTCGAATAGCCCGAACATTTTTTAAAATAATTGTATAAAATTATAAATATTAATGTCTTAATTTTCATCATTAAAAGCACATCTGCACTCTTCGAAGTAATCAAAATAACTAAAGTATGATAGATAACCTTAAGTTACAACGTTATAACGTTATAACGTTATATTTATTACTAGCGGAAACCGCGGCTTCGCTCGCGCTAAAACTACAAAAAAAACCTGGAGGTGTTAACACGTACTTCAGAGAATTACTCACAAACATACTGGTACCAACTAACAAACATTGTAAGTTAATAATAATAGGAAAATGATTGTAAAAAGTAATATTTTAATGAGAAAATGTAGCATTTTAAAAATTAATCAGCCCCAGTCATGTGTATAATTTTTTTTTTTGTATATTATCACTCATATATAATTGAGATCGATATTTTTGAAGTTATACTTCTTTTGGCACGTTATGAAAAAGGAATGATGAGAGTGTTTTTTCACGCCGCGACTGATTTATAGTACAATAAGACCATGATATGCTGTCCCAAATGAAAGTGTTCGCTGAGAAGAATACAAACGTCTATACATATAATAAAATTGTAACGAAGCCGAATCTGTACATTAGATATTTTTTGGAAAATCTTATTAAAATAAACATTATTATCGATACATAGGCCGAATCTATAGTTTTAAGAATTTTTGTCTGTCTGTCTGCCTGTTACCGCATCACGGAAAAACCACTGGATGGATTTTGATGAAATATGGTATGGTGATACCTGGTTATCAGGGTCAACATATAGGATACTTTTTACCGCGGGAAAATGTCTCATTTCTGAGAAAAAAATACAAAAACTGGAATGTAAGAGTATACTAATATGTAAAACCTAAGAATATAAAACACACAAACTTTACCTCTTTATAATATTAGTATAGATTAATATAGATATAAATTATGAGGAAGGACGTATACATAAGTATACAATAAGTAGCTCGGCTCAGCTCGGTTCAGGTTAAGGTTTTTTTTGCATACAGAACCTCCTGCATCTAAAAATCACTTATTTTACATTAGAAAATAAAAAAGTGGTAAACATTAATAAAAACCGATAATAGTCGGACGAATAATATATATTTCATTCGTCCGATTATGCGACGAATAGCAACAGCCGATAGGTATACTCCCATAGCAGGATGATGCATCTTCTGATATCAAATTCTGGCCGCTGCGACTGAGTCAATACAGTTATTGATAATAATATAATTAAATTAAGAAGTCTATTTATTTATCATTATTATATATATATATATATATATATTATATTTATATATATATATATATATATATATATATATATATATATATATATATATATATATATATATTATACTTATTATTAGAATTTAAAATTAAATCAAATTTTCTAAAATCAGTAAAATTGAGGAAATTGTAAGGAGCAATTATAAGACCATTTCCTTCATAAAAATTTATTTCCATGTAAAACCTAGAGTTGACTATACTGCAGCTGACAAGTTGAAGTCACTGAGCACTAGTTTGTCGTCCGATCTCTTTATATACTCACTAGCGACTCACCCTCGCTTCGCTCGGGTTAGTCTCTGATTTGATCCCCATACAAACTTTCATCCCCAATTTCACCCCCCTTTTTTTTAACGTTGGGAAATGCATTTACGCACGAAGTGTGGGACACACCGACGAAGTCAGTACTACCCACTGAAACCCAACAAAACCTTCCCCCGTCTTAATGGGGCGACGCAGGATCGCTTACGCATTCAACTACGACGCCCCGACGGCAGGTCTGCCGAAGCAGACCACAACAACCGCGGGGGTACACCGCCCTCCGAAGATCGCCGCCTCCCACCGCCCACCGAAGCGGGCCACCTCCCTATGCGTTTCTTGGCTTCGCGCCCGGCTGTATTGCCGGGAACTACTGAGCCCTCCCCCACCACGACAAGGTGAACGCACGTTGGGGGGGTCTCTAATGGATGATTTCCGGGACAAAAAGTACCCTATATCCTTTCCAGGGTCTTAAACTATCTTGCCAAATTTCATCTAAATCCATTCAGTAGATCCAGAGATTACCCCCTACAGTATCACAAACTCACAAACTTTACCTCTTTATAATATTAGTATAGATTAGAATCATTGTACTAGAAAATGTTAGGTCTTAAAAAGACCTACAGAAAAATCTGCAACAGCATACATCTATATCCTGAGGTACACTCGCAATAACTATTTTTATCTATGTACATACATATATGGTAGCTATTTAATCTGCCCTTTTTAATGCCTAGGGATCAGGCTATAGTCCGTCTTGCTGGACATTTGACAGAGTTGAAGAGCTGGAGTGTGAAATAAGCTACTTTATCGCAGAAAAACTCATTGCCACGGACAAACATATAATATAATCACTATAGCATTTATCCCTTACCATTGAATATGTTACTTACTCGAGGTATTTAATGTAGATATCCCCCGATATGTGTTCTTCTTGTCGTGGGAGGGGTGGGAAAGGGGAGGGGGTTGTGGTAGGGGGAGGGGGTTGTGGGAGGGGGAGGGGGTTGTGGGAGGGGGAGGGGAAAGGGTGTCTCATTATCGTATTATCCTCCATGCAGCAGAGTGTGAACCCAAAAGGCACATTGGGAGGTGGCCCGCTTCAGAGGGTGATGTAGGTACTATACGGGTTGCTCTTAGGACTTCTCTGAGAGCAGTATCAGAGCGTACCGTGGGAGCAACCCCATGGTTCTCGTGATCTGACGTAGGGGGTGTGTGTGTAAGTGACCCTGTGACGTCACATTATGACAGGGGATGTATCGTTGGGTCTTGGTAGTAGTTAGTAGGAGGATAGTACTGGCTTTTCTGGCCAGTGAGTCCCACATGCGTAATTGAATTTACCAACATTCAAAAATATTAAAACAATGTACATTAAAAACATAAAAATACTATTAATTCAAACTTATGCGTGACAATATTAAATTAGGTATTCCATTATGATAACCTTACTTGTAATATAATTGTATACGTTAAAGGTCCTATCTAATTGGAAAAAACGCTTGATAAAGATTTATTATAGGTTATTTAAGTGACTTTTTTTGGTCAGTTCGTCTGTAATCTGTATAAAGCTTACGTATATTACCGTCGTAAATGTTTGAAGTATTTTCTTGTTTTGACTTCTTTTCTCCTTTAACGGTCATTCATTTGTTTGACAGGATTGTAATCTGTGTGCATGTGTAAAGTCTCTAGTACTGATTTTTTTTGTCGATACGTCCTGTGGCCTTTTTTTTTTTAACGTTGGGAAATGCATTTACGCACGACGTGTGGGACTCACCGGCGTAATACAGCCAGTACTACCCACTAAAACCCAACAAAACCTTCCCCCGTCTTAATGGGGCGTCGCAGGACCGCTTACGCATTCAACTACGACTCCCCGACGGCAGGTCTGCCGAAGCACACCACCACAACCATGGGGTTGCTCCAAGGCCCACTCTGCTATCAGAGAAGTACCAGGAGCAACCCGCATGGTACACCACCCCCCGAAAAGGGACACCTCCCACCGCCCACCGAAGTGGGCAACCTCCCTGTGCGTTTCTTAGCTTCGCGTCCGGTTGGATTGCCGGGCACTACTGAGCCCCCTCACCACGACAAGGTGAACGCACGTTTTTTACGTTTTAACATCTAGTATAGCTTTCTCAGTGATGAGATATTTTCCCGCAGTAAAAAGTATTCTATATATTGATTGACCCAGATAACCAGCTATCATTATATCAAATTTCATCAAAATTTGTCCAGTAATTTTCTCGTGATGCAATCCCAGACGGACAGATAAAAATTCTAAGGTATAGATTCGGCCTTTGTATCGATAATAATAACTATTTCAATAAGATTTTCCAAAAAATATTTAATGTACAGATTAGACTCACAATGAGTTAGAATTTTATCATATACTAGCATTGCCCGCGGCTCCGCCCGCGTTCAGATGACCAAAAAATTAAATTCTTAGGTTTTACATATTAGTATACTCTTACATTGTAGTTTTTGTATTTTTTTTTAGAAATGAGATATTTTCCCAGGGTAAAAAGTATCTTATGTGTTGACCCAGATAACCAGCTGTCACCATACTAAATTTCATCAAAATCCCTCCAGTGGTTTTTCTGTGATGCGGTAACAGACAGACAGACAGACAGACATACAGACAAAAATTCTAAAAACTATAGATTCGGCGTCTGTATCAATAATAATGTTATTTCAATAAGATTTTCCAAAAAATATTTAATGTACAGATTCGGCTTAGTTACAATTTTATTATATGTACCTATAGATATAGATAATAAATGTACTGTTCTTTATGATTTAATATAAAAGATTTTCAGATTCCAAAAAAGGCTTTTTATAGTGTTTAACCGGAAGTAATTATTTGAAAGAAAATTTTGACTATTTTGAAACCCTTTTTTCGTTGTCCGCTTTACTTGAAACTCTCCTAGACCTATAAGGCAGTGTAACGTACCACACACGTCCAAGATGGTTATGGTACATAGAAAAAAATAAAATAACAGTTTTTTAAATATTTTATTGTTTTTGTGTACTATATTTTTAAGTCTTCAATTGTTTCGTCTATCCATTTGATATAGTGTGAGATGTTGGTGTAGACAGATAGACTGTTGTGCTTAGAGAGATAGATGCCATTCACGACATAATTGATATTATTCATTGACTGGAAACAAAAATAAAAGAATAAAAAAATTATTATTTTATTAATAGTTAATGAGCAATTCTTGTATATATAGCATATCCTCAGGAACATGGTGTATATATGTATATATATATATATACAGGGCCGAATAGACCATACCGGGGCCCCTAGGCAATTAAATTCTCGAGGCCCTTTCATCCTTTTCTAACTTATTAAAATACATTTTTCGTAATGACGCTATTAGGTAGATTTCATAGAAATCTAAGTGTTGCATTTGTCCTCATGGTGAAATTTTCATCAATTTTTTATTTTTTAAAATTCAATTTTCACTCGATGATACATTTTATTATGACGACACGTTTGTCTCAGTTTGTAGTAACCCTACTTGCTGTGCCAGCGGTCGCGGGTTCAAGTCCCGCTGGGGGCATTGATTTGTGTGATGAGCGCGAATGTTTGTACTCTAGTCATGGGTGTTTATATTTATAATATGTATGTATTTATAGTTATATATGTGTAGTGTATCAACTATCTGGTATCCATAACACAAGCCTCGAAGCTTACCATGGAACTAGATGGCGCTGTGTGTTAATGTCCCAACATATATTATTTATTTATTTATAACTTTTTTGTCTCCGTGCGTGGGGCCCCTAGCCGATGCAGGGCCCATAGGCAATTGCCTAAACTGCCTTATGGATAATCCGGCCCTGTATATACACCATGTTTCTGAGGATATGCATTAACCTTGGCCTGTTATTCAGACCGTTAAATGAGTCATTTTTCGTTATGGACACATTTAATGAAATTTTATTATAATCACGATGTTTTCCTTCAACGTAAGGTTTTCGTGGTTTCCCAAGCGAGCGCGCATTGCGCTACCACTGCATATATATTTTAATTTATTAAAATAAAAGTTAGGGTGAATCTTGAAATCGGGCGTATTCAGATGATTCCTCTGGCGATTTTTTTATCTAATTATTATTTACTTTTACATGCAAAAGTTTAAATATAACATAATTATAAACACATTTATCAAATAGGCATCACTGTAACTAGTCTCGTTATAAAGACATATGTGATTTAAATTTTTGGTGGCAGGGGAGTCAATAAAAGGTGGCAGGGGAGTCAAAATTATAGCTATTTTATATGAATTATATGTTTTATTTAAATTTTAAACTAATCAGTCTTTTGATTTCAATATTTGGACTTTACCCTTAATAAATAATGATAATAATTATAACTAAAAAACAAATAAAATCATATGATAAACAATGTAAAATAAATAAAAAATGAGTTTACATTCTAAATGAACAAACAATTTTCTAAAAAATATTATAATCAGAAGAATCTGAATCTTCATCACTATAGAGAGCGGATAGTACGACTTTAGTCATAGAAGATGTGAATAAGTTCTCATTCATTGATGGGACATCACTCTACAAGCTGTCATCAGATGGTACATTATTAATCTCAAATTGGTTACTCTGGATTGAAGTTCCGGCCAGCCGATAGTTCGGGCTTGAGTTAGCAGTAATATCAATCTGATTTTCGTTTATTGCGGTCTTTTTTGATATCATAGTTTTAGGGGTACTAGTGTTCTCCAAAGTTATACTTCGGATATTATAGAAACCGATATGTTGTCCATGGGGACAATAATTTGATTCTTCAGAACATTTTTCTAAATTACAGCTAAGGTGTCTCATGGCTAGGACCTTAGGATTATTACAGGTCCATATCGTTTGATGAACTCTCATGGTGCCTCGAAATTCTTTTAAATCAGAGGGAATTAATAGTTCCGTCTCCAAAATGCCAGATTCGTGAACTTCCATTATCATACCCTCGGATATTTGAATTTGAAGGTGACTAATAAGGAGATCAATATTTGGAAAATCATTCCCTACAGCAACAATCCGATCAGCTGCTATTTTTAATACTTCTCCCACACTATCAGGAGCTCCTTTGCCATGCCCTTTTTCCGAGTAATTCCAAACTACACGCTGTAAACTTTTATAGTCCCAATGAAGCTTAGCCATCACGTAGAACATTTTTCGGTTTCTATATTGAGCAGATGGCAAGTCTGATATAAAATGCAATGTCTCCAGTACAGAAATGTTGCCGCTAACAAAGTTTAACACAGGAACCAAATGCTCCCAGATGGCGACAGCATCGTGTCTAAGCATTCACTTAAAGTACAGAAAGATTTAGTACATAGCTCCCCATTTTCAACCGACTTCAAAAAGGAGGAGGTTCTCAATTCGACTGTATGTTTTTTTTTTTTTTATGTTTGTTACCTCAGAACTCCGTCATTTATTAACCGATTTGGTCAATTTTTGTTTTGTTTGAAAGGGTATACTTCCAGATTGGTCCCCTTTAAATTTCAAAAAAAATACCACCCCTAAGGGTGGAAAAACAACTAATGATGAATTTAACCTACTTCTAATTGTCATATTGACTTGAAACTTTGCAAGTATTTCTATTTCCGTTGATAGTACAGTGGTTTGGTGTTGTTGACCTGATCTGATGGCAAGGCCAGAAGGTGTATAGGTGGAACTCTTCAACGGCTAATAGTAGATACTTTGAGTTTAGGCTTATTTTGATTGATTTGACAAGCCTAACATGTTAGAATTCTTACTTTGCTACTACTGTCTACACTAAAAAGGGAAAAATAAAAACTTTTTAACAAAAAAATAAAAACCGACTTCAAACAAAAGCACTAAAAAGTAAAAAATAACTGATTGGTAGTTTTCATTTACTATACATACCTAATCAAATATATTCGAAGTCGGTGTGCTTTGCTTTATATGGCCTGGCACCGATTTCGAAAATATTTGATTAGGTATGTATTTAAATGGTAGGCTTTAATTACTTAGCCAAAGCACACCGACTTCGAATATATTTGATTAGGTATGTATAGTAAATGAAAACTACCAATCAGTTATTTTTTACTTTTTAGTGCTTTTGTTTGAAATCGGTTTTTATTTTTTTGTTAAAAAGTTTTTATGTAATTAGTAAATAACAGAGGTATGTAATGATACTCGTATCTGCTGTCGAGAACTACCAAAGTGAAAAGCCTGAATTTCGGAAGCATATTTAGTATTGTAGGGTTTACTGAAATCATAGTGCATAATGCATTCTCCTGATTTCAGTTTTGATTTCAAGTTCTTGATATAGTTGTTTTGGCAAACAATATTGGCACAGTGACTCATGTACTGTTTTAATAACCACTTAAAAGGCTCAATTATGACACTGTTCATATCAGAATCATCATTGTCTTCAATAATTATGTGTTCTTCAAGTTCTTTTAACTTCTTTAGTTTTTTTTTCTGATTATATCGTTTTGAACTTTCTCTATCCCTTTTTATCATATTTTTTTGTTATCTTGGAGACATTTCACCTATTGGTAGAATTATTCCTTTACTCTTTTTGGTTAAATATTTTTGTCTTTCTTTTTCTTGTTGATTTGCTCGTAATACAGGATCACTTTTATTTTTTTCTAATCTTTGTCGCTCAGTCGCAGTCGTTTTTTCTCTAGTATTTCTTCTCTTGTTTGTTTTGGAGTCATTATTTAAGCCTGTAACATTAAACTAACAAATAAATTAATTGACACCACTTTCATTTTTTTACATCTCATCAGTCTCCCTTCAACGAGAGCTCAAAAATACTTTATTGATAATGTAACTACTAAATAATAATTTAAAATATAAGATTTTGTAGGAGAAAATAAGAAATAATACATTACCCTGGTACAACACCGGGGGAATCAACACCAATGGAATCAAAAAAGAGCACATTTTTTGTCGATTTTGTAAAAATCGAAATGTTTTGTCCAGAAGTAATAAAATATATAATTAATAACACTTTACTCCGTACTGTATACCCTAGTTAAGAAACCCTAAATTATCAAAAAACAATTTTAAATGTGGGAAGGGTAATCAATGACCTAGTGAAACAAAACCAAGGGAATCAAATTCTTACCTTCGTAAATCCAGTTTTGAGCAATGAGAAGCTTGACCTACCCTCACGATGCTTAAAGCGCGACTTAAGCTTGGCCGACAGCGCGCGCTTATACTCCCATGACATTCGTTTAGTGATGTACGAGTGGATAAATCACGCGCCAAGGGGATCAATGTTTGACCTCAGACAAACCAAAACTATATTTTTTTATTTAAACTACGTTAAATATTAGACATTGTGTAATTATTTACTTATTTAACAACTCTTCCATTAACGTTTAGATCAACACAATTCCTAAATTTCCTATTATACATTGGTGTAAAATTAATAGTTTGTTCCATGAATATCAAAGGGACAACCCAGGGGAATCAATTTTCAGGGCTTTGAATTTTTTTTCCACACATTATCAACTATAATAACTTCGTTAACTAGCATGCCCCTAGTAGATCAAACATTAAACTAACAGCAAAAAATATTTAGATTACAATTTTTATACGTAACAGGTAGTTTTTCCCTCCAGACAATGTTAATTTAGTCTCTCAAGATTCACCCGTTAAATATACATCTAATTCCAATACAAACAAGCTATTGACATATAAGATATACGTACAGTCTCTTGTTCACAAAACAGCCCCCCACCCACTTCTGGGATGTAGTCGTTTTTGGGCGCAACTGCGCATAGCCTCGTCTCTTCTAGCGGCTTGCCGCCGATCACACAATTACTTTGTCTAGGTATAACAGCGTTGAGCTGAAATAAAAACAAAAGGAAAAATATATTAAATTGATTAATTTTATATTAAATGTAATATGGGAAATCGACTTTTTTAAACGACTTCCAAAAAGGAGGAGGTTCTCAATTCGTCGGAACCTTTTTTTATGTATGTTCACCGATTACTCGAAGACGTCTGAACGGGCTGGAACCGCCTGAAACTGGCTTTCAAATAAAAAAAACCGCATCGAAATCGGTCTATCCGTTTGAGAGCTATGATGCCACAGACAGACATCGACGTCAAACTTATAACACCCCTCTTTTTGCGTCGTGGGTTAAAAAAACAATTACAAATTACCTGCTTTTTACGTCTACACTAAAAATGGTAAAATAAAAACTTAAAAAAAACGACTTCCAGACACTCAAATGTAAAAAAATAACTAAACGGGGGTTTTCATTCAGAATAGATACCTAATCAAATATTTCCGAAGTCGGTGCCAGTCGACAATATTTTAGGTAAATATGATTAGGTATGAACTCGATTATAACCCTCCCCCCCTCCCTCCGCCCCGCACCGTGCGTTCAGCTTGTGTGGAGGGGGGGGGCTCAGTAGTGCCCTTCAATTCAGCCGGGGGCGAAGCTAAGAAATGCACAAGGAGGTATAATAACCATTAGACCAACGTGACAATAGACGTTATTTAATAGTTACATAATAGTCCTGTTCTGACACAGCGATACAGGGGGTTGCAAACAGAGGGCTGGACGTTGGCAGGCAGGCTGGATGGGCCCAAGGCGACAATGCATCCTCTTGGGAAAGGCCAAGTATGGCGATATCGTTGATACCAGTATCTGAAAATTAAAAGGTTAAGATGGCTGCTTTCATCAAGAACATTGAATATTGGTGGATTTGTTACTTATTGCATATTGTATCATCTAGACTAAATGAAGCTGATAGGTTTATTCACTTGTCAAATAATTAAGAAATATTTTTAATCCTTATTCGTATTAAAATATTTCATGCCTGTTACGTTTGGTTTTTGCATTTACATATCTAGACTAGTGCCATCTATTGATATTATTTTATATAAACTTATTTATATTATTAGGATATACATACCTACCTAATGTATTTTTTGTATATGCGTGTATATATATATATATATATATATATATATATATATATATATATATATATATATATATATATATATATATATATATATTTATTAAATATTTAATTATAGGGTTATTTATTAAATATTTCCCACACCTAAAGGTTGTCTGGAAGAAACCTTTTCTAAAAAAGCTTTTCTGTTATTGTATTGCTTTTGTCTTCTTTTTGTGTGTGCAATAAAGAGTTATTATTATCCTTATACAGATATAACATAATAATATTACTAGCATTACCCGCGTTCAGATGACCAAAAACCAAATTCTTAGGTTCTACATATTAGTATACTCTTACAATGCAGTTTTTGTATTTTTTTTCAGAAATGGAACATTTTGAAATGGAATATCCTGTATGTTGACCCGGATAACCAGCTATCACCAGACCAAACTTCATCGAAATCCCTCCAGTAGTTTTTCTGTGACAACAGACAGACAGACAAAAATTCTAAAAACTATAGATTCGGCCTCTGTATCGATAATAATGTCTATATCAATAAGATTTTTCAAAAAATGTTTAATGTACAGATTCGGCTTGGTTACAGTTTCATTACATGTATAGATATGTATATAGAAAAAGACATAGGACCACTCCCGAGCGAAGTCCTAGTAAGTCGTGAGTACTATAAGAAAAAGGTACCTCTATTGTAATCATCATGTACTATAAATGAATCATTCCCAACACGAATGTTTCCATGATGCCTCGTAAATCCGACTCGAAGGTCTTGTGAGACGTAATAGTCTACACAAGTGGCAGAAGTCATGACAGCTCGTTTGCCGTGGTGGATGTATACTCCAGCACATATTGGTTCCGTCGAGTCTATGCTGGAAACACATAAATAATATAAAAAGAAAATAAAGAAAATAAAAAATTGTGCACAGATTTTTGGTCCAATTTAAAAAGAGGGAAGTGCTGTACGGTTTTGTGTATGTCACGCAATATCACAGCCAGTAGTGAACGGATTTGTGATTATTTATTTGATGAACAGGTTTGATAATAATAATTTATTACTAGTTTTTGCTCGTAAACACACTCGTGTAATAAGCGGAGCGGAAATCAAATGTCGCCTATGTTCATCCCCAGGATACAATCTACATATATAAGTCCTTGCCAAATTTTACCTAAATCTACATCAGCGCTTATAATATTAGTATGGATTTATTTATTTCTATATATTCTTTTGGGAAATAAATAATACAATATTACATAAGTAATAAATGATGTTCTCCTAGCCGATTCCGGCTACGGCGGCCAATCTCATTGCGACTAGCCAAATGCACAGGAGATATTATAGTGCACAAGTGTACGCGCAGACACAACGTGCACGCTCTATTCCTGTCACTCTCATACTCCGGTGGGACGACTGCTCGACACGACCAACGAGTTAAGGCGCAGGACTCTCCGAGGCACGAGGGTAAATAACCGCCAACTTCCCAACTCCGGGCTGTTACTTAGACTAATAGACCTCCGAGTGTGCAGCCGTACATGTTAGCTACTACACTACCGAGACAGTTAAAGTAATAAATAATAACAAGATAACACATAATCTAATCTAGTTTCCACTAAAAACTAATACTAATAAGAAGCAGAAAAATAGATAGTGAAAAAATGACAGCGAAAAGTGCGAATTAATTAGAAAATTAAATAATTAATGAGTTAAATATTGTATCGATAAACCTATATGAGGATGCTGGATGACATCAACTTTTCTATTAATAAGCAAAATACCTGAATATCCAAATTCTCCAGGGGTATTGGCCTTGTAGAACAGATCTTAAGTTCTTTCTTACATTGCGTGGATACCCATCAGGTTCACTCTTACCACAGTGATCATCAGTGTTCCTTTAAAAAACGAATCTAATGTAAAAAAAAAAAAACGATTCTTAATTAGCGAAAATAATCGTTTTAAATGTTCCGGTTTTGGAACCAACAATAACACCGTAATGTTAATATATTATTGTGGAGAGAAAAAAGGCGCAGGACTGACGTAACACATACTCTCCGAAGCACAGGGTGAAGTATCGCTGACATCCCAAATCCGGGCTGCTACTGAAACTTTCTAAATAGAAAGGCCCAATAACTAAATTTGTCCTATTCTAAAACTCGAACCAAAGACATCCGGATCTGCAGGCGTAAATGCCAGCCACTAGACTAAGGAAGGCAGTTAAACTGATACATTATCAGTTATACATACAATAAAATTGTAAGGAAGTCGAATCTGTACATTAAATATTTTTTGGAAAATCTTATTAGTTTTTAGATTTTTTGTCTGTCTGTCTGTCTGTGACCGCTTCACGAGAAAACCACTAGACAGATTTTGACGAAATTTGATATGATGATAACTGGTTATCCAGGTCAACATAAAGGATATTTTTTACTACGGAAAAATATCTCATCTTTGAGAAATCTATACTAAACTTTAAAAAATAACTAGGGACGAACCCGAGCGGGGCGAGAGTGAGTCCCTAGTACATAATATATATCTACGCACCGAGCAGTAAGATCTTGTTGAGAGAAGCAGCAGAATTCCTTACGCTCGCATTCGTTGTTATACAATCTGAAAGGTAAAAGCAAAGATTTTTGAAGTTATAGGTACTTCTTTTGGCACGTTATGGAAAAAATGATGAACTTTTTTTACGATGCGACAGATTTTAAACTACAGTATGAAGTTTGTCGTAATTGGCTACAGTGTGAAGTTAGTTGTTAAATCTACCTTTAATATAGTGGGATTTTCAAAATATTTTTTCCGGTATTTCTATATACATATATAACAAGTGTTTTATATAGATATAAATAAAAATTAATATAAGCTTTTATTTAGTGTCACCCGTCCCAGTGTCTATCTATAATCAAATCTTGCAAGTTAAATTTGAACCACTTCTCAGTGTACAATTGAGCTGAAATTTGGCACAGACGTTTGGTTTTCGTGACTGCACAATTTCTTAAATGCCGCTATTTACAATCGAATATTTTGGTCGGCGGACTTCAAAAGATAGCGATCTGTTATGCACCCCCATGATATGGATATCAATTGAAAGAGTTTGATGAGAAGAATACGGGCAAAACTAAAAAAACCTTTAAAAAAAGGTAAAATATTTAAAAAAAACAACAGCTTTATTTCAATTTTCTAAAAATAAACAAAGAAGTATAATAATACTTTCTTAGATTTACGCGAATATTTGACATTTTATATAAAACTATCTTTTCGGATTTTGTCGCGGATTTATTTGCATTTTTGTTTCCCGACGTTTCGAACGCTTTACAGCATTCATGGTCACGGGAGAGACTCAGTCTCTGATAGTCAGTCGCTCATATATATATATATATATATATATATATATATATACTCACTTAATTTTATGTAATGTTTTGCCTCTACTTATTTGTCTATTAGAAGCATCCCCATCACATATGTAGCAGTCTAAGCATCCTCGCTCTTTTCCCTCTACACTACTGCAGTTCATCTCTAAAATAAAAATAAATCTTTCGTAATTATATTGTAGTTAGCTCTTTTTAGTGTCCCACAGTTGGGAATGGACCTTCCTTAAATACGAGAGGGATCAGGCCATAGTACAGCACTGGCTAGTTTCTTGAGAGAACATGCAAGCTTTTTACTATGGTTCATGTAATCATATTCTCTGTCCGTTCGATTACTCAATATTTTGTGACAGAAACCTTAGTAAATATTTTAGACCGACCCGGGACTCGAACCCAAGATCTCACAATCCATAGTCATACTCTCATTATATTATTAAAAAAGTGTATTTTTGCTTATTAATCCTGATGCGAAACGACTAATAGAGTCAGTAGTAAAATGATTCCTTCTTCCCAAAAAAAGAAAAAAAAATATCTTATTCCTAAAAAATATACTTCGACCAATAAGATTTAATTACAGCAGTAATTATACTTATAATAGCTTACCTACATCCTTTTCAAAAATGTTCTTGAATACATCTGTCTCCCTTTCCTGAGCTTTGACGCTGAGAAATCCCACCACTAACAAATAGCTTAGTATTGTAATCCTGGAAAATAAAAATAATTTACATTATACATAATATGTCTTTTACATTTGCCTTCCAAATAGTCCATTTTCTTACAAATCTCAGAAACGGCTTATACCGATTTGTGTGCGGTTTTCACTAATTTATTGTGGTAAGCTTCTTGTTTTTTGTTATGTATATTAGTTATATTATAATATGTTCATAAATGAAAAAAGTTATGTCAATTTAAAGAATCACTTAGGGGCTAGCGAGCTTCGCTTGTAGTTTTTGGCCTACAAGACATTTTTTTTTAAAACCAGCTAAAAACTTGAATAATATAAAAATAACAAAAAAAAAACAAAAGTAAAAACTTTGTATCCTATGATTGTCGATCTTGCGCCTTGGCCGCTTGACCACGATGTTTATGCCAGAATGTGCGAAATTACCGACCATATTTTGTGTGGAATAATGCGAAACAAAACCGCACGAAATCTCGAGAACAGGCGTTTTCTCAGACATAAAACTAATCTAGATCGATTTTTCGCCCCCGAAACCCCCCGTTTACTAAATATCATGAAAATCGTTGGAGCCGTTTCCGAGATTCAGATTATATATATATATATATATATATATATATATATATATATATATATATATATATATATATGTCGTGTTATCCATATACTACGAACATCATCTTTAGTGGTTACTCATCTTGTGGGCGTTATCAGGGCTCAAATAATAAAGTATTCAGTGCTCAATACATAATTTAATCAGGGAAGTCACAATGTTATAAACTTGAAACGGTAATTCTAATGATTTAGAGCTAGCGGGTTTACAGTCACCGATCATCGACTTCCAACTACAATATCAAACATAACTCTTTAAGATCAACCGACTTTACTACACCACGTATCTGCAAAGAATGTCGTGATGGCGTCTCGACCCCGCTCGAGACTAAATCTCTGCTCTACATTCAAAATAACTTTAAAAGTAAATTAAAGAACATAGTGACTTTAAACAATAACAAGGTTTCATAACAGAAAAAGGTAACTAAATCCTCCTCCGTCTCGGCCGTCCTGCTGTTCACACGCCCTCGGGTGATCTTGTGGGGCACTCACCACCGCTATTTCTTCTACCACGGCCGTCCTGCTGTTCACGCGCCCTCGTGTGATATTGAAAATCGATCTATAGAAAAAGTAACATTAGCTCGGCTATTCCTGACCAAATAACTGACCATGGTGGCCAATCTTACTAATACTAGCCATTGGTGCAGTAGATATTTAGTGCAAAAGTGTACGCACAGACAGGCATAGACAGACACAGACAAATTCCAATGTGCCTAACACAGTGAGTATTGGGCAAATTTTTGCTTTATATGTTAACAATATACAGCGATTCACATCATTCATTCTCCCTAACTAGTTTTCTTTAAGACAAATTTCTCAAAACTTAATTATTAAACTGACTGAAACCCTAAAGACTATACACATAACTTACGTATCATTGAGTACAAGTTACAGAAGTAAGTGTCTCATATGTTAATCAAGTTAAGTCAGTGCCACACAAATCAAACGATGCGACAGAACCCAACCGATGCCACACAGACAACTCTCGCCATTCAGGCTACATGTGCCACAAGGTTACTTTTGCCACACAGGCAACTCTCGCCACTCAGGCTACATTTGCTACAAAGACTCGTCAACGCCAAATAGGCACCCCATTGTCTAAATACCACCTTCCACCATCGTCGCACAGCAATATCAGAATCATACAGCCTCATCGTGCTACTTCGGCTTGTCAATGTTACATAACTTCGTCAATTCAGTCACCCTAGCTTGTGCTACGTAGGTTCATTAATGTTAAGCTGCTAAATATTATTGGAAATACTAAAATTACAACCGTATTTAACGGTACATTCCTATATCAATTGCCTGACACATCTAAACAAAATGGAAACGTCTCACCATATAACATTCTGAATATAAGATTAAATGAAATAGTCCACAGATATCCATTTTTTGCACAGCCCAAGCATCTCTGGATACCGTCTTCTTTTAGGGCATTGTATACGTCTCATGTGGTCTGGCTTAGCGTGATTTATTTATCTGGCTGAAGAAATCGTCCTCTCTACGCTAAATACATATTTTGAACACTTGAAACAAAGCACCTGAAAATTCATATTATTAATAATTGTGCCACATAGTTGTTACTACCATCGACCCGATCTAATTATGTTTAATCTTTGGACCAAATAAGGGCATGTGAAATCGGTATTATATTCAAAGATTTCTATCTTAGCCTGCGTATGAGAATGTCTTCGGAGTGTACACAAACATTAGTTTTACGATGCATAACCATTAATACAGTCAACTATTTCTCATATTTCACTTGATGAACTGCAAAAAAATTTTGTTAGATAAAAACATCACTTTTATCCCACCTCGATTATAGTATACTCAGAGATCATGTTATTTTCCCAATATATTTTGCAAATATCATCTTTTAATGTTCCGACGGGAAATAGTAAGCCTTTTAGTTAAATTTTATTTTATCAAAAATATCAATCCAATATTTTCACTTTAAAAATCCTGAAATAAAGCAAATATAAAGCAAACAATTACAATACAAAACATTTTTGACATTCTAAAATTCTGACATGATTTATATTTTATTTCAGAACTAGAAGAAGGTCTTTATAAGCATCGAACAAAAACATTTCAAAAATAATTCTCGTAATTTATCGATTAAATAAATTAACTTCATATATCATCCTGAAATAAACAAATTTTCCATTTAATTTTTCCATACATATCGTGTTCAAAAATATTTCTGCGATAATATCAAGAAAATCAAATCCAGCTAGCAACAAATTTTTGACGACGTCATGTCATTTCATAAAAATTAAATTGAGACATCTATGATTATTTTAATCTTTTGAGCATCTTGCATATCATATATCATGATTCATGATTATCAAAGTAAAAGTAAATCTTCTGAAAAACAACACGCATATGCATCGCCATTTTGTGCGTCTTTTTTAAATAACATTTGACATCGCATTTCGTTTCAGTTTGAGAAAATTTTTGCAGCAATATTTTCAAATGGCCGCTGTCATCTATCTTTGCCCTGTTTTTCGGGTATCATACCACTTCTGATGTCGTGTTATCCATATACTACGAACATCATCTTTAGTGGTTACTCATCTTGTGGGCGTTATCAGGGCTCAAATAATAAAGTATTCAGTGCTCAATACATAATTTAATCAGGGAAGTCACAATGTTATAAACTTGAAACGGTAATTCTAATGATTTAGAGCTAGCGGGTTCACAGTCACCGATCATCGACTTCCAACTACAATATCAAACATAACTCTTTAAGATCAACCGACTTTACTACACCACGTATCTGCAAAGAATGTCGTGATGGCGTCTCGACCCCGCTCGAGACTAAATCTCTGCTCTACATTCAAAATAACTTTAAAAGTAAATTAAAGAACATAGTGACTTTAAACAATAACAAGGTTTCATAACAGAAAAAGGTAACTAAATCCTCCTCCGTCTTATATATAGAATTGCTCGTTTAAAGATATAAGATATGGCTTTTAACCAAATTCAAAAAAGTCATAGTACATAATTCAATCTTGGCAAATTATGAAACAAATTTTCATCTTTTTAATTAATGTTAATATACCTATGTATACATCAAGAGTAATCTCGTATAAGTTTTAAGAAAAATATCCACTTTAAAGGATGGAGTAATAAGTTTTAAAATTATTAGAAAATATTCCTCTACTCCTGCAAATTATAGAAAATTTGATAAATTTTCTATAAACGCTCAGGAAATTTAGAAATTAGTATGTTTTGATAGATATATCTACATATAATTTTTCAGTAGAAAATTTAATTATTTCATTCAAAAAAATTATCGCCTCTACCATTAGAGATCGGTTTTTGCCCAAGCGGATGCATCGCGATATTGTGCCGGATCCACACGCTTGCCGTAGATGTATCACAAGTACTTGCCGCTTTACTTTGACTTGTGAAATAACAAGAATAAATTAGAAATTAAAAAAAAACCCCAACCATCTTGGACTGATTTGCATCAAACATAGCTAAGAACACTTCCAACTAATTTACCTTTCAAACCAAAAAAAAAAACTAAATCAAAATCGATTCATCCGTTCAGGAGCTACGATGCCACAGACAGACACACACTCACAGACACGTCAAACTTATAACAACCCGTCGTTTTTGCGACGCGGGTTAAAAACCGACACGATGGGAACGGCCACAAGAGCTTGCAAACCTACAGAAGACAAACAAAAACGCCCTCTTCACATGTTGAGTGTGTGATGGCTGATCGAGGCTTGACAAGCCGATATTGAATGCACCATTTTCGCCACAATTCCACGCGGACATTACTCGTTGAGCTATTATTAAGTATACATTTATTTTGTATGTTTAAATATAAATAAAATCGTCTTTAAATCGGGACAAAGTCAGGATAAGTTATTAGTTAAAATAAAATACCTTATCATGATGAGTTTTTGTTACTCCATAAGCCAATATCTGAAACAAATATATGATTCTTAGTTCTTACTACTTTGATATATAAAATTACCTTGTGTTCGTAAAGCTCAGTCGGCTTGTCCGATTTTGATGGAAGTGTTTTTCTGTACATACATATTTAGGTAATCCTATTATATGGATGGTTTTTAGCTAAACTTGGACCCGGTAGATGGCGTTGTTGTCGAGATGAAGATTTTACATATAAAAATTATAAAAACATATTTATTGCTTAATAATAAATTACTTAGAACCCTGGTTATTATTGACGCCATTTTCATCTTAATGTAAAAATTGAATTTAATATCTAATATTGCATATCATATTATAAAACTTATTATAAATATATTTAAAATTAAAATTAACAAATACTGTAAGGTACTTTGGTGCTATTTTTGAATTTTTTGAATTCATTTTGTTATTTTGTGTTAAGATGCATTTGAGACATCTAAAACCTTAGTCTCTTCCTTGACCATGAGCACTATAAAGCTCACACTCACAACAACACAAGTTAATTTGTTAACAAGCCCATATCCACCCTCCATTCAATTTAAGAGAAGATTCGACGCCACATCAACGAAGTTCGGCCAAATTTATGCAAAATGACGAAATCATGGGAAATTTTGACAAGGGCGCGTAGGTCGCAGGAATCCCGAGGAAGCCATTTGCTGGATGTTTTATTCCGTGTATAACCCTTTTTTTTTGTTTTCGCTGGGGAAACCCATCATGGGCATGCCGACCGTCAATGGGCAGGGTACTGTATTGAGACTCCTACTCACTAAAACCCACAGCGGAACCCATCGCCGCAGTGCAATGGGGCGTTGCAGGATCGCTTGCGCACACACTGATGATGATGATGTTCTCCTACCCGATTCCGGCTACGGCGGCCAATCTCATTGAGACTAGCGAACTGCGCAGGAGATATTATAGTGCACAAGTGTACGCGCAGACACAACGTGCACTCTCTATTTCTGTCACTCTCATACTCCGGTGGGACGACTGCTCGACACGACCAGTGAGAGTTAAGGCGCAGGAACGACGGCTTTACGTGCTCTCCGAGGCACGGGGGTGAAACACCGCCAACTTCCCAACTCCGGGCTGTTACTGAGTCTTACTATACAGAAAGACTCAATAACTAAACTTGGCCCGACCCGGGACTCGAACCCAGGACCTAAGAGTGTGCAGCCGTACATGCTAGCCACTGCATCACCGAGGCAGTTACACACGACACACACTGCAACATCCCTGATTCCGTATATAACTCGAGTCTATCTCCTTTACGTTTCTATTTAAAAAAAAAACTGAAAAATAAACTGTTATTTCTAATTAATTTAAATCTTGCGTGAATTTTGGATTAACTTATATATATTAAGAATAGAATTTAGATATCTATACATTAAAAAAAAATTATTGATCACTCTAAAGTTCGTGAATAACTACTGAATAAAAAAAATCGGTTTACAAACAGATTAGAAAAAAAGAACTGCACTGGTTTCTCTTTTATTTATATATAGATTTTGTAGTTTATAAATTTCATTAAGTATTTATAATTTGATCTCTCTATACATTATCATTGAAGCTAATCTATACATATAACAAAATTGTAAGTAAGTCTAAGTTAGTATTATTTAAAATATTAAAATTAAAAGCAAATACAATTTTTGTTTAAAACTTACGCATTAAAAAACACTAACGGTGACAGAATTAAGATATAACTAATGAAATAATCTTCATAGTCCTCAGAAGTTGTAGATTTTTATAATTCAGAAGATAACCTTTGGAAAAACACAACCGTTGATGTCGGCAGGTTAGATCTGATTGACCTCATGCGATATGATCAATGATTATATACGCTCGTAATGAATCATCAACTCTTATGGCCGGTTTACACGTGTTATTGTTTACACGTGTTTATTGGGGAATATTTGCCAAGGTTGGTCCTGGAAGTGCTTGGTGAGAATATATTTTTTATAGGAAATCTAGGAGTACAGTGCGGGACATTAACATTTATTTGACAAAGAATTGATATTGATTATAGAAAAAAGATGGAAAATCAACAACGTCATGAAATCGTAAAATCTGTGCTTAAATTTGTTTTAAGCGAGATAATTCATGCTTTTTACGTTCCATAAGCATTCTTTTTTTAAATATGCTTCTTAACAATAAATAACGATAAAAAATAAACTTAGCTCGTCATTACTTATGCGTTTAACTAAACTACTTATGCGTTTATAGCTAAATTGTACTGTCCAAGTGTCCAAACGTGACAAGTGACAAGCCCCGCCCACCAACTAAACCGAAAAAATAGAAAACATTCTAATTTAGTAGTTAAGTAGTTAACTTAATTTTAACTTGCAACTTGCTACTAAATTGTCTGTTTACACGCAATTAATCACTTAAAATTAAGTTTAAATTTACTTAACTACTAAACTACTTAACACGTGTAAGCCGGCCATTAAGCAATATTTTCATTAAAAAACACCTTTTTTTTCAAAGAAATAGCATTTTTTTGACTTGCCTTTCCTATTGTTTCTAAACGGCTAAGAATTTTGGCAACATTTAAAAACTCAATAATAAAAGATCTGTTTTACTTTATGCCCCACAAAAATTTTGTAAATCAATTACTATTTTCATATATAAAAAAAATGAAAATGCTATTTAAAAATCTCGAAGGTATAGAGGTGCTCTGCGCGGGCGCGGGCGGCAGTCGCGCGTTGGCCCTCAGACGGGAAGACTGTGTCACTTTTTTTCTCTATCCGCGCCAGCAATCGACTACCTACTTATTTTACGTTAAATTTACGCATGTACAAAAGTATTTTTGTTTGTGTGCGTGCATAGAATAATCGCTCGCAGACAGATAAATGTGTAGTAAAGTACGCGCTTGGACGCTGTAGAATATTTTAACTAGTTTAATGTAATAACAATTAAGTTGAAACCATGTGGATATAGTTATCGGTATTTTGTATAAATTCAGAAATGTTCAGATCAATCACCATTATATATTATATAATTCATAAAGATACCAATATGCTAAATATGAAATCTTTACCATTCCCGTAAGTTGAAATAAATAAAAAATATATATAAAAAAAGAATGATCTCGATCCGATTACTAGTTTCGGAGAAATGCGTGGATATTATGATATTATATTATTTTTTCCTTTTGAGGTACGGAACCTTAAAAAAATATTACATTTTCATATCTCTTTGAATTACTTACAAACAAGGTGTGTTAAGATAGCAGTGAAAGATTAGCAGAATCGTTCGAAACATATACGGTATTTTGTGGCTAATTAGTTGCTAAAACGCCGATTTTGTTGCTTTGTCCGATTTCGAAAAAAAAGAGTTACTGCTATCTTAACGTTAAGCTAGCAGTAAACTCACCGGGACCGCCATGGATTAAATGCAATTATACATCAGTATTTGTTGCTAATTTGTTGCTGACAAATAGTTTAAAAAAAATTGAAAAAACCCTAGAATTGGCTAGACCTGGAGACCTGTAGCCGTATCCATGCTGTCTTAACATGCAGTTTTTTTAACAAGACGATGGCATGGATTTTGTTGCTGGACGCAAATAACATCAGGACACCCCAGAGAGCCAGCAACAAAATAAAAACTAAAATTCTGCTACACCTGGAGACCTGTAGTCGTGTTCATGCTATCTTAACATGTACATTTTTTATGAAAACGATGACAGATTTTGTTGCTGGACGCAAATAACATCAGGACACCCCAGAAAGCCAGCAACATAATATAAACTAAAAATCTGCTACACCTGGAGACCTGTAGTCATGTTCATGCTATCTTAACATGTACATTTTTTATGAAAACGATGACATAGATTTTGTTGCTGGACGCAAATAACATCAGGACACCCCAGAGAGCCAGCAACAAAATATAAACTAAAAATCTGCTACACCTGGAAACCTGTAGCCGACTACAAGTGTTCATGCTAACTTAACGTGCACTTTTTTTAACAAGACGGTTGCATGAATTTTGTTGCTCGTCGTAAATTACACCAGGACACCCCAGAGAGCCAGCAACAAAATAGAAATTAAAAATCTGCTACACCTGGAGACCTGTAGCCGACTACCAGTGTTGAAAAGACAACAGCCGTTTCATGCTGTGCATCTTTATTTTTGAAAGATCTTGTGTTCATAATATTTGACAACTGACCCATTAAGTTTTCAAAAATTTATAAGGAACGGGATTTTAATAAGGTAACTAAATTATTACTTAAATGTTTTTCATTCATTATTTTATCAAGTAATTATTACAAAAGTTATGATTACATAAGTTATAAGTATGCAAAAAAAGAAATAGAAATCTTTTTGATTCTATTCTTATACATTTGTTACGAAAATTTTGAAAAGTTATTTAAAGCCGTATGTGGTCTATTTAAGCTAAATAGTTATATATTTATTTTGTTTGTATTTTGTAGCTATTTATTGATTTTGTTTGTATTTTGTTTTACTAACATACTTCTTAAGTAATTATATTGTACTAACCAACTATGAGCCTATGTTGCTTGATAATAAAATATTTTTATTTTTTATTTATATTTTATAAAAGAAATTAATCGACAGTATTGAAAAAGATTGTTTGTTCTAATAAGTATATTTACTCTGATTTATTAATTTAATTCCCTAATTGATTACAAAATTAAATTATATTAGGAATAACTTTTCTACATTTTCGTAACAAATGTATACGTAAGAATAGACTAAAAAAGATTTCTATTTTTTACTGCATACTTATACATCATAACTTTTGTAATAATTACTTGATAAGAAAATTATTTAGTTTCCTTATTTAAATCCAGATCCTTATAAATTATCGAAAACTAATGGGTCAGTTGTCAAATATTAAGAAAACAAGATCTTTCGAAAATAAAGATGCACAACACGAAACGGCTATTGTCTTTTGGACACTGGTAGTCGGCATGTAATCGACATTTCTCCAGGTATAGTAGATTTTTAATTTTTATGTTGTTGCTGGCTCTGTTGGGTGTCCTGATATTATTTGCAACTAGCAACAAAATACATGCCACATTCTTGTTAAAAAAAGTGCACGTTAAGTTAGCATGAACACTTGTAGTCGGCTACAGGTTTCCAGGTGTAGCAGATTTTTAGTTTCTATTTTGTTGCTGGCTCTCTGGGATGTCCTGGTGTTATTTACGATGAGCAACAAAATCCATGTCTTGGTTTTCTTAAAAAAACTGCATGTTAAGATAGCATGGATACGGCTACAGGTCTCCAGGTGTAGCAGATTTTTAGCTTCTATTTTGTTGCTGGCTCTCTGGGGTGTCCTGGTGTTATTTACGATGAGCAACAAAATCCATGCCACCGTCTTGTTAAAAAAAGTGCACGTTAAGTTAGCATGAACACTTGTAGTCGGCTACAGGTTTCCAGGTGTAGCAGATTTTTAGTTTCTATTTTGTTGCTGGCTCTCTGGGATGTCCTGGTGTTATTTACGATGAGCAACAAAATCCATGTCTTGGTTTTCTTAAAAAAACTGCATGTTAAGATAGCATGGATACGGCTACAGGTCTCCAGGTGTAGCAGATTTTTAGCTTCTATTTTGTTGCTGGCTCTCTGGGGTGTCCTGGTGTTATTTACGATGAGCAACAAAATCCATGCCACCGTCTTGTTAAAAAAAGTGCACGTTAAGTTAGCATGAACACTTGTAGTCGGCTACAGGTTTCCAGGTGTAGCAGATTTTTAGTTTCTATTTTGTTGCTGGCTCTCTGGGATGTCTTGGTGTTATTTACGATGAGCAACAAAATCCATGTCTTGGTTTTCTTAAAAAAACTGCATGTTAAGATAGCATGGATACGGCTACAGGTCTCCAGGTGTAGCAGATTTTTAGCTTCTATTTTGTTGCTGGCTCTCTGGGGTGTCCTGGTGTTATTTACGATGAGCAACAAAATCCATGCCACCGTCTTGTTAAAAAAAGTGCACGTTAAGTTAGCATGAACACTTGTAGTCGGCTACAGGTTTCCAGGTGTAGCAGATTTTTAGTTTCTATTTTGTTGCTGGCTCTCTGGGATGTCCTGGTGTTATTTACGATGAGCAACAAAATCCATGTCTTGGTTTTCTTAAAAAAACTGCATGTTAAGATAGCATGGATACGGCTACAGGTCTCCAGGTGTAGCAGATTTTTAGCTTCTATTTTGCTGCTGGCTCTCTGGGGTGTCCTGGTGTTATTTACGATGAGCAACAAAATCCATGCCACCGTCTTGTTAAAAAAAGTGCACGTTAAGTTAGCATGAATACTTGTAGTCGGCTACAGGTTTCCAGGTGTAGCAGATTTTTAGTTTCTATTTTGTTGCTGTCTTTCTGGGATGTCCTGGTGTTATTTACGATGAGCAAAAAAATCCATGTCATGGTTTTCTTAAAAAAACTGCATGTTAAGATAGCATGGATACGGCTACAGGTTTCCAGGTGTAGCAGATTTTTAGCTTCTATTTTGTTGTTGGCTCTCTGGGGTGTCCTGGTGATATTTACGATGAGCAACAAAATCCATGCCACCGTCTTGTTAAAAAAAGTGCACGTTAAGTTAGCATGAACACTTGTAGTCGGCTACAGGTTTCCAGGTGTAGCAGATTTTTAGTTTCTATTTTGTTGCTGGCTCTCTGGGATGTCCTGGTGTTATTTACGATGAGCAACAAAATCCATGTCATGGTTTCCTAAAAAAAACTGCATGTTAACACGTTCACTGCGCCATCATTTTGAAAGAACTTTCAGCTGGTGCTTTGGAGACCTAAAAGATCTCGAAACTAGCTTACCCTTTGGTGCGTTAGAGACCTAATCAGTCTCCTAAAAATACAGTTTTGAAAATAATGTATATCTTCCAAAATACTAATGACATATATTTTGAAGTTTTTGTGGGTCAAGAGAGCCTATTGCTTTACATTTTACTAGGTTCGCACGCAGTTATGACATTAGAATAAACTACAAATACCAAAAAAAAATTAGATATCGATTGTATCTCTTACCGCAACCGAAGATAATTCAATATGTGTAGTAAGTAGTGATGGGAATAAAATAATATCTCAGTTGTCGATTGAAAAAGTTTTATTAAAGTATAAGTTTTATATATGTATAATTGCATTTAATCCATGCCGGTCCCGTTGAGTTTACTGCTATCTTAACGTTAAAATAGCAGTAATTCTTTTTTTTCGAAATCGGACAAAGCAACAAAATCGGGGTTTTAGCAACTAATTAGCAACAAATTAACCACAAAATACCGTATATGTTTCGAACGATTCTGTTAACCTTTCACTGCTATCTTGACACACCTAAGACTTTTATGTCGGGAAATGCATTTACGTATACCACCTGATCCCCCAGGTGGTGATGTGGGGCTCACCGGCTAGAAAGCCGGCACTACCCACTAAAACCCGACGAATTCCCCTCCCCTCCGCCTTAATGGGACGCCGCAGGATCGCTTGCGCATAACTACTACGGCGCCCCGGCGGCAGGTCTGCCAACGGCTGACCACCATACCGATGGGGCTGCTCCACAGTCAACTCTGCTACACCAGAGAGGTACCGGGAGCAGCCCCATTAAACCGAAACTCCGCCCACCGAAGTGGGCCACCTTCAATCGGCTGCAGAGGACAGGGAGAGCGGCAACGAAACACCGACACTCCTCTTCCCCTGCAGCCCCACCGCGTCCGCCATCAAACGGTGGCGGCCCCGTCTAGGCCGCGGAAGGTAGGGAGAACGGCGCACCGAAATACCGGCACTCCTCTCCCGCCGCGGCCTACCCCTCCGCCGAATGCGGGCCTGCGACCACAGTCCCGCAACCGGCACCCATCATCCGGTTGTGGGACCAAGCGGTCCCACCACCGGTGGCCGCAACGTCTTCGGCTCGAGGCCTAGACGAGCGGCCCCATCCAAGCCATTTGGTCCGCGCCGGATTTCTCCGGTACCACCCGCCGCCCTAAGCGGGTGGCATTCCCCTATCCGCCACCTGGGGACGCGCCCGGTAGGAGTTGGCTTCTCCCCCGGGGACACACCTAAGACTAGCACAACTCCAAACAACTCCAAGTTAGTTATTACTATTAGAGGAATCTGCGTTAAAAACGACATAACTCCAAATGATTTTGTCATAATGACTAATTTAACACGAAAAAAATAAAACTATTTTTGGAATTGTTGGTGTTTAATATGTAGTTAGTTAGTTGGTGCTCCAAATATATATTCTCAAGTGTTTGATATTGAGTTGGTTACAAGTGATACTGCTATTTGATGACAAGCCATTGATCAAAAAAATATCATCGTAAAATTATATATATAAGAACACAGTGCCTGGGCTACCGAGTTTCGCTCGGAGTTTTTGGCTAAAGGTACAATTTTCTTTTTTTTTTAAACTAAAAACTTGAATAAATAAAAAAAAAAAAAAACTTTGTATACGCCTGGGATTCGAACCTGGACATCTATGATAATCAACCTTGGCCGCTTGACCACGATGCTTATGCCCAAGCATACGAAATTAGCAACCATGCACACACACACACACACGCACGCACGCACGCACGCACGCACGCACGCAGGTACGCACGCACGCACGCCCACACTCACACACACACATACACAACAACACGAAACGAGTGAAACGTTTTTTTCTATTCCTGAAAAAAGTGATATTTTGAGTTATGTTACTTTTTATAGGTGTGCGATTATGTGCAATCTCAACTGTGGGAGTCCGATGTAAAATTCTGTGTCAGCTTCTACCATATTCGCATTCTTTTGTAGAAATGGAAATCTATATCTATATATATTTATATTCTATACATAATCTATACATATAATAAAATTGTAACTGAGTCGAATCTGTACATTATATATTTTTTGGAAAATCTTATTGAAATAAACATTACTATCGATACACAGGCCGAATCTATAGTTTTTAGAATTTTTGTCTGTCTGTGTGTCTGCGTGTTACCGCATCACAAGAAAAATACTGGAAGGATTTTGATCAAATTTAGGGTGATAGCTGGTTATCCGGGTCAACATATAGGATACTTTTTACCGCGGGAAAATATCTCATTCCTAAGAAAAAATACAAAAACTGTAATGTAAGAGTATATGAATATGTAAAACCTAAGAATTTGGTTTTTGGTCATCTGAACGCGGGCGGAGCTGCGGGCAATGCGAGTGATTATAATAAAATTCTGATTCGATGACATTAAATATTTTTTGTAAAATCTTATTCAAACAGACATTATTATCGATACAGAGGCCGAATCTATATTTCTTAGAATTTTTGTCTGTCTGTCTGTGGCCGCATCACGGAAAAACCACTGGATGGATTTTGATGAAATTTGGTATGGTGATAGCTGGTTATCTGGGACAACATATAAAATACTTTTTACCGCTAGAAAATGTCTCATTTCTGAGAAAAAATACAAAAACTGCAATGTAAGAGTATACATATTAATGTAAAACCTAAGTATTTGGTTTTTTGTCATTTAAACGCGGGCGGAGCCGCGGGCAATGCTAGTTGTGTATAATGCTTGACTTCAGAATAATTTCTGAAGTCTTTGTCAGTTAGAATGACTTATTTTAATTAATTAAGTAATTAAAATTTTATTTAAATAAGTAATTAAAATTTTAAATAATTTTACAGGGTGATAGCGGAGGTCCCCTTATGGCGGTCGTTTCTGACTTAAACTGTACATATTCAGTCGAAGGAGTAGTTTCGTACGGACCATCCTGCGGTAAAACGGCAGGAGTCTACACCAGAGTCGATATATATATGGATTTTATTATGGAAAACGTATGGCCAGAGGAATGGGCGGCTTACAAACGAGAATTACAAAAAGCGCAGGAATAAAGTTGTTAGTGGGAAAGAATAAATTTTCTTTATATATATACAATTTGCTTTTATTATAAATATGCTAACAGTAACCGTCCGAGTTCAAACTCTTCTTCTCCTCCATTTCCCAAGTTACTTGAGATCGGCGCAGTCTTCCATGAAAATGAAAAATGAAAAAATGAAAAAATATTTATTGGCTTACAGAGTACGCATTACAAATAGTTGCAAGGGCCCCTGACTAGGTGTTAACCCGAGATCCTGGGTAGTGCAAAAACAAAATTAAATTAAAAAACATTTAAAATAAGTGCGTGTGTGCGCGTGTGCGTGTATGTGTGTGTGTGTGTGTGTGTGTGTGTGTGTGTGTGTGTGTGTGTGTGTATGTGTGTGTGTGTGTGTGTGTGTGTGTGTTTGTTAGCGCGTGTGAGTAGGTGTTTCGTGTAAACTAAATATATATAGGTACTAAATATATATACATGTATATATAATGTAAATGCACGATCTCACAAAAGGCTTTTTTTTAATTTCATTGCAAGGATATTATCAAAGGAGAAACCTATTTTCGGGCTCTGATTACTAGGAACCAAATACGTATATATGAAAAAAATCTATTTTTTTTCTTTATATTTTTTTCCCCATTAAAATCTTAATTGTATTTGCAATGGCCAAGTTATGAAAAAATGCAGTTTTCAATATTGCTTAAACGGATATTATGTCTTATTTATTTTGTAAAACGTCAATGTCTTTATAAATGAAATGATTTTATAGAATCTAAGCTAAATTATATTTAAAAAAAAACGTCGAAACTCATATAGCAGATTCGACTCTACTATGAAGAATCAAATTTGCCGAAGCCATAATTTTAATCCATCTATACTAATATTATAAATAGGTAAAGTTTGTGAGTTTGTGACGTTGTAGGGGGTAATCTCTGGATCTACAGAACCGATTTAGATGAAATTTGGTAAGAAGATAGTTTGAAACCCTTGGAAGGATATAAAATATTTATTATTCCAGAAATCATCCCTTAAGGGGGTGAAAATGTGGATGAAAGTTTGTATTGGGAAGCAAGCTAGGAACGAACCCGAGCGAAGCGGGGGTGAGTCGCTAGTAACATAAAAATTGATTAATGTTTTTATTGAATAGATCCGTTACCATATCATTTGTCTTCTTTACACGGCTACTTCTAAATAGCCGACTGATTTCCAGTGTACCGGGTAAGATGAGATCTTTGTGGCTTTCTGGACAACAAACTATAACATAGTTCCCTTGCCAGAAGCATGTCTAAAATCAAATTAAGCTGTGAATTCACAAAACAGACATAGCCAATAATATTAAAAAGATCTTTATGATTAGTTTGTAGGTACATACGACGTCACTTGAAAAGTTTTAAGCAAAAGGTGGTTTTGAAGAACATTGTTGAAGCCCGTTGAAGCAGTAACAGTCACATCTGAAAAGAGCTATTGCTATCCTCCGCACAGTGGTGGAATTACGTCTACACACCCGTGAGGCCCACGCCTACTATGACAAAATATTTAGACTTCTAAAATTACAAAAGCGAAAAAAAAATCACTATACATAGAGAAAAAATCTTATTTGAAATCGATTTACGATTTACGATTGACTATTAAATAAATATATTTTACTCATTAAAGTTATTGAGATATTTAATATTCTAAATAATTTAAGGTATAAAAAGTTCTAAGCTATATTTAAGCACTGCAATCTTAACCATTTTTATAAAATTATTAACATTTTTCTAGACGAGGGCGTCGTAAAATGCAACTAAGGCAACGGCTAAGAGGGCTAGCAGCATTTTTCGAGCGCACACACAAGTGTAATCGCCAACGCGCTTGCTAAGCGTGGCGATGTTAGGAAATCCCTCCAAAATAGCCATCGCAGACACTCAGCATTTCTTTTCTTTCAGTCAAGCGACTTTGATTAATTCACGGCACTCATGGCAAATTTTTCGGAGCATTGAGAGCAGTTGTGCTGCAAGTTGGTAATGCGCTCTCAGATCTTCTTTGTGAGGGATGCTGGCATTTTTAGTGCAATTTCCGTGTGCCTCTTCATCTCTCTGCGCTCTCGGGCCATCTTGGTGTGAGATGCTGGCATTATTGGTGAAATATTATAATGGCTGGAGGAATGAAATGAATTAATAATAAGTGTACAAATTACCGGTGGAAGTTCCTTATCCTCGTTTACTAATCGTATAGCATACGGGCAGTCTGTAAACGGCTTGCATGTTCCTACAATGGTTTCTATTTGGCAGGATTCACCTGTAATGAACCATAATACTTTCTTAGATTTACACGAATGTTTGACATTATTAAATAAAACTATCTTTTCGGATTATTTCGCGGATTTATTTTGATTTTTGGTTCCCGACGTTTCGAATGCTTTACAGCATCCATGGTCACGGGAGAGACCCTCCTTACTTAACTCTCTCGACTCTTACAATGCAGTTTTTGTATTTTTTCTCAGAATTTAAAAAGTATCCTATATGTTGACCCGGATAACCAGCTATCACCATACCAAATTTTATCAAAATCCATATAGCGGTTTTTCTGTGATGCGGTAACAGTCAGAGAGATAGACAGACAAAAATTCTAAAAACTATAGATTCGGCCTCTGCATCGATAATCATGTCTATTTCAATAAGATTTTCCAAAAAATATTTAATGTATAGGCTTTGTTACAATTTTATGATATGTATAGATACATACTACTACGGCCTACGAGTAACATAAAAGGGAAATAGGACAAACGAAAGTCATGCCGTTTTCACCAACAACCCATAAGCTACCACCTACGTATGGGATCCCTAGCTTAAAAGTTCTCCTAAACTAGCCCCTAAGTTAAATTTCGTTTTACCATCGTCAGAGCCCGTATTTCTAGTACAACTGTCGGTGGGACAGAAACTGTCCACTAACAGCCCCCTAACCATGCTTAGGGGATCCCTTAAACTTAGGTGACGTTGGTGAAATCAGTGACTATAGTGTATATTATGTATTTTTTTCTAACAACATATTGTATTTGTAAATGTTTCAGCAATTTTTACTGCAATATATGCACTCAAATATCAATTTACTCACACACATACGTTTTTACTTCACGAGGACGTATGTAATTAGAATCATCCTTCTGCGTACTTATCTAAACGTATAAAAAAACTGTAGAAGTCGAATTAACTTAGAAAAAATACTATAAACCGAGTCAGGGGGATGTAAGAAGAGAAATGGAACAAATCCACATTTTTTATTTTTTTCTGTCTGTTTGTGTGTTTGTACGGGCAAATCTCCGAAACTGTTTGATCGATTTAAATGAAACTTTGCATGTTGGTACCTTATGTCCCTGGTCAACATTTTAGATACTTTTTCTTCCGAAAAATTAAAGAGCTCCCGTGGGATAGTTAAAAAACTATAGTAACTTATACAGCTTAGTACACAAAAACTACTGATTGGATTTTAATGAAACTTTAAAATGATATAGTTCATACATCAAAATAACAAATTAGCTACATTTTTATCGGAAAAATGTACGGTTCCCGTGGGATAGTCTTGTTTTTGTTTGTGTAAATAAAATACACATATTATGCCTTGTCTATGCCAATATCTTAACCCCAGCGTGACACTAATATTATCTTGGTCTGACCAGGATTAAAAAAAATCGACAGCCATATTCTTTTTTGTATATAATAAAGTACTTATCAACATGTACCGAGCCTGACTGACAAACTGAAGAGTTCATTTGTTTTTTTCTTTGAACGCGCTTATCTTTTGAACTAAGCCCAATGGAGTCTGTACATATACCTACAATGTCTGATCCTAATTCCTATGTTCCATCGTAATTACTAATTGGCTAAATCAATTTTGATGTTTCATACGTCGTTTGATTTGCCTTGATAAAGCGAGTGTTATAGGGTATATGGATATCATTAAAAATCAAAATGGCGGATCCAAGACACTAATTTATGTCTTGAAAAAAAAGTTCATTGGAATCAATCGAGTGCGGTATCAAAATACAGGTTTTTAAAAGACGATTGCAAATATACATATATACAACTTCTATAATATAATAAAATTGTAACTAAGCCGAATCTGTGCATTAGACATTTTTTTGGAAAATCTTATTGAAATAAACATTATTATCGATACAGAGGCCGAATCTATAGTTTTTAGAATTTTTGTCTGTCTGTCTGTCTGTTTGTCTGTTACCGCATCACAGAAAAACCACAGGAAGGATTTTGATGAAATTTGGTATGATGATAGCCGGTTATCCGGGTTAACGTATAGGATACTTTTCACCGCGGGAAAATATCTCATCTAGAAAAAATACAAAAAAATGCAATTTAAGAGTATACTAATATGTAAAACCTAAGAATTTTGTTTTTGGTCATCTGAACGCGGGCGGATCCGCGGGCAATGCTATAATATAATATATAAAAGTAATTTAAGATAAGAAATTGTAAAATAAAACTAAATATGTCTAACTAACTGACCAGCACTAAAAAGCTGTAAATAAATAAAACTCGACTGAGTAAAAAGTGAACTAAAAAGAAGAGAACAAGTTGACGAAGGAATATAGTAATATTCAGTCGGAGACATGTACGAATACAAACACGCAGCCATTCTAAGCTATTCGAGTAGGTACATATGTATGTCTCCGACTGCATAATACCTACCTACTACGTCCCTTCGTTAACTTGTTCTCTTATTTTTAGTTCGTTTTATTTGCATTTAATATCGCAATCTTTGAAGAAGGTTATTATAGGCCAACTAACATCACGGTACGACTTTATTGAATTTTTTTGTTTTACACGTGTATATTACGCGAGCGGAGCCGCGGGAAAAGCTAGTCGGTATAGTAAACAGAAGCTTATTCCTCAATATCCAACGTCCATAATTTTATATCGTAGTTCCATATAAACTAACGAAGCTTACTACGTATTTCAGATGATCCCCATATGCCCTTCGCATTTATAATATACCGGAAGCTCTTAAAAAGGACAATTTTTCCGACTTAAATCACAAACATCCAACCGATAGCTTATCTTCTTATAATGTTTATAAATTATAGTCTAAGATCTTCGTTACAATCATCTTCGTATAAAACTGTTGGGAAAAACCGTATAAAAATACGTACAGTAGTTTCCGAGATAAGACTGAACAATCACAAACTCAGTGCGACGGGGGACTTTAATTTTCAATAATAATTAAGTAGGTATATGAATGTTTAATACATTAAAATATTACATTTATATGTGTGTTTGTCATCTGTGCGTTCCTAGCGAAGGGCAAAACCTATAAGTTATATTAATTAACCCAGCGGTCAAAGTTTGACTATAATCAATATTATATTGATAACAAAAAAAAGGAAACCAGTAAATAAATGATGTTGGGACATTAACACACAGCGCCATCTAGTTCCATGGTAAGCTGCGAGGCGCGTGTTATAGATACCAAGTAATTGGTACACTACACATATATAACTTTAAATATATACATATTCGCCAACCCGCACTTGGCCAGCGTGGTGGACTATGGCCTGATTCCCCTCGTGCTGAAGGGAGGCCCATGCCCAGCAGTGGGACGTTAAAAAGGGCTGAATACATATTATAAATATAAACACCCATTACTGGAGTACAAACATCCGTATTTATCACACAAATGAATGTCCCCAGCGGGACTCGAACCCGCGACCGCTGGAACAGCAAGTAGGGTCACTACCAACTGAGCCAAACGTGTTGTCATAGTTGACAAACAGAGGAGAGAAATGAACTGACTTCACTGTATTGTCTTTACCTATTTGACCGAACTGCTTCAGCCAGTCAGTCTCTGCTTCAAGTCTAGCAAAAATTACTTTTCTCTGTCAGTTGGTACTCTGCAGGTCACATTTAACAAGTGATCTAAAGAAAACTTGCTCGTATATAGGTTTTACGATTTTATAGATTTTTTTTTGTCGTCGGGGATTTTCGATTGGAAGGGTGCTTCCTCCAAAAAGGGGCAAAAAGAGGGCTACTCGATAACTCCGCCGTATGAGATCCAATTTCGATGGTTCCTTTTTATTAACTTTAAGTTGGTCTCATAAAAAATTGGCGAAGATCTGATGAAGATTTTCACATTAGATTGGAGGACATTATTATTATTTTGTTTAGATACATCGGAATAATAAATATTGCTTAAAGTTGTATTTTACTAGTAAAATATAGTATTTAAAAAAAAACTTAAAAAAGCAACCGACTTCCAGGCACTAAAAAGAAAAAAAAAACTTTTTGGACTTCGAAAATATCTGATTAGGTATCTATTCTAAATGAAACCCCCCGTTTAGTTATTTTTTTTACTTTTTAGTGTCTAGAAGTTGGTTTTTATTTTTTTTAAGTTTTTATTTTTCCGTTTTTAGTGTATACATAATTTCGATAAAATTTAAATGTGACCTGGGAAGTATCCCTTGAAACAAAAAAATAAAAAAAAAATCAGACGTTTTCGAGTAATCGGTGAACATACATAAAAAAAAGATTCTGACGAATTGAGAACCTCCTCTCCTTTTTTGAAGTCGACGACTGAAGTCGTGAAAAAGGTCTGAGTGGACCTTAATAAAAACTCAACACAGTTCATTCGTTGTAAATGGCAAGGTATCTATATAGGGACAGCCATCAATTCCCAAAATTGAGAATAAAAAACATTAAACAAAATATATAGACTTACCTATTTTCGAATAGCACGAACATTTATTAAAATAATCGTATAAAATTATAAATATTAATATTTTAATTTTCATCATTAAAAGCACGTCTGCACTCTTCGAAGTAATAAAAATAACTAAAGTATGATAGATAACTTTAAATGAAGATGTTATATTTATTACTTCAAGTGTATGTATTGTACGTTTTTAGCATTCCGTACCCGAAGGGTAACAATGAAACCCTAATATTACGCCTCTGCTGTCCGTCCGTTCGTCCATCCGTCCGTCTATCAAAGGGCTGTAACTCATAAGCCGTAATAGGTAGAGAAATGAAATTTTCACAGAGTATTTCTATTGCTGCTATAACAACAAATAATAAAAATAAATAAAATAAAAATACAAGAAACATTTTTTTAACGTTCGTATTCGATCATCGAAGTTAATATTTGACAACACGTTTAGCTCAGTTTGTAGTGTTCTTGCTGTTCCAGCGGTCGCCGGTTCGAGTCCCGCTGGGGGCATTCATTTATGTGATGAGCACGAATGTTTGTACTCCAGTCATGGGTGTTTATATTTATAATATGTATGTATTTTAAGTTATACATGTGTAATGTATCAACTATCTGTTATCCATAACACAAGCTTCGTAGCTTACCATGGAACTAGTTGGTGCTGTGTGAATGCCTCAACATATTTATATTCATTTTATTTATTTTATTTAATATACTACATAGTACATACATATAGTTATCATAAGTCATATTAAAAAAGTACATGTACGACGGTACGAAACCCTTCGTGTGCGAATTCGACTCACACTTGACCAATTTTTTATTGATCTCCCTCTCATTGTATGTTTGTTTATGATTTTAACATAACTTATATAAAAAGTATATAAAAAAATATATAAAAAGTTCAACCAGCTATGTATGTTTGTTTTTCCTGGCTAGTCTTCGAAATTGTTGAACCAATTACCCGACAACGGACAATTTTCATCCCGAAGAATGCTTAAACACGTGTTTACTTAATTGAATGGAAGATCATTACTGCCAAGTTTCAAGTAATTCTGATCATAAATAATATTTTGCCTATATAAACTTCACCACCCCCTTTTACCCCTTGTAAGGGATGAATTTTGAGAGAATGTAATAAATATATTTTCTTAGATTCTCTTATTTTTTGTTGATATATCAGTCAGGGCAAACCCTTTTATATTATTATACAGAATTGTATTGATATCATAAATCCCAATGTATGTATGTATACATTCATGTATTGAGCCGTGAGCCGATGTCTTTAACGTCTCGGGGATCAGGCCATAGTCCATCATGCTGAACAAGTGTAAGTTGGTGGACTCATTGGCGTCCGGCAATCCAGCCAAGGACGTGAAACCAAGACACACTGGGAGATGCCTGCATGGTATATCGCTCACTTTGGTGGAGCATAGTTGTACCATGCGGGTTTCTCTTGGTACTTCTCTGAGAGCAGAGTGGACCGTGGGAATAACCCTATGGTTGGCGGTGGTAAACACTCCTGCGACGTCTCAGGGAGGTTTCATTGGGTTTTAGTGGTGGTCCCCGAGACGTTAAAAAAGGGCTGAGCACATGCACTTATGTATACATTAACATTTATAATATCGAAAGTATTTATTTATAAAGAAAACGAATTGTATAAATAAAGAAAATTTATTCCTTCCCACTAACAACTTCATTACTGCGGTTTATTTCGCGTTTGTAAGCCTCCCATTCCTCTGGCCATACGGTTTTCATTATAAAATCCATATATTTATTGACTCTGGTGTAGACCCCTGTCCCTTTACAGGATGGTCCGTAAGAAACTACTCCTTCGACTGAATATGTACATTTCAAGTCAGAAACCATCGCCATTAAGGGACCTCCGCTATCACCCTGTAAATTGAAAACTAAATTAAGTCACTCTGACCAATCAAAGACTTTAGAAATTATTCTGCAGTCAAGCATTATACATAACTAGCATTGCCCGCGGCTCCGCCCGCGTTCAAATGACTAAAAACCAAATTCTTAGGTTTTACATATTAGTATACTCTTATATTGCAGTTTTTGTATTTTTCTCGGAAATGAGATATTTTTCTGCGGTAAAAAGTATCCTATATGTTGACCAGGATAACCAGCTATCACCATATCAAATTTCATCAAAATCCCGTCAGTGGTTTTTCTGTGACGCGGTAACAGACAGACAGACAAAAATTCTAAAAACTATAGATTCGGTCTCTGTATCAATAATAATGTTTATTTCAATAAGATTTTCCAAAAAATATTAAATGTACAGATTCGGCTTAGTTAAAATTTTATTATATGTATAGATTAAAAATACAACAAGATACATAATCGTCATCGTCAGGCAGTGGTAGCCCAGTAGGCAGTTGTAGCCCAGTGGTAACGCGCTTGCTTGGGAAACCGAGTGAAGCGGGTTCAAATCCCGGGTCTCGCACCTCTGATATTTTCATGTGCGAATCATTTCTAACATGATTACCACTTGCCTTACGGTGAAGGAAAACATCGTGAGGAAACCTGCATGTCTGAGAGAACCTAGCAAGTTTTCAAAAGACATGTGAAGTCCGCCAACCCGCACTTGGCCAGCGTGGTGGACTATGGCCTGATCCCCCTCGTATTGAAGGGAGGTCCGTGCCCAGCAGTGGGACGTTAAAAAGGGCTGAATACACACATAATCGTTCCCTCAAGAGTTACCTGACAAGAATCTGATGATTTTCGAAATTTCCCTTCCGCACAAATCGTATATTCTGGATCGAATATATCGATATTCTTACATTTTATTTCGTTTTCTGTAACATGTGTCTGAAATGATGAAATATTATAAAGAATTTCTTAGAAAAATATCCTTGACAGTGTTAAAGAAAACTTCTTCGGAAGTATAACTGGTTAGACAACAACATATAATAATGTTAATTTGCTATATAAATGACTAGCAGAACCCACGGCTTCTTCTTCTTCTCCCTGCCCATTTCCCAATCACTTGGGGTCGGCGCAGTACATCTTCTATACTGCTGATAGTATTTGGCAAAAGTTTTACGACCAGCTGCCTGCCTGACGTCAACCCTCCTTGGGAATGCTATTGAGAACCCACGGCTTCGCTCGCGCTAAAACTATAACAAAAACCTGTTTGGCTATTAATAAATTTTATGCTACTACTCGTAGTAATAATGTATGGAAGACTGCTCGAATTGTTGACATTTATGATTACTGCTGCACTCCCTTAGGTAGTATCATGGTCATATATAGCCTATAGCCTTCCTTAATAAATTTGTTATCTAATGGAAAAAGAATGTTTCAAATCGGATTAGTAGTTCCTGAGATTAGCGCGTTGAAACAAACGAACGAACTAACAAACAAACTCTGTCTCTTTATAATATTAATATAGATTATTTAGAGAAACAAACCTAGCTCGTTTATTAGTCATTTCCCTTTTGATGATAATCAATTTCTACAAAAGAATGCGTATGGAGTAGAAGCTCACACACAGAATTTTTACAATGGCCTCCTACAATTGAGATTGCACATATGAACTTTGCTTATAAAAAAATTCAATTACTATTTTCACAAATTTAAATATTTAAAATCACTAATATGTGAGAAGTAAGTCATTCTGGACTTCAGAATTTGATCACATCGCTATAAATGCAGTCAACAGCAGTTGATCACTGAAAATCGACGTTGAACGTTGGGGACGTTGCATAGGTGTGTTAACATAGCAGTGAAAGGTTAGCAGAATCGTTCGAAACATATACGGTATTTTGTGGTTAATTTGTTGCTAATTAGTTGCTAAAACCCCGATTTTGTTGCTTTGTCCGATTTCGAAAAAAAAGAGTTACTGCTATCTTAACGTTAAGCTAGCAGTAAACTCACCGGGACCGGCATGAATTAAATGCAATTATACGTCAGTATTTGTTGCTAATTTGTTGCTGACAAATAGTGTAAAAAAATTTGAAAAATCCCTAGAATTGGCTAGACCTGGAGACCTGTAGCCGTATCCATGCTATCTTAACATGCAGTTTTTTTAACAAGACGATGGCATGGATTTTGTTGCTCATCGTAAATAACACCAAGACACCCCAGAAAGCCAGCAACAAAATAGAAACTTAAATTCTGCTTCACCTGGAGACCTGTAGCCATGTCCATGCTACCTTAACATGCACTTTTTTTAACAAGACGGTGGCATGGATTTTGTTGCTCATCGTAAATAACACCAGTACACCCCAGAGAGCCAGCAAAAAAATTAGAAGCTAAAAATCTGCTACACCTGGAGACCTGTAGCCGTATCCATGCTATCTTAACATGCAGGTTTTTTAAGAAAACCATGACATGGATTTTGTTGCTCATCGTAAATAGCACCAGGACACCCCAGAGAGCCAGCAACAAAATAGAAACTAAAAATCTGCTACACCTGGAAACCTGTAGCCGTGTTCATGCTATCTTAACATGTATATTTTTTATGAAAACGATAACATAGATTTTGTTGCTGGACGCAAATAACATCAGAACACCCCAGAGAGCCAGCAACAAAATAGAAGCTAAAAATCTGCTACACCTGGAAACCTGTAGCCGACTACAAGTGTTCATGCTAACTTAACGTGCACTTTTTTTAACAAGACGGTGGCATGGATTTTGTTGCTCATCTTAAATGACACCAGAACACCCCAGAGAGCCAGCAACAAAATAGAAACTAAAAATCTACTACACCTGGAGACCTGTAGCCATGTTCATGCTATCTTAACATGTACATTTTTTATGAAAACGGTGACATAGATTTTGTTGCTCATCGTAAATAACACCAGGATACCCCAGAGAGCCAGCAACAAAATAGAAACTAAAATTCTGCTACATCTGGAGACCTGTAGCCGTATTCATGCTATCTTAACATGCCCTTTTTTTATGAAAACGATGACATAGATTTTGTTGCTGGACGCAAATAACATCAGGACACCCCAGAGAGCCAGCAACAAAATAGAAACTAAAAATCTGCTACACCTGGAAACCTGTAGCCGTGTTAATGCTATCTTAACATGTATATTTTTTATGAAAACGATGACATAGATTTTGTTG